ACATAGCTACAACCATATACTTTTAAGATCTTGGCTAGTATGGCCCGACTGAAGTATTCACTGACGAATCATACCCCAGCCCAGCGAAACCATTCGCAGGATCAATGGACGTCCACCGAGTCGAACGCAGGGAATTCAACCTCACTCTCCCCAACGAACTGTGGATCCGCATACTCCGCCTTGCTACATTTGTTTGCGGCAGCCTAGACGTCGACCACGACGATCCCTTTGACCACGATGCTAACTTGTGGAATACTGCTATCGAAGAGCGAGTCGACACTATCTTCCCCGAGATCAGGCGCTCGAATGCGCGCAAGCTACGGTTCATGCTTGTTTGCAGACTGTGGCACGATATCGTGCAGCCTTTTCTCTACGAGACACTTCACATCGCGCGTGACAAGGACTGTGCCACATTGGCTCACACGCTGAAGAGCTCCATAATCGCTTCAGAATCTAGCGATGTTCCCCACAAACAGTCGTTGGGAGTGTGGACACGACGACTAGACTTATCGATGCCCCGCTTCGCTGCCCAGGATGTCGCGAAGTTCGCCCCCATCCTCGCTTGTTTGCCTAATCTCGAGATTTTGACGATCAATCAAAACCAACCGAGAACTCGCCTCTGTGCAGAATTATGGGAGCTGCTCACCCTCACCTGCGGCAAGTCATTGTTGCGATTGAATTCCAACAACCCAGAATTCTTTCGTTGGCATGCGGAAAGTGATCGCGGCTCGGCACAGGTCGGATTTTCCCAGACAGCCAACCGTCTGAGGACAGTGAACCAAGGTCTATGCTTTACTACCGAGAGAGGCTGTGTGTTTTGTTCGCACAGTCTTCGCCGACTGGCGTCGTGCCTAACTATTCCCACCTTACCCACCCACTGCTCTTGCCCGAAAGACCGTAGCAGTCCTCCTTACCCTGCCCTCACCACCGCTTGTATAAATGCTTTCACTTCACGCGGAAAGCCCATCATGATCGACCTCTTAGCTGTACAAGGTGCTACTTTGACCACACTCGTTTTGCCATATATCCATGCATCGAGGCATCCCACGCTCCTAGATGGTATGGGGCTGGAAAATTGCCCAAATCTTACTCGTGCCATCGTTGGAATACACTGGGCAAAAGATCACAACGAACATTCATATGCGGAGGACGCTCGTCGCTTCGCTCGCCACTTTGCTCATAACATCCCCCCCACCCTCACCCACCTCGGCATCATCCTCAGCAATCACAGTAATGATATAGCCTATAGTCTTCGCAGGACGAAGCGGCTCACCCCAGAGGACATGATTTGCTGGCTCGCCAGTTCTGAATTAGAGAAACGTCCTGCGCCCCTTGGGCTCAAACTTGTACGCTTCTTTGATCCGGAGAGCTTCCCGCTCTCACCGCACAGACATCGGACACCAGACCTTGAAAAGGCCGACTCACGGTTTGGTGTCGCCCTCCAGTACCTGGAGAAACACGGCATTCGCGTAGAAGGGTTTGATGGACAAGAAATCAAGTGTATTGATTAACTGGGCTTTCGGTGAGTGGGTGGGCCAAGTCGCTTCCCTAAAAGATGTGCTAACTTCGTCCCCGATGGCAGACTTAGAAATGACCAACATCTCTTCAGAGTCGTGGAGGTTCGCCTTAAGAGGCATTATTGTGCGAAGCGCGTGGCTCGAAAATTCGGTCTTTTTCATGAGGTTAGGTGAATGTACTAGTATCAGACAGTCGAAGACATCTGGATTATGTCGACATTGTTTCGTTCTCATGCTCGTGTGTTTATGCAGGCTGTCGTGCTCAATCGTCCAAGGGTCAAGATATATGATCCCCTAACATGCAATTATTGAATATAGGGTCAAACTGTGACAGTCTCATCGTCTTGTAAAACACGTCCGGATCCTACAATTGATATCTCCAAAGAATATGTCTATCTCCCAACTCCACTGCCTTCTCTGGACTGGTACTTTCATCCCACCCTTCTCCATCAGAGATCTCCCTCTCCCTCCTACGATTTTCGCGGCTCATCCACGCCCACAGCACACTTGCAATGACGATCGCAAACACCAAATACCCAATGCTGATGATGTGCGGTTTGCGGAACTGATGGCCAGAGAAGGACGGGCGGTAGAGTAGGACGCCCGTCACGGCGCCGAGGTCGCCTATACCGATTTGCATCGCGACGCCGGTGGCGCGTTTGGTTTGGCCCGATATGTTTTCGGATGGCCAGCTGGGAAGACGATTGCAGGATGAGTGAGTTGATTGTCGTAGCAGTGAAGAGGCTGCGTACCTGAGTAGTAGTGCGTTGCCAACATATACGCCGAGCGTAGCTAGATGGACGCCGAAGTATTGGGCTCCCGCTATTCCATGGATGATATAGCTTGTAGTTTCTCGGAGTGAGGAAAGTCATGACTCACGCGTATCCGATGCGCTAATAAGAATAATATAGCCTACCAATGCAATATATGTGTTACAGTCACGAAGAACATAGTTACGGCGTGAGCGATAACCTGCTACACTTACCGATGATAGCCACGCCAGCGCTGCCAACGATATAGGGAGCACGCAGCCGGGTCTTCGCAGAGTGCCAGGCGGCCATCCATATTCCAAGACTGGCCACTGCATATGGCGGTACGGTCAGCCTATGAAAATTCTTCAGCATAAGCTCGCCGAGTAGTAAAAAGAGAGATCAGCTTACAGCTGTGCTTGCCAGGACGCAAAGCCTAGTCCGGCAATAATCGTCGGCTGGAATTTGGTTTGAGCTCATCAAGAAGCCAGCACACTGTCGAGGACCAGCGAAGACTTACCAAGAACAAGCTTAAGGAGTATAGAGCAAAGGCATAGCCGTGGAAGAGGAGAGCATAACCCCAAACCAAAGGATCTGTCAGGGCTTGCACCACATACTTCCAAGCAAAAGTTTCCTTTGCTGCGGCATCCGAATCTGCTGCAAGCCTGGAGAGTAGTCGTTCTCTTTCGGATTCAGTGAGCTATAACAAACAGCCAACTAAGCTATCAACGGAAGATGAAGAGTATCAGACTCGAGCTCACGAATTTAGCTTTGTAGGCCCAGGTTGGTACGACAAAGAATGCTCCAATGGAGACGACAATGGTCAGGAGACCTTCTAGGATGAATATCCTGGCCATTCAACGGTTAATTGGCCGGAAATACGGGGTGTGTAGAGAGTGCGACACACCAAGCCCAGCCTCTTTTTCCTCCGATGCCATCCATCTTGCCAATCGCGAACGCTAGTATACCTGGAGGACGACCGATCAGCATGACCCCTGTGTCCCACGGTCAATATTAGCCTGAACATACCACCGAATGCGCCTGCAAGAGCTGCCGCTCCAAAAAAGGTGGCCACACGCCAGTGCCTCTCGTGTCTGAGGATAAGTGTTAATTTTGATAGAAGTTCCAGTAAGTCGAAGATTGACAAACCTGCGATAGTACACGGAGAAGAGGTAGACGCATCCAGGGAACAGGCCGGCTTCCGTCACTCCAAGCAGAAACCGTATGCCAAGGAGGCTGGCCTGATTAGTGACCAGCCCTTGGCAGACGGAGACTATTCCCCAGACGAGAGTGAGGAGCGGGAGCCAGAATTGAGGGTTGAATCTCTTCAACCTAAGGTGGGTGCAAAAGTTCATTATGTATATGTCAGTACGTCAAATCGTGCAGACTGGTGTAGAAGAACATACACGATCTATGTGGAAGATATAACGGTAAGTGTTGGATGTAGTCGAAGGTGCGGTGACACGTACGTTTGAAGGGACTTCGAAGATCACGTAGCCGATGAAGTACAAGGCAAGACTGGTATTATACGCAGGCCCCGAAACACCGAGATCCTGAACGTAGACTGGTGTCAATTAGATCTTCATCGTGAATGCTCATCCTCCGCACCGTCGTAAGACCATCTAGTCTATAACATGCGCGTATGTGAAGTTAGCATCGTCGTCCGGATTAGAAAGCAACCTTGTCACTCACTTTGCGTTACCGATGTTTGATCTAAGTTATCTAGTAGGTGAAGTGTCCCATGAGCAGTAGACTGGATGAAGCTTACCTGTCCAAGAAACTCAGGAGATAAAGGATGGTCAATATAGGTAATAACCTTTTGAATCAATAGATATATCTTGGTCACTGTGAGTGAATAAAACATGGATATATCAACGAACCTTCCATCAATCTTTCGTAGGAGTCTCTTGTCCTCTTTGGAATCATAGTTGTCTCCTTCAGACAGACTACCACGAGAGGAGTTTATCCCTTCTTTGCGCTTCTCATTGGCCTCACCGGCATGACCAGCGTCAAGCGAGGCGCCTTCAGTTTTTTCGACTGAGCCTGACATCAGTGTCTAAGTACGTCAAGACCAGGGAGAAGATCAGGAGCGTAGTAGAAACAGAAAGAAGGGTCCCGAGGAGGCGCTTGAGCAAATCGGACCGCTCGAAGGCATAAATAATGTGCACCACCACATCAACTCGTCAGAGACGTAGCCGATCGCGACATTTGGGTGGTTCCCAGGATACCTTGAAATGACTGCTTTCGATCTGACGTATCCCAGGGTCTGCACTAGAAGGAGTAATCACGTCAGACACTGGGTTGCATTCGACACGAATCTGGGTGAGTACCGGCTACTACAGAGGCACGACGTACTTGAGACGAATGTTGAATCCTCTCGGCGACAACGATCCTTCTTATTTCGGGCGTGGGAATAACCGCATATGGGCCACCTTACACTCTTGACAGTCAATGATCAACCCAAGACAAACAAGTAGGGCAGACACGCAAAACTTCCTGAGTCTTGTATGGTTGTCCAACATGCAAATTTCTCTTGTGCACACTATTGAAGCAGACCGAACGACCGCTCATCATTAAAGCGCATGCCTAAGTTCAGAGAAGATAGAATGTCAACCAGGCCAGAACGTGAGGGAGAGCGGTTACTAAAAGATAGGTATAAAGTCCTGAACTCTGTCCTTCGCATCCTGCGCAATACACTCCGCAATCCACGTCAGATTCCTGATCTCCTGCTCCTTCAACTTGAAGTACGCATAGAACACGCCATACTGGAACTGCTGCAGGAACGCGAGCTTGTTCAGGTGCACCTCCGCCACGAAGAACTTGTCTTCCAATTGTGACGCCAGTCCCAGGTCTCCGTCCACGTCTCCGTTGGCACCGCCGTTGGACGACGAGGACGCTCCGTCGAAGAACGTGCGGTATTCCGGGATGGCTTCGGCTACGGAGCGGACTTGGTCGATGTCGTCTGCTTTGGCGAGGGAGTTGTTGCCCTCGGGGAATAGGCGACCGATGGTGGGGAAGAGACGGGCGCGTTGTTCTTTGGTGAGCTCAGTGCCGAAGGAGTTGATGGTGATGTTGATAGTCCGTCTGTCGGCCTCGAAGGAGAGAACACGAGTCATGACATCCGCCGTAGGCCCATCAATAGACTTGCAGAAGGAGTAGAAGTCCTCGAGGTAAGCCTTGTAGAGCGTGTTGCGGATGATTTCGATGTTGAGGTCATCGAGGTCAGCGGCGGAGATGCAGTCACGGAAGTACTCCGCTGTGGAAAGGCGTTAGATACCGAGATATGAAGGGCCGTGAATGAAGAGCAGAAACGTACCTAATGGCGTCTCAACAAGAACGGTCTGGTAGAGCTCCTCAACGTTCGTGGCGACGCAGAGCGCGGGCATAGTCTCGAACCAACCAAGTGGATGACACCGTTCCAGAAGTTCATGTGTGTCCCTCTCATGCAGCGTTCCGGTGATAAGCAGGATGACGTTGTCAATCATGTACCCATATCTATCATACCATACAAGGCAGCAAGAAACCGAAGAGTCAGTGGTGCCACACTAGGTAAGTTATGGAATGAAGGTAGACGCAACGCACGTAATGTAGTCCAGGAACTTGCTCAGAGGCTCGACGGCATTGGTCCTAATGAAGTTAAATTGGTCGACGAGAATCTGGGTGGCCTTCTCTGCAATGGTTGAGGTCGAGATGGGGAGGGGTTCGTTGGCGAGGAAGTTGCCATAGTCCGTCGCCGATAGTTGTGTCCGGAAATCTACAGAGCGACAGGGATCCAAATAGTAAAGCATATATAAGTTGTCAGAATACCACTGGTAAATGTGGACATAGACGAGACGAGACGCACCTTCAAGTGTATCGCACTGAGTGAGGTTGGAGTAGTGCCCCTGGTTGAGGATACCGGCCTTGTAGCCGCGAATAATCCCCTCCAGAAATCCAGTGTCAACCTATGCAGGCCATAGAATATTCGACTGAGCGTTCTGACGCGTAGAAAGCAGGACGTACGTTGAAGAATAGGGCCTCCATGGCGGTTACAAGTAAGGACTGCAGCGGCACCGCTGTCCGCGTTGGACCCCGCGCGAGCGCTTGCCGGATTGGGCAGCACCGCGTTCTTGCCATCGGCGTCAACGGCGTCCACCACATATTCTGTCCTCCCCATTGCTTTGAATCCTTTCTTTGGTCCCGCAATCATGTCTGAGCTCTGTCCGCCATACGCGCCATTCTTTGGCTTTGCTGGTGTTGCGTCTTCGGTATGTGCTACCTCTCCTGCATGCACTGTACAGTCGTGCTGACGTTCGTGTCACTGTTTCGTGTTGTAGATGATATTCAGCAGTAAGTTTATAGCAAGAGCATGTGTCTGGTAGCCCGCTAAGCACTCCGAAATTTAGCTGTGGGTGCTGCGTATGGAACGTCGAAGGCAGGTATTGGTATTGCTGGGCTTGGACAGTTCAGACCAGAGTTGATCATGAAGGTGCGTCCTGCAGTGATAATGCCTCTAGCTCGCAACTTATACAACAATGCATTGGACAACATGTGTCTAGTCTCTCATTCCTGTGGTCATGTCCGGTATCATTGCCGTCTATGGTCTCGTAGTGTCTGTACTCATCGCGGGTGGTCGTAAGTTCCTCTATCCTCGAGACCTTTCGAAAGGTCTTCGAACGTCCTCGGCTTACGACCTTCGCGTCATCTTCTAGTTGACCCAGCGAAGGACTATACCCTCTTTGCTGGATTCATTCATCTCGGGGCAGGTCTTGCATGCGGTTTCACAGGTCTTGCTGCTGGGTACGCAATCGGTATCGTAGGAGACACGGTACGTTTGTTCGACTCATTGGAATTGGTGGGGATTGTTCTAACGCTCTACGTACCTGCCGCGTCTACTGTTGTCTTCCCTTCTACAGTGTGTGCGGGCCTATGTTTACGAGTCTCGAGTATTCGTGTCCATGGTCCTTATTCTCATCTTTGCTGAGGTTCTGGGTCTATATGGGTGAGTTCTGACTATCATATGGTCTATTGTCTGACCTGCCTTCTTTTCTCTGCACATTGCATATCGCGTTGCTGGACGTGACGCTGACATACCCCCTTGAACGCTTTGTGGCGCTAGGTTGATCGTGGCCCTCATTATGAACTCAAAAGCGACAGAATCGACGTGTTCATGATATCACCTCCTTATCCTCGCCCTCATCCCTCCATACCTTCATTCTCACTCAACGAACCCCAGACAACCACGCAGTAATCCAATGTACGGACTGCATATGGATACTTTGAGCCAGATGTATATATTCTCCGCGGTGTTCACATGGAACGCTCTAATTGCAACATACTTCGGTCTAGGATGCAGCCATAGTATTGGTATGCTGCGCGAGTAATAGAGCGATACAAAGGTACATGGTCCAAAAAAAAACAAGATAGAAGGGCTGAGGTGGCGCAAGATCAACAAGCTGGACAAATGGGGGAGTCGGTGGTGCTGGTCGAATAGACATTGAGATGCGGCTTCGTGCTGCTGCAGGGTCTTGTAATAAATTAGAGGTTTGGGGAAACGGTCTGTTGAACGCGACAGAGTGCAGAAGGATAACGAGGTGACTCAGTCTCGTCGGCCCCTCCTGCTGCTTTCGGCTGCTCCAGCAGAGGATACACTCGACGTGCGTCTGCGACGAGGAAGCCGACGTTTACTGTCCCTTTCACGAGAGCGAGAACCGCTGCTGTCGCTATCCTTGCTATCCGAACCAGAGTCTGAACCAGAGCCTGAATCTGAATCCGAGTCCGAGCTCGAGTCGGAGTCGGAGTCTGAGTTGGAGGATGAGGATTTTGAATCACTATGTGCGACATAGGATGTCAGAGATGGATCCTTCGACGAAGGGGGTGATGTAGATGCGTACCGCTTGGCGCGTTTGGAGGAGCGCTTGCTCGTTTCTTTCTCTCGTTCTTTCTCCTTTGCCTCCAGAATCTTGTTAGCTGTTCCAGACCTGTACCACATAAGTCACCGAAGCCACATCATCAGCAATCCTTTCGTATGGCCAATAGCAGAGCATCGCGCCGGCTTTCGATACAAAATGGTACGCACTTGGTCTTGAACTCCTCAGGGACCTGCACACTCGGTTCTCCATCCTTCCTCAACTTCGCTAGGACACTAGGCTTCTCCAGTTGTTTGGTACGAGATGGACGAGAGACATAGGGACGAGAGGATTTGCATTCGTAGGTGAAGTGGCCTGTGGGGAAGATGACGATGTGTTTAGTCCGTGTGCGCTAATTTATCCTTGCGAGATGGTGTGAGAGCTGTGCTAAACACGAACCTGTATCGAGACATTTCTGGCATATTGTGGTGGCAGATGGACGAGGGGTGTTGGCGCCACGACGATGAGGGGCGAACTTGGACATGGTGGTGGTTCAGTGCAGCGTGTGCAGCGTTCTGAGTCTCTGTGGCGGTGAGTGTGAGCGGTTACGTCAGCCACGAGAGCAGAAAGTGTGGCGTCGCCTCTTCAACCAGCGAGTCAACCACGATCATCATGACCACTCTCAGTTTCCCGTGTATAAATATCATGCTGGCATCTTATATCTACGACTTTTACTCCCAGCCTGGTCTAAAGCACTCACCCTTCGTTGCTCTTTCAGCCACCGTACAATGGGCGGCAAAGCTCTCCTCGCCCTCCTCCCGCACGCCACATTTCCCCGTCTCTCTCCTGCGCTCTACAACGCCATAAAATCACATCTACACGCACGGCTCTCTCCCCTCTTCGACAGGGTTACTATCCCCCATGAGGCACCAGAAAAACTTGACCATGGGGACATCGATTTCATTGTAGCTTCTCCTCAGCCAGGTTTAAAGCATCACGACGTTGAGCGTGCCCTCGGGACGACGTCGCAGCATAGTATACCTAGTCCTGAGGTGGGCGCAGGGACGAGTCATTTTGCTCTGTCGCTAGCTTTACTGGAGCGGGAGCTTGGCTTTGTTGAGGATGGTGCTAGCCATATCATACCTCACGAAGATTCCAGCCTTGTTACAAAGGCAGATGTGGACGGACGATACGTCCAAGTGGATGTGCATCTCTGTCCTGACGTAGAAGACTTCGAGCGCGTCGTCTTCTTTCATGGGTATGGTGATCTTGGTATGATTATGGGCGCTCTGGCGAGGAGCGTTGGCCTGCAGCTTGGCTCTAAAGGACTCAAGGTACGGACGGTCACCAGAGTATCAATTCTCTAAGATCTCCTCGCTGATTTCTCTCGTGTGTTGACCTTAGATTTCTTCGCCCGCCCTTGCACCCACATTCTCCACGTCGTTCCAGCTCTCATCGACCTTTCGTCCAATTCTTGCCTTCTTCGGACTCTCCCTTGCTCGATGGGAACAAGGCTTCGAGACCCAGATCTCCGCGTTCGAATGGATTGCCACTTCGCCATTCTATGATCCTCGCAGGATCGCTTCGCGCGACTCAGACAATCCGTCACGGGAGAGAAGCCTTCGTGACAGAAAAATCTATCAAGCGTTTTGGGCGTGGAACGAGTCGCAGGCTCGGCCACAAAGTCCTCATTCCGGGTTCATGTCTTCGGTTGATGGCGATGGCGAGGTTATGTTACAACCTGAAGAACGATCCACTTTTGTAGCAGGCGTGCACGAGGAAGCTCTGGTCTACTTCGGTAGGAAAGCTGAGCATGACGAGTTAATGGAGCGGAACCAAAGGCGAATCAAGTTCAAGAAAGCCTGGAACGGGACGAATGTGGGTGAGTGGACTGGGTGGTATGGATCCGATGTTGGGAGGGTGATGAAGCTTGTTAGAGAATGGGTGGGAGGTGAGGAGGTTATGATGAGTGAGAAGATGGGGGAGGAGCGGTTGAAGGAGATGGTTTTGTTGGCGAAGGTCGAGGTGGAGAGGCGGAAGACTTTGGATAAAGAGGCGTTACCTGAGTAGAGAAAGTTGAATGGTATTCCCGAAGGACTCGGAGATTCCGCCTCTGCGAACTGTCTTGAGGACCACTTTTGCTAAGCACGGTTTTGATTAGGGCGTATATCTCATTCTTATTTGGTCAGTTCAAGTCGTTCTGTGATGCTTGTCTTCTAACCACCTACACACTTAAATGAACAGTTGTTGTAGGTATAGGCTACCACAACCTTAAGGTAAGTTATATTTCTATGACCCACCCTAATCCGAAGACCAGCGGACATAGTGCTTGCATATGTTCCTTTGATTCCCTCCTTCAATTACTATAGCAAAGTCATAAGTGTCCTTCAGCTGACCTGTAGCTATTCTTCGTTAGGATTTGCATCTACAGAGCCCCCATGGTACTGGAGTACAATATTGACAAACTTGAGCTTACCATCACACCTGTCGGTGCCGGATTTATACATGACTCTTTGTCTTATTTCAAACTTCCAAGCGTTGTTCGGTATGTACATCTGACTCATGCGTATTCTGCCTCCTGTACGAGAATCACATAGAAGATGAAGCTGCACGAGCAACTTCACATGTCGTAAAGTTGACAACGACGGGAGTAACGGAATGCGATGTCGGCGTTCGTTGGCCATGGGAAGCCCGCAAGGGATTACAGCACCGAACCCAGCCCTATATAAACGCATCATTCGAGCGGTGCCCATTCTCTTCAGTCCTTTCTTCCTAACCACTTGGACGATCTCTTTGGCAACTCCGGTACCCAACTCAGCATATCAACTGTCCAGTTTCTCCTATTGCTAAACTAGTCACTGGTGTCATGGCAGAGCAACCTTTTCAGGTCAACGTGTCAGACGCAGATATCCAGCTTCTTCACAACAAACTGGAGCTTCATCGTTTTCCTGACGAGCTAGAGGACGCAGGATGGGATTATGGAGCACCGCTATCAGACATCAAACGTCTTGTCGCTAGGTGGAAAGACGGCTACGACTGGAAGAAGTTTGAGGCCAAGCTCAATCAATTCCCCATGTTCACTCGCGACATTGCGGTCGAGGGGCATGACACGCTGAACATCCACTATATCCATCAAAAGTCGACCGTGGCGGGGGCTATCCCTCTTCTATTCGTTCACGGGTGTAAGTCACAGCCATTTCACTTTTAGCCATCTCGCCGAATTGATATTGATGAAAGCCTCTACTTATTTCATATCGACAGGGCCAGGCAGTATCATCGAGGCTCTCAAAATTATACCCATTTTGACAGCGTCGCAACCCGACCAGCCAAGTTTTCATTTGGTTGCTTTCAGTCTTCCGGGCTATGGCTGGTCGGAAGCACCGCACAAGAAAGGGTTCGCCGGCGAATGCTATGCGGAGGTTCATTTTCTTCGTTTATGTCCTGCATACTTCGTAGAACAGGTCTAAATGGATTATTCTGTGTTATAGATTGGCCACAAGTTGATGCTTTCTCTTGGGTACGAGGAGTATGTGACGCAAGGGGGAGACTGGGGCAGTTTGGTACGCTGAGCATCCACATTGGAGCATGTCTGGGATATATTGATGTCGTTATTCATCAGATCACTCGCATCATGGCCAGCAAATATGGGCATAAGCATGTCAAAGCTTGGCACACGAACGTAGCGATGTACGTTTTGACGCCACAAATCATTTATGAGATGCTTACAATAAAAATTTGCCAGAGGATCGCCTCCAAAACTCCTATCAAGCCCTTACCAGTTCTTCGTCCACCTCCTTACGCCGTACTCCGAGGAGCTTTACAACGTACCCAGCACCTCGTGGCTACAGGACAAGGCTACTTCCACGAGCAGTCGACTCAGCCACAGACGATCGGATACTCTCTCGCCGACTCTCCTGTCGGCCTGCTGGCATGGATCTACGAGAAGCTGGTCGTCTGGACAGATGCGTATGATTGGGAAGACGACGAAGGTGCGGTTGGTTTAGACATATACACTGGCGAATATGATCAATGACCGTGAGGGATGCTGCAGTCTTGGATTGGATCTCGATCTACTGGTTCTCCCGCGCCGGACCTGCTGCGTCTGTTCGCATTTACTACGAGATAGTCAAGACTGGATTTCTGGGGTCGCTGCCACCATATATATCCATCCCTACCGGCCTCTCATACTTCCCGCAAGAGTTAATACAGTCTCCCAAAAGGTAAGCCTATGCATATACGGCGGAGTGTCATGATTTTCTGATTTCTTGGTGTGACCTTTTTCAAGCTGGGTCCGCGCTGGGAGCAATGTCGTCTTCGAGTCCTCCCACAAGCGCGGGGGCCATTTTGCTGCGTACGAACGACCGGAGGACTTGGCGGGAGACCTACGGAAGATGTATGCGAAGGGTGGCCCTGCTTATAAGGCAGTACCTGCAAAGAGTGGTTATGAGAACTAGACGGCCCGAGCGCGCTAGTGATGATTTGTGACCAAAGAAAAAAACAGACGCAAGGGTCCTCCATTGCCTGTTGTACAACTGTCCTCTTGATATAGGTGCAGTACGATCTTCAGGATGTGTATCAGCTACCGTAACAAGTTCAGCATAGTATTTCATACACATCGGCCTGAAGCGTAGGAGAGACCATGATGATTCTGCAAAATGAGGAGATTATTACTGTGGCGTGTCCGCAAGCCTCGCGACCAGCTTCGCGCCACTGACTTTCCCAGACCTCAACTTCACCCTCTCCAATCCATCCGCAATACCAAGCAACCCATCCGGAAGCAACTCGACTTTACTCGGCTTCACATCACCATCCCTCAACATCCCCTCCAACGCAGCGTACAAACTCTTCCCGAGCCGCGCATCTCCTACCTGGTCATTAAACACACTCCCCAGCACGCCGATAATCTTACGCCCGTCCTTGTCCACGAAACCGTTCTCTCCGATGGACTTGGGCGGGTTGGGGTTTACGCCGATCAGAGTACCGGAAGGCGCGAGGATGGACCAACAGGCGAGTTGAGACTCCTCGAGCGCGATGCAGTCCCAGATGACCTTAATGGGAGCGGTCGTGATGGACGTGACGGCCTCAGCGAACGCGGGTCCATAGGGCACCTTGGTGTAGTCGATGGCATGGGTCGCGCCTGCGGCTTTGCAGTACGCTTCGTTGCGCGCGGAGGCGGTGGTGATAATGGGGCTGAAACCAGACAGCTTCGCGAGCTGAATAGCTGCGCCATTCAAGTCCAAGGTTAAGAATCATTAGCTTGAATCGCGAATGGGGATTACTCTAGTGTACGCACCATTCTGGCCAACGTTGCTTGCTCCTCCTATGACGATGATAGGTTCGTTGTGGTACTTATCCCTGCCACCCTCCCAGGGGGCAACGAGACCCGCTCCGCCATGAGCCTTCCTCGACTGGCCATAGAGTCCTATGGTTGCGACGCCAAGGCACATCGGAAGGGTCGAGGCTTGTTCAAGGGTAACATTAGAGGGAACCTGTAGCAAGCAAGCAGCGTCATGAGATGCGGGGGCGTGCAATGACAGAACAGAGGACGGGACGAACCTTGGCCGTCACAGATGCATCTGCGATCCCGAAGTCCTGGAAAGTATGCATCTCCAGAGTCGCGGAGTCGGCGATATACAGACTGTAGCAGATATTCGACCATGAGTCCCTGTGGTTCGAAGTGGATGAGGATTACGACGACTTACACCCTGTCACCTTTCGCGAACTTGGTGACGTCCTCGCCAACTTCCTCTACGATGCCAGCGCCGTCGTATCCACCGACGAAAGGGTAGGAAGGAACGAACATTCCCATCTTGTGCTGAAAGGTGTCGACCGGGTTCAAGGCGGCGGCAACTATCTTTTTGGTATGATACGCGTTAGCGTTGAATAATTGTGTGGACAAAAAATACGAAAGCGTACCTTGACCAAGAGTTGACCCTTTCCGGGTTTCAGAGTAGGGCGTGTCCCGAGGGCGATGGGAGCGCCTTTCGACTCGACAAGAAGTGCTCTGTGGGTGGCGGTAGACATGGTCGGTACAGTGGTAGTGTTCAAAGTTTAGAGGTGGATGTGAGTGTGCGTCCAAGGCTGTATTGGATGAGCCTTGATGTTGACACCATGGGGTTTAAGTACCCAGAGCGTATACCTGTTTCTGCGTACAGATGCGTGGATTAACAAGGGTGAACTTAGTTACCGGGACATCGGCCTAGCCTCGTAAGTATCGCGGAGTGAGCATCCTCACACCCATATCCACCCGATGGGCCAATGATAGGCTAAGGTGGCGAGTGTGGGCCACAGTGACGAGCTGCCTCATTTGGAGGATCCACCTCAGACCCGACGCTTTACCACATAAATCGCAAAGGGATACCTTCTATATCAGACCTGATAATGGTACTGGTTACGTGCACCCAGCGGTGTTCCATCAAGTCGGTATTTCCCGCCTGTGTCCCATCCATCCACTGGACGGACTGCGCTGTGCCATCAAGTATATATCACCCCTGATCCACATACTGTCCTTGATCTGTGAAGTGGCTTGTAAGTGAGAATGTCGCTGCTCAACATGTTCCTCTCACTCCGCCGCCTGGATATTATCATTATATGCGCGGAACGTATATTTCAGCATTTGCTCGGAGGAGTTGACATTGGGAGAGAAGAAGATAAACGTCAAAGCTCGTCTGCAGATGCGAGCAAAGGACGGTATCCACTTCAAACCCGTGGTACCGTGTGCAGGACGAGCCATGATATGGTGCACAAACATCGCCAGCAAAACAGCCGCCACCGCCACCGACCGTCTGTGTGACTGAGCTGTATATGGGACCTTGGCCTGTAGGTTGCCTCCACATCGATCATGAGCTCGACAGACCCTCCGCCCAAAGCGTCGACAGGTTTCCGCTTCAAAAGACTAGTGAAAGCAGCGCAATCCGCATGTTTGGAAACAATGCCTCCATGCAGTTCGATAACAAGCCTCGAATGCGGACAAGACGTTCGATGTCAATCATCGCGGTATACTAGACGTTTGCCAGAGATTTACTCTCCCAAGGTAAAGCAGGGATTTCGGAGCCCACGGGATGATAATATGACGCTTGACCAGGTAGGAAACCTCGCGAAGCAATTCGAATAGCCAAGAAGAAAACAAGGGTTCAAGACAAGACAGCCTAGGAGACAAATGTGGTCAGGGAAACATCTTGACTTTGCAGCCGAGTGCTGTTTCGCTAGGCAGGTGAGCATGTCCAAGTCTCTCGGTAGGCCTTTTGGTATCGAGGCAGAGTTTCTTCGATATGATTCGAAGATGGATGCCAAGCTAGACTCCTTCTTAGAGAATGATGCGGCCATACCAGTAAAGCTGGTTTGAGAGATGTCGGTGTAGTGACTGGTAGTACGGATGAAAGACAGTGTCGAAAATAGGGAAGCTGGTAGAGTGCGGCATCCGTGGCAGGGACGAGCGTGGCTCCCCGCATAGAGCCGGACTGATGGTCTCGAACTGGCTCGGACCGGAAACATATGATGACGGACGAGATTCCGAAGCCGGCGGTGGTCGCACCGTCGGACTACCTCCGCTCGCCAACTTCTTAGCGGTCGACGTCCACAACGACGACGTAGCTCAGCTCGCCAGTCGAGCCCCACAATAATGTCGAGCAGCACTTTCCCCGAGTTTCCGAGCCCGCCGTCGAGCACGGTCGATAGCACGGCCAGTGCGTCTTCTACGGACTCGTCGAGCGGGGATGATGGTAGCGGGAGTACTGGAGGAGCTGCTAACTCATCGCTTTATCTGTGCGTCATTATTTCATCGTTTGTTCGTGCCGTATATTGTGCTTGCTGTGGACTCTCCTCATGGCTTGTGCGGTATCACTTTTGGCTTCATGTTCGACTTTTATGGGCCAGGTTAACTGACATCGACTTACATTCCTCACTGCAATCATTCTATGTACCACCTAATCCAACAGCTTCACCTTCCTCGCCACCCTCTTCCTCCTCCTCTTCGTCTCATGCGCAATCATCCTGCGCTCCTTCATCCTCCGCCGACGCTTCCGCCAACGCGTCGAGGCAGCCATCCTGGCGGGTGTGCTCCACCCTTCACACGGGATCTATCTCGGTAGTTTGCACAATTTCGGAGAGAAACCGAAGATGTGGGATACATGGGTCGCGGGGACGGGTGGAAAGGAAAAGAACGGCTGGCGGGATATTATGGTGCGTTCTTTGCCATCTTCGCATCTACATTTATTTTTGTTAACGTGGGAAGCACACCCAGCCCGTCTCCGTACAGCCTCTGTTCAGCTCAAAATCCCCTGATTCCAATTCGCATTCGCATAGTCATACCCATAGACACGCTCAAGATCCCAGCAGCCAGACATTCGACAGCGCCTACTCATCCTTCTCCACCCGCCCGCTCATATCCCGTCTCAACCCATTCTCACGACGTGCCCCGTCTTCTGCGTCTACCGACACTACCTCATCTTCCGAGGACACATCTCCTCAGCCCTCATCACCCTCGCATCAGCAACCGGAACCTCAACCGGAAGCGATGCAGGTCTCAGTGCTTATCGCGATGCCGTCGCCCCATCGACCGTCTATCCAGGGAATAGGGAGCAGTGCGGATATGTCGTTGAAGGGAAAGGCAAGGAAACCGAGCACGGCGTCGTGGGAGTATGAGGAGGAGTTGCCGGAGATGGTGTTTGGGGTGGCTAGGCAGGCTTTGAGACGGTGACGGGATTTGTGCTACTCAACGCGTACGGCAGGTGGATGTTGTAGGTTTTGGATTTTGGCGGGCTGCTGGCAGCGGAGAAGATGGACATGGAAGTGGAAGCGAAATTAATCTTGTTGTTCTGTATGCACTTGCTCTCGTTTCTCGCTTTTTGCCTGTTTGCGTTCGGTATTCTTGCCCCTGACATACTCATATCCGCGGCCCCACACTTTTTACCCCGTATTTGTCTCTGTTCTTTTAAAGTATCTATGTAGATGTAATACCATGTTTTGTATCATTCCCTCGTACAACGAAACGCCATTGGACCTCTACTTATTACATATCTTAAGCCACACTTCGAGAAACTCACAACGCTCAAATTCAATCCACATCATCCAACATATCAAGCACATGCCCACGCCCACCATTCCGGTCTTCATCCTCATCTTCCCACTCCTCATCCCCCTCCTCCTCAATCGGAATATCCGCCATATCATCGCTCTCCTCGTCGCTCTCCTCCTCATCATCGTCATCAATACTCAAAACATCCCCCTCAAGCACCACATCCTCATCCTCCTCATCCCCATCATCGCTCCCCTCAAACCACGCAAACTCCTCAACGTTCCCCCTCAACCACGCCTCGTCTCCCGTCCCTATATCGTCCTCCATCTCTACGAGCAGACGTTTCAGTGGATGGCCGGATGCGCGGCGGGAGGTGATTAGGGAGCGGAGGTAGGGGCCTGGGACGCCCCGGGTGGAGAGGGTTTCGAGCGAGGGGAGGTAGAGTTTTTTGGCGGGTGGGGTTGTGGTGTTGGTAGTATTGGTGGGGGTGTTGTTGTTGTTGTTTATGGCGGGGTTGGTGGTGTTGGTGGTGGGACTGGGGGGAGGGGCGGTGGAGGGAGGGAGGGAAAGGCCGTCGGAGGATGGTGAAGGTATCGAAGGATCGAGCAGGGAGAAGAAGAGTCCGTCGAGACGGTGGGCGTCGATGTTCAGCATCTTCAGGTTCGGCATCGCATCATACAACTTCATCACCGCCTCCTGCGTACAATTCAGCTCGCTGATCTTCAGGCCTTCGAGGCCGGCGACCATCGATGCACAGCCGCCGTAGGTGCTGCTCGATCTCCGGGGCGCGAGAAGCCCATCGAGGACGAATTCCGTGAAATCTTCGGTGTCGTAGTCGAGTGCGAGTGTGGACAGGTTAGGCAGGGAGAGCCGGGCGATGAGTGGGGTTATGTAGTTGCATGGGTGATAGGCTAGTACGAGGTTTTGGATCGAGGGTAGGACGGTGTGGGTGGGTAGGGTGGTGAGGGGATCGGTGGGCCAGGAGGAGGGATCGCCGGAGGGGCCGGAGGAGCAGAGGGTTAGAGTGGTGAGGGAGGGGGAGTTGGAGAGGATGCGGGTGAAGGAGTCGTAGGAGGGTCGGACGTCCTGCGTTCGATGTTAGTTGAAGATTGTGGCGTGCAGGTGTAGCGAAGACGGAGAGGAATGCTGAAATCTATGTAACTTACCTTTGAATGGTACGCCAGCTCCAGATCCTCGAGTCCTTCCAGGAAACTCGCCTTATCCCAATCAAGATGCACGCCCCACAAAGCGACATGTTTCAGCTGTGGCGCCCTCCCTCCAAACGGAATCAACCCCTCCTTCATATCCTCATACCTAAACTCATCCTCGTCCTCGTTCTCCGCCTCGTCTTCATAATGATACAACTGCAATGCCTTGAGTTGGCTCGCCTCGCCTGCACTGGCGAGACTCTTGAGCGTGTGATACATCACTTTATAGTCCGAGACCATGAGCTCGAAGACGCCCCAGCGTGCGACGTGGGGAAGGATGATGTCGCGGATGGTGTCGAGGTGGGCGGGGGAGATAAGATGGGGCGGAGGAGAGGTGGAGGAGTCGGAGGTGGAATAATCATCTTCTTCAGGGTCGGTGCAGTCGATGTCGATGTCGAGAGGACATTCTTTTGAGCGTTGGATGTAGGTCTTGGCTTTGTCGAAGGGGGGCCCGTCGGTGAAGTCGAGCTCGGTCCATAGATGGGGGCTCTGGGAGGCATGAGATAAGTAAGAGTGAGAGTGTCGGTGCGAAAAAAAAAAGAGGGAACGGACCTGGATAGCGACATCCCTCCATCGTCTACAGACATGGGAGACCAAGATCTGAAACTCGGATTCCGGCTGATCGTCGTCGTCGTCGTCGTCGTCCTCATCCTCATCATCATCCCAATCGAACTTCTCCTCGTCCTCCTCCTCCGTCCCATCATCGTCCTCGTCTCGCGCCCTCTGCGCCTCGACCCCCAACGTAAAAATATATGCCAACAGCTCGTTCGGCAAGCCATCGACCGGACATCTTCCATCGGCAGGTGGCACAAAAGGATTACCTTTCAACTTTTTACGAGCGAGGGAATCACGCGCGGCGCGTTCTTTGCCGGTCGGGATACCTCCTCTTTGTTTTGAAGAAGAAGGATAGGAGCCGGGAAAAGGGGGATAGGTCGATGCGCGTGAGTTGGAGTTGGAATTGGAATTGGCACGGAACATCGATTTGCGGAGGTGGTCTTCGATGCTGAAGTTGTTGAGACGGACGACTTGGACGTCAGAGCTGGAGGGCCCAAGGTCGTCGAGTGTGGGGAAGAGGGCGAGGTGGGCTTGGAGGACTGCTTCTTGTTCGTCGGTGAGACGGGGGTTGTTCCCGTCGTTGTTAAGACCAGAAGACATAGTGAAGAAGAGGATGGGACGGAGACGAGGACGGGGACGGGGATCACGGCGGCGACTGCAGAAAGAAAAATCGCGATCACGTGGAGGGGCTATTCAAACGCGTCGGTCATTTGTTGGGCCACGGGTGGCGTGGCGTTGGATTTATTCTTCAGCAGAAAGACATAGAGCGTACATACATGTCGTCATTAGATTATCTACTCATCTATCATGAATCGTGCCCGCAAGTAGATCCGTGTCCAGGCTAGGTTTCAGAGTCGGGAGTTCCATGACAAGGAGTGGGGTTTGCACGAGCGCAAGAGTAATCGTTATTCCGCTAAATCAGGTACGGGGATCTCGGGACCGGATACGACTTGGATTTCCAATATCAGATTCACCAATCTCGCTTCCTTCTCATAAGTAGCATATGCGTGGCGTGGAGCGGGTGCGCCCCACCTTTACAACGACAAACTGCGCGTTGCGAGCACGAGTATCGATGACGCGCCGACGAGAAGTTGAAGGGCTGGTTCGGAAGCGCGGCTGTATCGGCTGAATGGGCCTCTTTCTGATACTAGTAAAGAGGGCGTTGTCTTCGTACGCTGTCTGGATGATTTATTCTTTGAGTAAATGACATGGCGTGGTGTAGTTCAGTGCAGCAACAAGGATTACATGCGATGGGAGAGCTAGATATCGGGAAAGGGCGAGAAACAATGGAGGGGCGTATTATGGAGCAGAAGGGTATGTTATATCGTGCGTGGGGCGAGCGTCATCTAATATATAAAGCGATGTCAGGGAATTTTAGGGAGATACAAGACTATGAAATTCGTAGTGACGAGAAAGCAGTCAAACAACAGCGGCGACAGACAGATGGATAATGATGCAGTTTGAGATGCAAGAATAAGCAAAAGTCGAGAAAGCACACACGGGATACAATGATGGTCAAGATAGAGGACTGGAGCGAATCGAAAATAATCAAAAGCAGGTGAAAATAAAGCAAAGATGACAATGGAGTCCGAATGCTGAATCGAGTGACGAATGAAGTCTGATAAATTGGAAATTTCAGGCGTTGCGCGACCTAAGGGTCCGTCAATACATATTACATTATCAAAGATCGTACCAGTGAAGGCCTCGTCGCCCTCTTCAGATACCGCAGGCATGACACCTCCGCCCAACATCGATGGTCACGAAGACGACGGTCTACTGTTGCGTATGGTAGCCAGGGTGGACACCGCTCGCTGGAGATGGACTGAGGCCGTCGCGATCCACGCTCCCCGACATATGATATTGCTGCTGAGCGTAGAGACCCTGACTATTTACGCCAGAATGATGGTGGGATAACGAAGGAAGGGAAATCCCGTGGCCGTGGCCGTGCCCACTATGTGACTGCGACGAGAGATATTGTTGGGGGGCAGAGGCGGCGCTGAGCGGGATGCCGTGCGACACGTTCGACGAGGCGTACTGCTGAGAGGCCATATGAGCCGGCGTAGGGAAGGTGTAGCCGGTGTTGACGTTGTTCTGCTGCTGCGTATAGCCGTAATCGCTCGAGGAAGAGCCACGGTTATATCCTGCGTTGTTCATGATGAGATTGCGCTGATGATACGAAGATGCGTAAGGATCCGATCCCAGAGAACCCTGCTGAGATTGGGAGAGTGATTGGAGAGACAGGGGGGTGTACAACGAAAGATTATCGGTCGGCATCGATGCTCGACGACCGTCTCGAGAAAGCAGCGAGCCAGAAGAGACAGATGAATGGGGAATAGACCCGCGCTGTGAGGGAAGGGGATGTGTGCTCGCAGGTCCGGTCGATGAACGCTGAGCCGGTGCGAGAATGCGCCGTCGGGCCTATCGAGGAATATATAAATTAGTGATGCCTCGATGGGAATGGAAGACGGAGAGCAATGTGGCCTCACGTTGATCATCCAATTTGAGACCTGGCTCATGCTCAGCCCTGTCGCCGCGCACAGCTGCTTCTTCTCCTCCTCGCTCGGATAAGGATGGTCGGAATGGCGGTGAAGCCAGTCCTTCAGAAAGTCCGTCGTTGGTTTCGGGAGTTTCCCCCGCTTCTTTTGTGGTGGGCGTTCGACGGTGGGAGGCGTGGGTGCCGGACCGCCACTTGGCGAGCGCGAGGGAGATGGCGTGCCACCTCCGCTGTCTTGGCCAGCCGAGGGTAGTAGGAAATCTGGCTGGCTGAAGCCCCACTCGTCCTTGACACTATCGGGGGCTGACTGGGCATAAGAGGCCCTGCGATCGCTGTGACCGGAGATGCGTGCGGCGTTTCCGTACATGGATGTTTGCGGATGTGCGTCAGTTGGGAAGTTGTAAGATCCAGAGAGAGAGGAGTGACGGATGGAATCGTCGTATTTGAACGAGAGGGACGATCCTGGAGAAGAGGTAGGTCGGTTTACGCCGGGCAAGGAGAGCGAAGACGTGTTGCTCGCGGGACTCCACTGGTCCGAGTCACCGTACTGGACGGAAGGAAGAGCGTGGCCGCTGCGTGAGAGAGCGTAGTCTGACGAGAGAGGCGTGCTGTATGGGGCTGAAGACACGGACGGAAAGGAGGAAGAGGAGGCCGACTGTGTGGCGCCTGAGAGAGTATGATCGTTATGCAGTAAGGACGAGTCACCGAACGAAGGGTCGAGCTGAGAATCGGAGCCTAGTCTGGTGCGAGTGGACCTGTTTACGTCGTCGACGAAAGCCGAGGATTGGTTGGGGAACTGATAGGACGCCAATGCGGAAGGAATATTCGTGGACGGCGGTGTGCGGGAGAGAGCAATGGCGGACTGCCTCTGGCGGGCGAGTGCCTCGGGATGGAGGGTTGGGACAGAAACGCGGCGCTGGTCGTTGCGAAAGTGGCTGTCAGTGGAGTTGAAAATGGACGGCAGCTGGATCTTCGTGCTGTCGTCTTCGACAGAAGACGTCGGGTGTCTGGGGCTGTCTGTAGACGCGGGGGAGTGCTGCTGCGGACCGGAGTGCGCGTGCCACTGTGGGATAGCTGGGCGCTGTACGGGAGAGCGGACGGGGGACTGAGAGTGGCTGTCTGGTCTGTGTGGCGCGACGCTGTTGATTGAGTCGGAGGGCGAAGCAGAGGAGGACATGGCGGGGTTAATATAGAAGGCGTGCACTTCCTCCCGGACTGGCGACCTAAAGCGGGAACGAGGTGAGTAAAAGGGCCGGGGCGGACATGAGGAGGGAACGGAAGAAGAGGGGGCGAGCAAGGTACATATGAATTTACTGCCAGTGATGGCCGGAGAAGCCGCACCAGAACACGGATCACTGGTAAGAGGCAGGGAAGCGCCCGACTGCGTCGTACTTTCTGCACTCGGCCGTAGGGGAGACGATCTCAGATGCAAGCACTAGCAGAATAAACTCGTGCGAGCCCGACAGCGAGGCGGTGCAGCGGTGGCTGAGGTGACAGGTGGAAGGGAAGGGGAGGGGAGGTGTCGAGAGGGAGAGAGACTCACTGGCGGGGTGCAAACGCAGACGAGAGATGGTGGAGAGCGAAAGCAGGCGCGTTTTGAGACGGCGAGCACTGGATCATCTGGCCGAGGACCGACCAAAGGCGGGAAAGAGCGCGGCTGGAGGATCGACAATGACGCCGCCTCAATATATACCCAATCCAACCCACCGGGCGCGGCGCCCCCCTCTATTTCGCTCGAATATCCACACACACGGCTACGTGCGCATCATTACCTCCAGCGCGAGCTCAGAGGATCCTCCTCCCAACATTCCCTTTTCCTGTCTAATTGCCTCTTCTAAGCCCATCATCCCCGTGCATCCGAGGGCCCGTGCACGACGCCCACTTCCCTCCAATTTAGTCCTCGAAAAAGAGAGTCAACCGAGCCGGTCATGCTCAAATTTCCCCGGGACTCAACTGTCCTCGGCACGCTCCGCCGTCGTCCCGGATCACGACCCGCCCCTCATATATCCGAACCTTCTCAATATACCTCTGCCTCCCCCGGCGCACATCCCGCTCCGACCACCATTTTTCGCTCCTGACCGGCTCAACAAAGTCTGAGCACAAGCTCAAGCAGCCACAACCGAGAGGTTTTCTGCCTCGTGTTGCATTAATCTGGCCGCACGAAATAGGCTACATTGCATCAAAGGCCCGATGAGGCAGTGAACCTCTGGACGAGCCAAAAGAGGGAAACCCGGGGTATCTTGATTAATCCCAGGCACACCATCTTTGCGGACTTTCACCGCTTCCACCAATCCTTCCCACGCCTCGCTGATGCTGAGACTCGTGCGAAGCCCAGACATCGACGGTCTTCGCTCGTTTCTGCCGCGGAGGTTGTCAATCGTTGTCGTCCTCCATCTGATCCCATCGCTTCTCTGGTTCTTTGCACCTTGCGCGCCACCACGACGTTGATCAACCAACCTTGCTAACATGATCAAAAACAGTCGATCCACGCTCGCTGTCCCTCGTCGCGACGAACATACAGCGCGCTCGTGATACACGAAAGGTCGCTGTTGGTTCGGTGCGGCTACACACACGTCCCGACGGTCCGAGGTAAGGCGGTACGGCCCTTCTGCGCTCGTTAGTTCGACGAGGATCCCACTAGCCTCCCGGTCTCCTTCGAGCTTCCCTAGTTTCTCTTCACCTCCGCGTCCCTCGCGCATTGCGATTTATTGCGCGTAAGAGATCAGCTTCCATTCGCGCTCGAACCCTTATGGAAGGGGGTGGGTTTGCATGGAAGTGAAACCTTTAGCGCCCGTTGAACGCGGTAGTCGTGCGTACGAATGCAGACAGTCATAAAAGACCAGGCTGAGTCCGAAAGCAGATGCATGATGTCCCCCTCCGTGAAGCACGGATCGTACCTCCTCCCTCACAGCAACCTCCGACTTGCTCCACTCGAGATCCTCCGCCTCCCTGGTCTCGCCCTCCCGCTCTCCCTCCGTGAAACGCATCGTAAAGCGAAAATGCAGGCTGCAACACGTGCTGCTGAATTGAACACCGCCCGTGCGCTCCTGGCTCCACGAACCTTGGAAACGTCGGGGAAACACATCATGATGATCTCTGCAGCTTCGCCTTCGCCATCCCTTCCAAAAATCTCTCGGCCTTCTCCTTTTCTTTCCTGCTCACTATCACCCCGTCTAGCATCTTGATGTTCGCGCATGCCTTCATCACCAGCCCACGATAGGCTAGTCGTTGAACATAAGCATCGTTGGGTAGATCGCGCCGAAACTTAGCGTCAAGCTCGTGCCACGACGACGCCGATGACGTTCTTAAGGCTCGTCCCCGGCCCGTCGGTTTACCGGTTTTGGGCAAGGCCTCCGACGAGGCGCCTCGCCCGCGACCGTTGAGAGCGGCATCGACTGCCGGCGGTTGCTGTTGCTGCTGCTCCAGAGCGTCTTGGTGATTTTGTGGACGTGTAGTTTGTGCGCTGTTGCTGCTGCTGCGTACACGGTGGCCCGGTTCCGACGGCTGCAGTGCGCCAGGCACGTCCTTCACCAATAGGGGGAGGTACCAGCCTAGAGTGCACGGATTCATCCTGCAATGAACCGAGCGGATCAGCGGCTACGCGCGCGAAAGAGAAAAAAAATGAAGAGAAAACGGCGCTAAAAGACAAGACGTTGTTTGACCATGATTGACCCCGATAATGCAAGGGTCCGCTCAGGGAGGATGGTGGACAAAAAAATTGCACAGCGATGAACGGAACAAAAAGGAGTAACTCGCAAAAGTTTACGTCTCGGCGATCGAACAATTCCTATTGCGGTGCCCGAACACGAACAAGTCGAGAGATAGCCTTATGCTCTGCAGGATTTAGGCAAAAGCCACTCATGAAGCAGAATACCGCGCGGTTGTCGAAACTACTGAAAACTTCTGGATGAGACGAAAGGAGGATTAGACGTACCTAAAGTCGACCATCTCCACATCCGGACACCCTCGTAGGACCTTGATGATCCCCTTAGTGCCTTTCAATCTGGAGCCGATGATCGTCAACTTGTTTAACCGTCGAAGGCCTTCCAGGGGCTTCACCTCCTGGAAAAAGTTGTAGTTTAGATTAAGTACACGCAAGTTCGGGACGAGCGACGCGAGGTTGTCCGGTAGCGTGCTGAGCCTGCATGCCGCAATCTCGAGATAAATGAGATTGTAGCATGGCTCGGAAAGAAAGCTTGGTGGTAGCGGGTTTCCTAGAGCCAATTGGGAAGATGACGGTTTCGGAGATCAATACACAAGCGTACGACGTAAGAAAGGCAAAGAAATGGTGTTCACTCAATGCCACCATCAGCCACTCGAGAAGACGTACCTGATAAATACAAACGTTTAACGTCCCTGACGGCGCGTACCGAGAACGTTCTAATTATTTGATAGGAGCGACGAAGTCAAAAACATGCAACAGAGGTAAATAGAGATAGCTACTCACAGGCCTTTTCCGCCCTGATTTCGTAAGCTTAAATTCTCGAGCTTGATCAACCTGTGCGCTTTAGTGATCTGGGAAAGCATGTTGTTGTCCGCGTACAGAGTCCTGAGATTAGGGAACGGCGCCGCATCGAGTGTTTTCAGCCTGTTGCCACTGAGACGTAAGATGCGCAATCTGGGCATATTGCTCTGAACGTTCAGTTCGCCTATCAGGTTGTTGTCTGGGATAAAGAACGTAATCGAGGCGAAATGGCGTTAGCATTGATGAACGTGATGGACGGTTGGGGAAAGGAGAAGATCATGTATTAACACAATCGGTGATGAAAGTGGCTGGTTCACGGCAGACACACGAAAACACCCTCCTTCTGTACGAACGGACCTGAAGACGGACGCAAAAGGCGAAATTGAGAGGCTTACCTAAATTTAGGACAATCAAGGAGGATAACGAGCCAAGCCCGGTCACCGCTCCCATCCGATTCTCGCTCAGGTTGAGCATCTCGAGTTTGGGCCTGAGAACATCGCACATGTGTAGTAGAACCATGGGTCGACGAGTGACAATGAAAAAACGCGTCATGAGGTGCGAAGTTCACAAGCAACGACAGGTGTGCGAGACAGTATCGATAACACACATTAGGTCGCTCCTTGACAGTTCCGAGGAGCAAAATCGTAGGAAGGCACGCACCAACAACAATCTGAAAAGTCTGCATCTTTGATAGCGTTCGCCTCCAAGCTAAGTTTCACCAAGCCTTCGAGCATCTGAAGACCGTCCAAACTGGTAATCCTATTGCCGTCAGCGCGCAACTCTCGTAAATGACGAAGACATTGCAGTTCTAATAATGCAGTGGGTTTAGCGAGTTCATCGGATGGTGAAAGAAGGTGAGTCGTACGTGTTAGAGAGTCCAGACGGTTGCCGCTAATGTCGAGGCTTTCGAGGTAGAGTAGACGATTGAATGATGTGGCACTGGTCAAGCTGTTATATGGCCGAGAAAACGAACGAGCGTGCATGTGACATTAGCTACCAAGAACGCTGTCAGGCTCTCGAGACGACACGTACTAATTTCTGGCGACAGACAGCGTTCGCAGAGTGTCTGGAACGCCACTCAGCCATGATAGCTGATTATGGTTTCTGTCAAGCCTTCAGTTCACAGACGCCATCACGAATTTGACGTTTACTCACAGCGACAGCGCATCGAGCTTCGGTAGGAACTCCTTTAACCGCGCAACACTCTCGATGTGCTTTCCCGACAGATTGATAGCCTTCAGCTCCTCCCAGTATGGCTCGAAGGGCTGGACATCAGTGATAACCTCCACCAGCCTATCGTGCGCCACACCAAATGAAGCCTCGGTGAGGAACGTAGCATTATTCCGGTTGGACATGTTGGCGGAGGCAGGTGTTAGTAGCTGACTAGTGGGTGGGCAGGAAAAGACGTTGCGGGAAACACCCAGCATCGAATTGTGGGCGTTAGATGCTAGTCCGTTACTAGGTCGGCGCGTAGGGATAGGTTGAAGCACAGTGTGGACATGCTCAGGACTCGCGGCGTTGGACGTTGAGCCAGTGAAACCTGGAGAACGAGAAACTTGAACACGATGAGGTTTGGAAAGTATAGACGAAGCTCACTATCTTCAGCCAAATGCCCCATCATCTCTGCTATTCGTTTGGATCGAACAGACGGTGCAAGGCTGGCACCGTGCTCTTCAACACCGTCAAGTTCTGGCGGATCAGCGTCTTCTTCGGGATCACCGCGCCCCAGTCCAGCGATTTGGCCTTCGCGTTTCCCATCGGAAAAACTGACAGACCGTCGACGGTAGTGGGCGTGATTTGCGGGAGTCTGATAGGATAGGTGTGGCGGAGGATTTCTGGACATGGGAAGGGGTGTGATGCTAGTGCTCTTAAGTGCAGACCGAATAGGCGTGGGTGCTGCAGAGGCAGGACGAGGAGGCAGGGGTGTGTCGAGATGAGGGCCACGTCCCATCGGGGCGGGTCTTGGGGCGTGAATGAAAGATTGTTGTTCAGTCTCCTGTTCGTCGTCCCAAGTCTGGTCCTGGGAGTCGTCATGTTCATGTTGATCGTCGATGGACATCGCAGCGGACATCGCAGTCAGTTGAGTGACCTCTTCATCGTCATAATCTTCATCCGTGGTCACATCATCTTCAATGACGATGCCTTCCATGCTGCCTTCCTCTCCCGTCATTATGTGCACCACACCTTGTGAGGGACCATCAAACGAAAATGAGGTGAGGTCAGCTTCCTCGTCGTCGTCTATTTCTTCAATCCTGCTGGTCTCCGCAGCGACAACATCCTGGGCCTCCTTATCATACGGCGGACCGAATCCATTTCTGTTGGTAGTGTCATCTTCTCGAAGACTCTCTATGTCCTGAAACGGGTCTTCGCTCTCGCCCTCCGTGTCCACGCTTGCCGAATATCCACCTTCGCTGGTGTATCCACTGGGGCGCGCGTTACTAACGGTTGTCTTCACCCATCGCATCGTAGTCTTATCGAAGACCATACGGCCGACTCTCTCAGGCAGCGTAGGGACGTCCTCCGGTGTGATTCGCCTAAGCTGCGCAGGCCCAGCGTGTTTAACGAACGAGCCGGTAGTACTGGTAGTCCCCAATGTAGCGCCTGAAGCGGTGCTGGACGAGACAAAGCGGTTTAGATCCTCGTTCGCTCGTGCTCGCAGCGAAGAAGAGGGATATGCGGGAGCGTTGTAGTCACCCGGAGCAATAAGGCTAGTAAAATGAGCATTCGGCGCCAGGGCATCTGGATTCGGATTCTGTTGGGGTAGAGAGGGGGACCGTCCGGGGCTATCGGCGGGCGAAACGATGATGGGTGGAGCAGGAAATTGAGCGAAAAGGCGGGAGGTATCGAGGGAATCATCGTTTGGGGCAGCCTGTCCCAGTTTGTAATCAACTTTGTCAGGGGCACTGAGTATACGCACAAATGTCCAAATGTGGGCCTAACACTTACCGCAAAAGATGACGTAGAAGGCTTGCCATGTGGCGATGCGACGGGGGCAGGGTGTTGTGTTCGAGGTCTCTGCGAAGAACTTGCCATCCGTTGATATAACGATTCGGATGGTGTGAACGGTCGGTCTGCAGACGAGTCAGCACGACTAAGCCTTGACGCCTCAGTCTCAACCGATACAAGGCGTTTGGATCCTCGCATGTCCTGTTTAATTTGGGCCATCAGATTGGCTGCTTGTTGACGATAGGCGAAGGAGGAGTGTGTTGACCCCTTAGAACCGGATGCTCCGGGGGAAGCGTCGGTAGCATTTGCTGATTGGGTGTCTAGTTGGATTGTGCGAGTTTTTTCATGTATCAGGGATAGTCGATTGTGTGCAGGTAAACATTCCTGTTCACTCACCAGGTGGGCGGGGCAGTTGAGCACCAGGCAGTAATCGATCGTGTGGCTGGCCGTCGAAAACATTACCTGGCCGCTTGGTGGTTGTGACAGACGATATGGTCGAAAAATACCTGGCCTCCTTGATTTGGGCCATCAGAGACTTCGATTCACCTACCCAGTCTGTCCGTGCCTTTGGGCGCCGAGCAACAGGGTTTATGCCATCGCCATCGCTGAAGAAGTCGCTGACAGGGCTGAGTTTGATGCGTTTGGCGCTTCGGAATTCGGAGGAGCCTCCTGTAGTATGGGGATCTGTGACAGGAGAGAGCCCAGAAGGCGATGGAAGGCTTCCGGGGAAGTGATCTGGGTTGGATATAGAGGGAGAGTTGATGGCAATCGAGTCCACCATGGCAGAAAGATGGTCGCGAGTGAAAGTGTCGTATTGGAATTGAAACAGTCGTAGGCGAGGGTCAGTCGCAGGGATAATGGAGGATGGTGGATGAGCAGGAAGAGGAGTGCTTTCCGCTTGTGGAAGACCGGACGGTGTGATGAAATGTGGTTGTGGTTGTGGTGGTGTTTGCCGCGCCACAGCGAAAGTGAATTGGCAGTTTAGACTGGGCTTGCGGCCATCGAAGGAGATCATGTTAGGCATATCGGTCTCAACAATTTCATCGCTGCGACGAGGCTCCCTAGCACAGTCGTCCAGCGCACTGTTCTGTGGAGAGAGAGAAGAATTGGCGAGATGAACCTGGGATAGACGGGACGGTTGGAAGGGTGCGTTGGTCGGATTACTAGCTAGAGGTACATGAAGAATAGAGGGTTTGGGAGGAGAAGGCGGCTCGAACATGCGCTCGAGGGCCATAGGGCTGAAGAAATCCTTGTGGGCGTTCTTCTTCGCGCCAGGAGTTATAGGGTTGAAATGGGTCGTGGGTGCGTCATGACGAATAATAAAAGTGCCAATTGGTTCTGTTGGTTGAGGAGTGGAGGAAGACTCGCCAGGTCTGTCTGAGGATACAGGATCGAAGTCACGTAGTTGGAGAGTGCCCCTCGGGGCCGTGAGCGAGAGACTGCTGTTCTCGTGCGCCTGTCCATCCTGCTCGTCGTCAGAGCAGTCATCGGGCCATTCGTCGTCGAGCTCCTCCGTCTGCCACGCCGGCCGCCGTGGGTGTGCGTCCTGGGACATACTCGCAGAGAAATGTAGACGGGCGTCAGGCTGGAGATGATAGGCTGTTGAACGGGTGCTCCACGCACGTGACCGTGAACTGTCGGTTCTGGTCCCTGGAGATCATTATTTGGCCTTGTTGTCCAAAGGCATCTGTCTCAAACATGCACAAACAACAAGGCAGCTTCAGCATTCAATGATGAACGCTTCGCACATCCTTCACATTCTGTCTCTTACAATCACCCCCATTCATCCTCACATGTTCTGATGGAGCTGTAATATCTGGATGTTTGATTTGCTTGCTTGTCGGACCTGAACAGTTGGCACCAATCCACAGTCCGACTCATGGTCCTTGAGTATCTTCTAGGAACGGCATTCGCCCTAATCCTTTTGAATCTAGTTTCTATATTTGTCTCCAGCTCTTGACTTTCACTAGCTCATGTCGCAATAAGTGCAACACGGATGCCCTCGTTCGGACAAGTTGCCTGAGCAGATCAGTCAGGATGTCTCCCCCTTTCAGCCGCGAGGCTTCCCTATGTCAATACAGCGAACGGTCTCACACTTTCAAAACGAATCAATCTTTGCTTTGGGGGGTCTTTTCTTTGCGTATTCATGTTCATACTAGACCTCATGTGCCTGTGGTGCCTTGTGCTCCTGTAGTCTCTTGAGCTACCATGGCGAATCACCGCCGCAATATGCGTCTTCTGCTTGATCCACGGACTGTCTATCCGCTTATGTCATGTGCCAGTGGTGTTGGGAAGAGCCCTCGGGGCGTTCACGATTACTTGGATACTGCGGTGGATTGGCTGAGCTGCACAGAACTGTACCCTTGAATCCGAGATCAGAAAGCGCTCAACTTTATCCACGCCTGCTCTCATCGAAGGTTAAAATAGTGAGTGGATTTTGGCCTACCCATCTTTTTGTGGAGGACCTAGATCATCGGCATTGCCACCAGCTCATGTTCCTCGGTGTCTCCGGTCAAACCCCTCTACATTTCTAAGGATCCGCGCTTCGCGCTCAACATTCTAACCATCGTTTGTCTCTGCTGTTCTCCGTGCGGTATTTTATTTATTCTCGTCGCGTTACAATTGACGCTCTGTTTTTCGACAGTGAGCTATCTCAGCTGACATCTAGGCCTTCACATACAGTCTTCAGTCGCATTGTGGATTTTTGACGACGGTCCCGGTCTTTCAGTGTACCGAAACGGCTGCTTTATACAAGGACCTACCAAGTGAGTTTCTTCCTGATCAATATACAAATCTCAACACTAGGGCACTCTGCGGAAACATCGCGAAAAATACCAAGGTAGAGACCAGCCTGTCCAATAGTCCAACCTAAACATCGCCATAATTAAGGCCCCGAGCCTCCTGACCCGATGATCATGGTGCATAGCCTCACAGGCACCTCCCAAACTTTCTTCAAGAATCTATAGCCCGGGTCAACGTCTTGAGAGTAAAATTTGTTTTCCTTCGCGGTGCGTTCTGGAGTGCTCGACGCTTTGAATCACACGCATTCGGATCTCATCTGTTCAGGTTGATCTTGGATGCGGCGCCCCGATTTATCCTCCGGCTATACTCCGTTAATTGCTCACCACCTTGGTCCGCCAAGCAGTAATGCCCCGTGGGGCTCGAGGGACTCAAGGTTTATATGTTCCTGGTCCCAATTGCGGTTGTGCAAGTTTATTTGCTTAGGTGTCTGCCGTGATCGGATTCAGGGACTCCTCTTGTATGGGCGAAAACGGTGATGTCGATGACCTCTGAACAGGTATAAGTGACGACTATTGGAACTATTGAGGTGGATTGCCCACTTTGATGAAGAAAATGGGAGCATCAGCGAACACATCGTCGCCTTCTGTCAGCCATGATCCTGCGGTGCTGTTTACTACCATCGCTAACTTGGTGACATTACGTCTGTTGAGATACCTGACGGTGTTCGCACACCGTAATACATCAATGCTTAGAGAATAGCTTGATGGGTGGGGGATCTCGCGCCCTGATGATCATGCATTTGGAGCTTGTGCGACTTTGTATCAGACCGCTCAAAGCGGCCTCTCCACCGTCTCCGATATCAGATCTCTTGCAGCGGTCCTTGCTTACTGTACTATGGTGATACCAGATGACGAAAACTGATGGCTCTTTCACATTATCGTGCGGCGAAGGGCTTCAGTCAAACATCAATGCCCAAACTAGCCGACAAGACAGAATCATGACTGGCCGTCAGCCAACCATGGGCCTGGTCTACGAGATCTCTTGCAGCGGTCCTTGCTTACTGTACTATGGTGATACCAGATGACGAAAACTGATGGCTCTTTCACATTATCGTGCGGCGAAGGGCTTCAGTCAAACATCAATGCCCAAACTAGCCTACAAGGCAGAATCATGACTGGCCGTCAGCCAACCATGGGCCTGGTCTGACGAAATCTCTGCAATCAGATCCGTAAGTTCGCGTTCTCTCACCCTTCTCCCCACTCGTCCTTGTCGATCTGATTTCTGATTTGGATGTCCAGTGAGTGTCCAACGCGTCCGACGCCCAACCACCGCGGCGCGGCACATCCACTAGGATTCACAGGGCTTGCTTTGATATATTGCACAGTGCTACCTCGTGCTCAAGCTCCTATATGCCTTCCTTCCTGATCCGCATGCATCTTAGTACGTAGGGCTCGAGTTCGCCGTGGCATATCGTCTCTCGCAAGACTCCCAAATAATGTCGATATGGGATGGATTCATAAAGACATACTAGGTCAAGATTTCCCTGCCTCGAGTGCGAATACAATTAATCACCTTCTTCAGAATGTGCTCGAACGAGAACCTTGATGAGGACAAATTATGGTCACGATCCAGGGCTTACAACATAAACTCATCCTCCGATAGCAGCGATACGAGAACTCTGCCACCACGAACGCCGCAATCATCTTACACAATATCCTCGTTCGAGGTAAATTGGACAAGCAGAAGTCGCCTACGATGACCCTTCGCGTCATTGACCTGATTGACGGGAATGCTACTTCTGATCACCACGGTGAAGAGCTCCTCGTTCGAGGTAAATTGGACAACAAGCAGAAGTTGCGTACAATGCCCCTTTGCGTTGTTGACCTGATCGACCGGAGCTCGAGGGCCACTCTTCACTTCTGAACACCGCGGTGAAAAGGTCCTTTCTAGAGCACCCGATGTCAAGGTTCGACGTTCAACGCCAGTCTCGGAGAAACACGTGCATGGTTAGTATGCTAGAACTTGCAGGCCAGAACGAAGGGATACACTCCAATAAAAATGCATTCAACCATTCCGATCCAATTCTTCAGTATGCACGATGCCGAAGGAGGATTCTCCAGGATTCCAAGTATATGGCTACTTTCCCGGAGGTTGAACTATAACGAATGCTAATTTGGCTCACGAAGAGGCATATGCGATATGTGGGGTTATTGTAGGCTACGAATTGCGTACGAAGTCGAATGCTATGATGGGGAACGAATTAGGTCGAAGATTCTGTAAAGTACCATGCGAGTTATGGAGGGTGCGTATTGTCTATTGTTGTGTGATTGTATGATTCGATACGAGGAAAACAAGTGTCCGCGAAAGCTTCCTTTTTGGTTTCTCCTTCCTATAATATATACGCTGCCCACCGCCAACCCCCAAATTTTCAACACACCGACAGAAGGAAAAAAAAATGGATTCAGGTGAGATAAAGATGCTTGAAAGGAACGAGACGAATGCGAGAATTCCAAGAGTTATGCGATGCCAAAGCGGACAGCAAACACGGCGAAGATAAATGCGAAGACTAAGGAAAGGCAGACCTGATCCCGAACATTGGCGAGAGAGCGGTAACATGGACGAATGACTGATGCGAAGACGAAGGAGACCAAAGTGATCAGGAAAGAACGAACGAGCGGAGAGCGGAGGATTGAGCCAAGGAGAAGATGACGATACGGATATATTGAAGGATATATAGATGGTTGTATTGGATTGACGGGATGGGCTATGCGAAGGAACAAAAACAAAAACTAAATGTGGCGACGTGTGGCGCATGCAATGTTGGTGGGGTTACTATAACGTGGCGGTGGCGTAAAGTGCTATGCACACATGAATGAGAACGTAAGCGGACGAATAGTGCAGGTGAAGATCTAAAAAAAAGTATGCGGGGGGACGAGACCGAGCAGCGCGGATGGACGAGTGCTGGAGAGGAGATATACAGTGGTCGATGGGGAATGAGATCCGAATGTATACACAAGTTTTGTCCGTTCAGCTGAATGTAGCCATTGAGAAGATACAGTGTGGGTGTTTGCTCCCAGCGATGATGATGTCGGCGAAACGAATAAATGAAGATAAAGGGCGAAGAATTTTGGGATGACGAAGCTAGGTCTCCCCACGGCGGACGCGGGGAGCGCGCGACCTACCCCGCTGCAAGGCCATGCCAGGCCCAGCGACCTGTGGTGCGTATGCCAGCTTAGGCTGCCCAAGAACCTCCGACACGTGCACAGTGACCGCACTGTCGAGGTCCTTCGAGACTTCCCTCCTTAAAGTTGGCTCAACATCGGAATGACCCTTCGAGACATTCCCAACCTTGCTTCCGCCCCGTTCAACATCACCCCGAATGCTCTCTTCTTGAACGCTGTTCCCACCACGGCTGCGTGTTCGCTGTCTGCCGAAAGCAACAGACCTGCCGATCCAGGTCATACCCATCCGCGATTTCGACCGCTGATCACTGGCGGGGCGCTCAGAGGTGGCGTTAGAGAACAGGTTTAGCGTGGAAGGAGAAGGCGAAGATGACAGTGAAGAGGGTGAAAGGTATGGGGACGGTGAAGACGGCGAGCGAAACGCAGACGTCAATTCTTCGTTGCTTTCAGCCTCCTCCGCAAGAGATGACCGCGAGGATTGGCGGCTGGGCACTGGTGATCGCGAAGACGAGGAAGAGGATGCAGAACGCGGGGTTGTGTTCGCCGTGGACGTCCTAGACGGGGGCCCGAATGGAGGCGACGGAGAACGGGTTTGAGAATAAAGAGTAGGCATTGGGGTATGTCGAAGTTTCGGAGTGGAAAGAGGCTTCGTCTTCTTGGATGGCATTGGGAAGGAGTACATGAATGGTTCGCTGTCATCCTTCATGGCTTCCTTGTCGAGGGCGATATTCTCATCCATGTCAAACCCACCGCCGATGAGTCCTAAGCCGACTCCGATGTAGGGCGCCGCAGGATCATAACAAGCGTCCGCGCCAGATCCTATTGAGATACGAGGTCGGCCACGGCTAGTGGCGGCCGAGACGGTATTCGTGCTCGAACTGTTGATGCGCTTGGAGGATGTGGTGTAAAACCGCTGGGGCAATAATCCACCCTTGGACTCGCAGCCATACTCTTTACGAGAGGTCTTTTGGGGAGCGACACCGGAGATGTCACTCTTTTGCTTGGGGGAGATGTCCTCATGTACAGGTGAGTGGAGGGGTGGAGACATGTCGAAAAGCATGTCGGGGGAGCCTGCTCGTCGCGGTGGAGAGGCTTTTGGGATGGGAACACGATTTTGTTGAGAGGAAGGGATGGCAAGAGGTGTCGCGGGTGAGGAGTGGTATTGAGCTTTTGAGAGGGTTTGAGGACGGATTGGGCGGCGCGTTGAGCTGGGGTTGTGGAACGTGAGTTTTCGAGGGAATGTCGGAAATAAGTCCATTTCTGATTAGACAAGGAGTGCGGAAGTCTGGAAAGAGAAGAGGTGAGCATAGAGCGACAAGTGAGAAAAAGAAATCATGAAGTATGGAGCCAGGTGGACATTTTGATAAGCCGCATGATCAAAGCCATGGTATCTCAAGTACGCGTGCAACAATCATTCATAGTCTGTGAGCATGCTGACACAAGAATCTCGCTGTCCAAAGGCAGAAAAGTACGGATTGGGCAGGTTGGCGAGCATGCACGATTTGTGGCCTGGCCTGCTTGGATGGCAGAGAGAAGAAAAGCAATCTTCCGAGTGCGACGCGAGCAGCCAAAGGCCGGAGGAGGGCTGAGGAGGGAAACCATACTCACATGTACGACGTCACGAAAAAGCAGAAGAGTGGGAAAACGCGATTTTGGGAGGCTTATAAGGCGCGCTGGGATGTCTAAAAGGCGGTGAAGCGCTGGGCAGAGGGGCGGGCGCTGAGTCGGAGCGTGTACCGAGTGGGGGTAAGTTGTTGGAGGAAGCGCCTGTTGGCGTTAGTCTATGAGCCGAGCGCGGACCGGGGAGAGCTGTGAGTATGTGGGAGAAGGGCATGTAAGAATACGGAGAAGGAGAGGACGAGATGGGAGCCGTACAGGGACGCGGCTTATGAACTGCAAAAAGCAGCAAAATGAGCGATCGCTGTTTTATCAGGCACCGCACGTGAGAACGACGTCACCGCCGGCCTCAAAGTGCGGGGCAGGGCGTGACCCGGCGAGGGTATGGCTTTTTTTTAGTGTCTGGCGTCGTCGAGCGCAATGGCGAAGGGGCGAGGGGGACGGAAGAGACGGTGAGGGGAGCGGAGGAAGGGCGTGGACGCGATGAGCAGAAGGATGCGATCTTTTTTCAGTCGCCGTTGTTTTCGTGCACGGTGGTGTGGCGCCCCGAGACGTTGTTCCGCTCCGGGCAATTCCCCTGGTCTCGACGCCGAAAGGCCCCCGCCACTTTCGATCCTCCCCGCCTTCACCACCAGTGCGTGAATCATTCCATAACTCATCGCTCTTCCTGCACTAGCATCTCCTTCACGGTCCGAAACCACGATAATCCCATGGACATAAATACCGTGTAGGTCGGTCCGATGTTTTTGTCGCCTTTTTGCTGGTTTTTGTTGAACATCTCGGCCTTGCATCGTTTATCTGCGCGGGGACAACCCATACAGTTTCTGTCCAGCTTACGGTCTCCGGTATATCGCCATCGCGGCACACTCTGGCGTTTCCGTCAATGTTGGGGTTCACATGTTCACAGCCGGGCTGAAACTTGATTTTTCCTGATGCTGGGCCCATCATTTTTTCGCCTTGTCTGTTGCCTGCTTCGGCTGACAGCCGAGCATTTTCCTCCGTAACTGACCTCCTCCTCCACCTTGGGCGCGGGGCAAAACGCTAACTCCCCATCCACACAATAATTCCTGTTCTGGCCCGTCGTGCTTTCAACCCAGCTAACTCACGATGTGATGTGCTCGCATTTCTCAGCTGTGCTCTTGCCATTGACTCTGTTGAGATCCCAGTTGCTTCGCTACGCTACGGCGGTGTTGACACGTCTGCATGACTGGACAGCTGGCAGTATCTCGGAGCGATGTCGGGACTAGTTTGAACTAAGAACACCATATATATAGGACAAGTACATTCCAGCGTGCTTTCAGTCAATAAATATGGATCTTGGAGTACCAGTCCACGAGGACGACTGGTACTTGTGGTCTGTCGAGGACAGTGTGATCTGTTGAGCCATGAGCTTGATGTACAGAGGTGCGCCACGTTTTTTTTGTAAGACATCATAAGCAATTGCATACGGCTCTTCGTCTTCTGGAGTCATGCTTATTCGGACACACACGTAGTGCAATCTGCAACATCATCAGAGGCCCTCAGGTCATTGGAGCTTGTTTATGCGTCGTAGCGACTAGCACGAGGAGTGCGTTTGACCATGCATTGCCTTTGCTCGGAACGTCCTCGACCTTGCCTCCCATACTATCCCATACAGCCTTCATTACTGTGAGGCTGGCGTTTGCACAATTCATGATCAGACTTAGCCTTCTGCACCGGCTATTGCCCCTTGAGTAGCCAACCTCGGCGATTCCAAGGAGATTAGTCTAGTGCTTGCGTTTGAGCTTGCGTTTTGAACAAACTAAGCTCAAGGGGGACCAGAACACGATCGTAGTATTCCGGCACTCATACATCGTCTCAATTGACCCTGAAACCCGCGGACTGTGTGGTCTGCTCAGCTCTAGTTACGCTTACTAGGCCAATATCATATTTACGTCCATGTTGATTCCCGTGGCTGAGGTTTAATCTCTGCTTGTGCCTCTGGAGTCTGAACCACGAGTTGAAGTTCGGGTGTGTTCGGAAGGACTTCGGAAGTTGTTCGAAGTGCCACAGCTGCCGTGTGGCGACCTGGAGTCGTTCTCAGCACACAACTTCTCTACCACTGATGGTTGCATTCGAACGCTGGTTTTCCTGAGACTTTTTAGCCACGTCGATTCACATTGAAAGCGCAAGATGAAGTTTCTCGCACCGATCACTACCTTCCCGCCCCCATCCCGCCCAGAATGATCCGCGGACCTCAGTCAGATGCAGAATACACCTTACTTGCACGTTTGCATGTTCCACAGCCTGCGCATACTGGAGCATAACGTGAAATTTCAGCACACCAGAGACGGGGTACATCCACCGTTCACCACCCAGGCCGAAGAGTTTAAATAACCTAGTAAAATATTTAACTTGAGGCCAAAACTTGCGGGAGAGCGTCCAACTGCGGGCCAACTACAGACAACAATTAGGCGGGACACACCACGGTAAGCTACCGTCGCCGTGATGTATGCATGAGATCAATTATCATGAAACGTCTAACAACCTAAGCCCAGCCGCCGCCCAAACCCAGTTCCAAGGATAAAAAGTTACATAGATCATAATCATCACAGAATCGTCACTACTGCTACACATCTTGATTACACGTCCATATCCGAGATCCACCAATTATCACTCAAGTTATAACCCCTCAAGCAACAGTCGGCGCCGGCGCTTTCTCCGCTGTCGGTGCAGCGGCACCAGGAATCTCCGCACTCGCGGATCCTGGCGCAGCAGCAGGCTGGGTGGCCTTGTGTTCTGCCGCAAGCCTCTTCGCCTCCTCGTGGATGTCAAAGACCTGTTTCGAAGACTTGGTGTAAAAATCGCGGACCCTCTGACCGAAGGGCGAAGACAGGGCCTTGCTGTAATACTAGAGAGAGAAAAAGTGGCGCGTCATCCGGTCAGTTGTGTGACGACTTCATCTGAAGATTGAGGAAGTGGAGCATACGTCTGTGGCGGTCTTGGAGTAACCTTTCTGTTCGTCCATACTACGAGCTTGTTGGGTGGTGCTTTGCAGAGTGGATAGCACCTTGCCAGAGACGGTCTGATCAGGACCAAGTGCCTTGGCTCCGACGGTCTGATCGATGGAGTTGATGTACGAGAGGAAGCGTTTCGAGATTCCCTTCTCATCTAAAGGATCGAGATAGTATAGCTTCAGGACTGAACGGAGAAGTAGAAAAGAAAGACGAGGAGCGTACTGTCGATTGAGATAGCCTTGGTAAGAATGCCGTCGGACAACGTATATCCGCGAGCGAGGTACTCAGCGGCGACTACGGGCAGAAATAACAATAACTGTGAGCATCTCTACAAGGTATGAGATTGAACTGTGATGAAAGACGTACTTCCAGCCCGGGGTTTATCTTCCTGAGTAGGAACGCCTTCGACATGTGCAGCGTCGGTCTCCTCGTCCTGATGGACCACGTCCGACGTAACCGTCAATTGCGATCCCTCGAGGGTGCCGGAGTTCAGCATGAGCGCGGTCTTTGCGGCACTTGGTTTCTCGAAGTGAATGTTCGCCTTTTTGCCATCGGAGCCGGCATCTTCGAAGTCAATCGAGGTAATCTTTCCGCAGAAGCTAGAATATGTCACGAAACCAAGTCAACCTCGCGATGATTCGCTTAGAAAGAAGAAGAGATTGTAAATGGCGGGGAGTGAGCGTACGTGAAGAAGTCGTGAAGCTGTGTCTCTGTGGTGGAGGGCGAGATGCCAGTAACCTGCGATCGTGCTCGAATATCAAGATCTGTCTCAACAGGGAGGATGAAATGGCTCACGTTCACGGTGTAGGACATTCTTGTAATTGTGGAGGTTTGTTTTGTGTTTCGATGTTGTGAGGGTAGAATCAGGTAAATGTAAGTTCGACCAAAGACGTTCTCACTGTCTTTTATGGAGAAGTGGCCAAGCTGCGCCTCTACTAAGGGGTAATGACGTCACTCAGGATTGACGTACCCATACCCTTATCGGGTAATCGTTCATTTAGATAACGATCGTTTTCCTGTGCGTCGCCACAGTGGCACATAAGTAAGAAGGCTTCAGCCTATTGTTGGTAGAGACAGAAGGAGTGATAAAATATGTAATTCGAGTACATAAAACAGGTACATAAACTACTACGGGAAAGGACAACAAGCAACAGGTAAGAGCGATTAGACTGTCAGGAAAACAACAAAGATTACAATATCCAAGGGTACGAACGGAACAAGGAACAACAGTAGAATGCAAAGGCGACGTCCAGTCCGAAACGAATCACATACAATGTAACGACAAGTAATCAGATTTACGCGGCATACTGTGAGGAAGTTAGGATATGTCAGTCCTAATGCAAACGAACAAACATATAGAAGGCCGTACCTGAACAAGCATTGAGGTAGGTAGGTTCGTCAGCTTCCCGTTGAAGTCGATATACATCTGTTGTGGAACACCGCCTATCGTCTGAGTGAACCTACACATATGATATTAGTAAACCCTAAGACGAACGCGGAAGAGAAACAGATCATACCTGCTCAACTTGCCCGAAGGCTTCGGCCCATATTTGAGCTCGGGGAGATCAAAGATCGCATGAAGGACGCGTGGAGCCACACGTTCGAATATCTTCGTCGCCAGCAGACCCTTTTGGTCAAAGCCAAAGATGCCTGGTTTAGTCGCGGTTCTGGTGAAGTTGGGTGCTGAGGGATCTGAGAACACCGAGGACTGTTGTCACAGGTTACAAGAGTTATATGATCAACAAGTTGTCGACACCAGTCATAAGAGCGGGAATTACCCACATCCAGGTTTGCTTCAATCAGACTGGCCGTTACGGGCTGGCCGGCGAGGACGCTCTGTCCAGCAAAAGAAGTCTGCCCTTTCGCCTTGAGCGTAATGCTAGAAATTGGAGGGTCGATCCCTTCGTGTGCTTGTTAAACTCGGGGACCTCTATAAACACAAACCAAATATACTCACTGAGGGCTTCATACACAAACTTCATAACCTCCGCATCTGCCTGGGGGGTCTTGTTCTTGGCCAATGCAGCCACCTTTGCCTTGAGATCGACCTTGCCGTCCTGCAAGAAGAAGTTGACGACGTGGGTCAACGCCTTCGAGAATAACGGCGCAGTCGGCACGACTTCCAAGATCAAGCTAGCCGTCAGTTTGTCCAAGGTCGAGTCGTTGTCCTTGCGACCCGCAGCCTTCGCGAGATCGGTGAGGAAGCTCTCGCTATGGTCGTTCCTGCCAGCGACCCATTGTCCGAAGGTGTCCTTCAAGGAATCAACATGGAACTGTTAGGAGTAATCAAGGTCAGTCCGCAGGTATGCAGCTTCAAGGACAATTCTCGCACGTTTCCGCGGGTGATTTTGGCAAGATGGAGCCGAAGGTACTTGGAGAGTTCCGTGACGGCCTCTGCACTACGCTCGCGCAACGTCCAGTCTGAGCCAGGGTCCTGGTTCAAGTAGAGGTAGCTGCAAAACTGGGATAAGCCCACAACACGAACAATAAGTCAAAAGTAGGACAGCATGACTCACCTGCAGACATTTGAGAACATTCCGTAAAGCTCGTGATCTCTGAACACCCCGTATGTGTTGAGGTCCGTCTTCATTGGGAGGCCAATCTGGTAATGCGAAATTTGTCGAACCAGTGGCTATCAACGAAGTACCAGTCAAAAGACAAAGAGCCCGAAGACGCACAATTTCGTTCGCAATCCAGTGGACGGGAGCGACGTTGAGAACGTCCTTGACGATGTCAATGTAATGTGTTTTGCCAGCGACACCCTTCATGGTGTTCTTCTCGATCAGCATCTTGACCAGTTCCTCCATTTTAGTCGCCGCGTTATCGACCACCTTCTGGTCCAGAATGACCCTCTCAACCTATTCCATACGTGCAAAAAGGATCAGTCATCTGCATCTAACCTGTAGCGAACCCGTACGTACCAAAGCCGGATCGGTAGGTATTCCCCTCGCCAGCACCTCAGCCTTCTTTCCAGTCTCGCTCACAAATTCATTGTTGTTAGCGAGGGCCTTGCTGACGTCCGCGTAAGTAGTAACGACGATGGGAGGTCCCGTCGGCGGTGAGGGTCTCGTCCACGAATACTTAGCGTCGACTTGGTCTGGTAGCTTGGATGCATACCCCTTCATGGTCTTTGGGACCATGAACGGGAATTTAGCATAAGCCGAGTCAACAGGGTAGTAGCCTGGAAGGTGGCGGTAAAGCATCTGATAATCATAGTCAGTCCTCATCGAGTGGTGATTAAGAGCGAAATTGAACCGACCTTTGGTAGAATACCACCATACGTGCCATCTTCGTCATCATACTGGCAGTCTTGGTACCCCCAGTTGCTTAGGTTGTACGCTAAGTGCCTGCGTCAGTCCTGGTGTCCCTGCACGCGTATTGATGACTCACGAGTGAACTCGACAGTCAGGAAACGGTCTCCTCGCGTTAGAGCGACGGCGTCGGACAAAATAGCGCGGGAGATGGTGTAACCGGGGCACAATCCTGCACCTGGCATAGGTTTCTTCGCCTCCTCAGCCTGCATACCGACATGTAACTCGAGGTTGTCGATATCGTGATACAATGTCTCGGCGGCTTTCTGTCAAATTGGATTCCATGTAAGACAAATATAGATTGTGGAGACAGGTTGGCGTGATGCTCACGTAGATCTCCGGATCGGTGTTCCATTCCTTGAAGCTTGCGTACGCTGTATTTTGACGAATATTGTTAGATCGTATATATGACGTGCGCGTGTATACTCACGTTTCAAGCCCATGAAAGTTCTGAACTCGTTCATCTGAAGAAAAGGAGCCACTCCTGAGTCAGATATCATTGATAGAAAATCCATGAACTTACGGAACAGGTTCCCCACGTCCTAGCTTGCTCGATACTAAGCAGCTCGATAACCCTCAACACCTCCGGTGTTCCCCGGGCTTTGAAAGCACTCGCAGGGGACTCGGTCGCATCGAGCAAGATACGTCCCAGGTCTGCGTCCGAAAAGCGACCGTTGGCATCGCGCTGCAGTCTGAAGATAACATCAGGCTTATTGAAAGAAAGATTAAACGTTTCATCTTACTCGTCGAACGTCCATTTTTTGATGTCGGGGTCGGGTCTCCACTTGCTGGCGGCCTTTCGGAACTCCTCGACGGTGATCTGGAGGGCAAGACGATTAAGAATTACTGCATAGAGTTATTGTAGAGGAAGAGACGTGCCGTGGCAGGGTCTAGTCCTTTAAGCAGGTTAGAGAACAGTTTTTCTGTCCATTGTGTGTCTGGTTGGCTGCGAGGTACATAAACATTAGGATACAGCAAACACAACAGTAGGTGAAGCATTACCTCGTCGCCGCGTGCCAGCGGTAAAGCAGGTTGAATTCGATACTACAGACGTTGCCCTCGCCACGGGGCGTGACCTCGTGGCTGAGCGCGTCACGAGAGTTCTGTCAATAAGGAGGTCAGGTTTGGACCAGGTAAGGAGGGAATTAATGAACGGACTGAAAGCGGGTCCAAACGCCAGGTAGAGCCATCACGAACGAGACCAAGGATAACACCGACATAGTCGCCCAAGATGACCTTCATGAAGAAGCCGCAGTTGACGAGACGCGCGCGCTGGAATAGCTCATCCTCTTGCTTTGCGAGCGCCTTGGCATCAGAAGGAGGTGGGTTGGAGAAGTTGCCGTTCTCGTTGATGGCAAGGAGCCGCTCAGCAATGAACTGAAGTATTCGGACCGGTCAGAAAACAAAGAAATACGAGAAGTGGAAAAGAAAGAACGGCCTACGTTATGGTTACGATTGAACAGAACGATCAGCGCGCCAACGGACGGGGGCATGTTTAGCAACCTCCAATCCGCGAAAACATCGTCCCAGAGTCTCCCCGTGCCATCCTTCCTTCTCACTTTATTCAAATCATCATCCGAGCTCCCGTACAAGGGACTCAAATCCAGATAGCTGCTGACATCGTTCTTCGTCCAGTCTCTCGTATTGGTATTGAAAATCGAGTGAATGATGAAGTCCGCGAAGGCGAAAAAGAGGCTGCTGATCCCGCCGGGATGTTCAACGAACTTATCACGCTTGAGAAGCTGGTCGAAAACTAGCTCCGGGGCAGGAAGGGCAGCGGGATTGAGAGGGTGAATAGAGGGAACAGAGCGGGCGTAGGGGGAACCAGCTTTGCCCATGGTGGGTTCGAATGGGTTGTAGTCTGAACCATCAGCGGTACGGAAGGCGTAAGGAACAGTCCATTCGGGAGGTGCAATTTTCGACGCAGACGTGTTCGGCGATTGGACAGACAGATAACCACTAGGAGGATGAGGGAGGTCCTTGTATACTTTGTATGCGGTTGATCAACAGAGGTGCCACAAATAGCACAATGTGGCGCCGGGAACTCACGGATTTGAATGACGAACTCCTGCAGCTTTTGTGAGAACAGGTCTTTCGGGAGCCTCGCCATGAGAGTCAGTAGTTTCTCCAGCTGCAGATACGTCAGCGAGATGAGCTCATAAGAGCTGCGGGCAACAGGCGTACGAGGAACTTCCGGTCGTCAAGACCGACGCCGTTCAGATTCCTGACTGCATCAATGTATGCCGGCTGAGGCGCAATCCATTAGCTAAGACTCCAGAGCATACAAGGATACTCACCAGGTCGGTGGGCGTGAAGGCAGGGCCCTGGTCAATGAACTGAACGAGTTCTTGAATATTCTTGGTTAGTGTGGAAGGTAAAGGGTGTGCACCGTCCATGTTGAGAGGCTCGGTCATGGAGGTGATGGTCTTGGACTCATCGCCGAGGGACTTGAGAACAGAGGTCATGGTGGAGGACAGTCTGCGGAGAGTCTTGCGAGCCATTGTGGGAGGAAGTCGGATAGGTATATATACCGTGTCCGGCGGGCGTCAAGACGGGGACTGATGGAGAACCCTGTGGGGAGAGGAGACGGCGGTGCAGCTTTATATTCTGGGCAGGTCGGCATCGAGGCAAGGAGCATGCTGGGTGGCCGCATTTCCTGTTGGGCGTGATTGTGATGATGCCAGTTGAATATCGAGATAGATGGGCAGACTAAATAAGACCTGCCGTTGATCCCTCAATGCTTCTACCCGTCACCGGGACACTCGTCCTCCGACCACCCCTTCTCTCGTCCATCTCTTTCTTTCCATTATTTTTGCGTCAGGGGCAAGCAAAGGTGGCGGTATGTCATCGAAGTGTGCGTGTTCGACACGTTCCAAACCAGCATAAGCGTGATATCGACCGGTCGTCCTATAAGCGCACGTCAATATCAACCACCAAGGGTCCGTTTCAGTACCTCCGGCGCCGTCCTGTTGGCACTCCTCGCACTGCTTCAGTCAAATCGTAGACATGTTTGGCTAAACTGCAGCACTCTGCTTAGAGTCGAGTCAGACAATGGTTCCGACATATATGGGTTGCGAAGCTCCATGGAGCTCATTCAAGTACGTTCTTTGGTTTTAAATTCCTGGAAGCCTCTGTCCAAGCTCTTGGGTCGAAACAATTCACAACTCCGCATAGATACTGTAGATGACTGTAGAAATGCAATGAGCAGCAGACACACCCCAAAACGCGACGTATGGCCCCGATGCCCTCTAAACATGACGGCTGTGCGTAACAGGTCCTCTACTCGTCCATCCTCATGAGCGCTACCCCTTTCCATCACTGTAACTATGATCTGTCGGAGCCATCCAAAGCGCGAAATATCCAGGCGCACAGCTCTCCGGTATGAGTTCAGTACCGTACATGTCGTATTTCAATAGATTGCAATTATTCGAAACTATTCTGGAGGAGACAAAGTACGTTCTGGATCACGCATCGACCGCCGAGACCTCCGAAAAGGCACTCGTGGCTGCATCGCTCCATAGCCTTCTCAGTTTCTAGTGAGCGTATGCAGTCGTACTTACACAGACGAGGACGTTGTTAGAAAGACGATGATTCGAAAGAGGCGGGGCAAAGGCACGGTACCGGTGTAATCCAGTGCATCCGAATCTGGCAGTCATGGCCGGAAGATAACGGAATCTTATCTTATCAGATAAAGAAATCAACCCTTGACCGAACTTTTCCCCCGAGTCAAAGCCTCTTCTCCGCTTCCACCTCACTCAAGGACACCTACCAACTTTTATTGCCCGACATGCTAGCAGCTGCAAATGCCTCTGGTCGGGTCGCCCGTCGGGCTGCCGTCCTCGCAGGTCAGCGCCGCGTCGTCCAAGTCGCTCCCTCTATCCCCCGCTCCGTCAGGTCTATCCAGACAGTCGCCCAGACCGACAGAGTGAGCTTCGTCTATTCATCGCCATGCTTCGTCTCCCATTGAACATCCTACTTTTTCTTTCTCCAGGACACAATCACTCGCTTGCTCTACTCCATTGGGACCAAGCGCGAAGTCGAGCGCTATCTTCGCATCTTCTCTTCCTCTTCAAACCCCACCCATCCTGCAAAGTTTGCTGTCGTCAAAGTCGGCGGTGCTGTTCTCGATGATCTTGACGAACTTGCTCTCAGTCTTAGCTTCCTCTACCGTGTTGGATTATACCCTGTCATCGTACATGGCGCTGGTCCCCAACTGAACGATATCATGGACAAGGAGGGCGTCGTTCCGGATTACATCGACGGTATTCGTGTTACCAGTGAGTACAGTCAAGATCTCCCAACGCCTTGGTTGCTTCGGCTTGCTCTTCTGTTTCGTACAATTTTTGTCTGTTCCCTCGCATGCTTTACCCCTTCCGCTATCATCGCATATTATGTCTGCCACCCGTCATGTGCCCCGTTCATGTGTAGAACCGACCATTCCCACCTCCTATCTTAGTTGAGGTACTGACTGAGCATACTCCATAGACGCGAAGACCCTCCAAATTGCTCGTCGGGTATTCCAGGAGGAGAATCTCAAAATTGTTACTGCGCTCGAGAAGCTCGGGACTCGCGCACGTCCCATCACTTCTGGCGTTTTCACTGCCGACTACCTCGACAAGGATAAATACGGTCTCGTGGGCAAGATCACCCGCGTGGACAAGCGCCCCCTGGAGGCTTCCATCCGCGCTGGCGCTCTTCCCATCCTTACAAGTCTCGCGGAAAGCGCTGATGGCCAAATCCTGAACGTCAACGCCGATATCGCCGCGGGAGAGCTCGCCAAGGAGCTTGAGCCGATGAAGATTGTGTTCCTCAATGAGAAGGGTGGTTTGTTCCATGGTGTCACCGGTGAAAAACTGGATGTCATCAATCTCGACGAGGTATTTCTGCTGTTTGCGATTATCCCGAGAACGGACTTCTCACAATCCTTCTTATCGTCCATGTTTAGGAGTACAATGACCTCATGAAACAATCCTGGGTCAAGTACGGAACGAAGCTGAAGCTTCGTGAAATCAAGGAGCTTCTTGACCACCTTCCTCGCTCTTCCTCTGTAGCGATCATCTCCGCCTCTTCCCTTCAGAAGGAGTTGTTCACAGACAGCGGCGCCGGCACCCTCATCCGACGTGGCTACAAGCTCTTCAAACATGATACCATCGAGACCATGGGCGCCGACCGCTTGCGCCAAGTCATTCGAGACCGCGACCCCGACGTTCTCTCGGGCTACCAGACCATCACCGAAGTTCTCAGCAACCTCAAGAAGACCCCTTACACTATTTACGGCGACGAGCCTCTAGAGGTTGTCGCAATTGTCTCCCACCCTGAGGGCGAAATCCCGGTGATGACGAAGCTCTTGGCTTCTCGGAGCGGAATCCTCAACAACGTCGTGGACAATGTTTTCAACGCGATCAAGAAGGACTACAGGAAGCTCTTCTGGACTGCCCACGCCGACGACGAGAACAGGGCTTGGCACTTCGAGAGGGCTGATGGCAGCTTTACCAGGGCGGGCAAGAGCTTGTTCTGGTATGGAATCCAGGATGTTAACGAGGTTGAGAGGATGGTGAACGAGTTTGAAGCGAAGGGTCGCATCGACAGGTCTTACCTGCCCGTCGGTCCATCTGCTCCTCCCCACCGTGCTCAGGCCACGCCTAGTGGTGTCCGCTCTTACTCTACCATGGCTCGTCGTGCCTTTCGCACCCCAGGCTCCTCGAGAGGATACGCTACCGCGGCAGCCCCTGCCCCTTCCACGACCCCAAAGCGTCTCGCTCTGATCGGTGCCCGAGGCTTCACTGGTCAAGCGCTGACCGGGCTCCTCTCTAACCATCCCTACCTCGACCTTACGCACGTCTCTTCTCGTCAACTCGCCGGCTATGCCCTCGATGGTTACACGAAGACTCCCGTCACCTACTCGAACCTTTCTGTCCAGGATGTCGAGCGGATGGAGAAGGACGGCGAGGTGGACGCGTGGGTCATGGCTCTTCCCAACGGCGCCGCCAAGCCATTTGTGGATGCCATCGACAAGGGGACGAAGGAGAGGACGTCTGGCGAGGGAAGTGTCATTGTGGATCTCAGTGCGGACTACAGATTCGAGAAGGAGTGGACGTACGGGCTTCCGGGTGAGGGTCTATCGTTGTAATATGTGTAATATGCATCTGAATGTCAATATTAAATATATTTTCTTTTGCTTCGCTCTTTGGACAGAATTATACTCCAGAGCCGCCATCCGTGCCTCCAAGCGTGTCTCCAACCCAGGCTGCTACGCCACCTCTACACAGCTCCTTGTCGCACCCCTTCTCAAATACCTCACCCCTCCGTCGTGGCCCACTGTTTTCGGTATGTCAGGCTTCAGTGGTGCAGGTACTGTTGCGGGCGCCACAGATCCTGATGGCCGACCGACCACCATCCCGAAAGTCACCGCCGAGTCTCTCGGCGGCGGCGTTAAGCCCTACGCCCTCACTGACCACATTCACGAACGCGAAGCCGGTGCTCATCTCTCCACCCTGCTTTCCAACTCGGCGATGAAAGTCGCTTTCACCCCGAATGTGGCACCTTGGTTCAGCGGTATTATTTCGGTCATGTCGATGCCTCTTAGCGAGGGTATCTCGGCGAAGGAGCTCAGGGGATTGTATGAGGAAAAGTATGCGGGCGAGAAATTGATTAGGATTCAGAGTGGAGTGCCGGAGGTGAGGGATGCGCAGAATAAGCAAGGCTGGGTTGTTGGTGGATTCCAGGTCGGGAGTCAGGGTGACAGGGCAGTCGTCGTCGTAAGTCTTTGCTGTGAAGTGTAATTCGGTGCTGTTTAATTCTGACATTCGTCGTTTGTTTAGGGAGGCCTTGATAACCTGCTCAAGGGAGCCGCCACTCAATGTCTTCAAGTATGCACATGTTTCGACTCATACTTCATCGTTTTCAATACTCCGACTGACCACGCCTTATACCCTCTTAGAACTTGAACCTTGCCCTCGGTTATGATGAATACGCTGGTATTCCCGAGGACAAGTAGACCAAAAAGCGCAATCGACGGTGACATTCTAACCGGAACCAAGGTCGCCGACACTTGCCACCATTGTATGACTCGAGACAAGGCTCGAACAAATGTATCATAATCGGAGATAATTTTTTATGAACTGTTGTTGGTAAGACTTGATGGTGATGATGCCGTGTCGGTCGGTTTCTCGTTGCAGCTCCAGAGCCTTCTCGGTAGGCGCCTTGGTAGGCTCGGGTAAGGTACCGTTTCACAAAGTTAAAGACCTCGGTCGTCGCATCAATAGCTTGCTCATCCATGGTGCAACGCATGTCAATGGTCTGCGGCAGCAGCGGCGATCAACCTCTACGTCTTGGGCGTCTATATCAAGAGGAAGGAAATGAACAACAAAACCATGAAGCGCATCATGCTCTCTTTCGCTGCTCTACTTCCCCAACTCCTTCTTTTGCCATGCTTCTTCGCCTCACAGGCGGTCTCTGGCCCATACTTCCCGCAGTCTTGCACCTGATCGGACTTGTCCAAAGTGTCTCTGCTGCAGGAACTTGTCGCTCGCAGCCTGGTGATGCGGACTTTCCGACTGTAGAAGAATGGTCTGCACTGAATGTTTCGGTCAATGGGCGACTGATCTCTGTGACGCCATCTGCTAAATTTTGCGAAGATCTTCCGTGTACCGACGCGGAATGGTCGAGCTCTGTGTTTAGGGCAACGATTCCGGGAGCGATGGATTGTGTGAGTTTAATTTGCACTCTCATGTGGCGACAGAGGAATATAAATCACTGACACTGTGTTTCTGCTTCGAAGTATAACTGGGAGCAGGTGCGTCGATCCCATGAATTACGCAAAATATTATATTGAGTCATGGTATAGGATTATAGCGGTAATTCCACTTGTCTCGAGGGCGCGTCCGTGTGTGGCCAAGGGGATGTCCCGCTCTATGCGATCAACGCAACCTTTGCCTCGGATGTGCAAGTGAGGGACTTTCTAATTTAATTCTGAGTTGTTGAAAGGCCACTAAAACTGATCCCCTTGAAGGCTGGAGTCAATTTTGCGTCCACCAACAACCTGCGCTTGTCCATCAAATCCTCTGGACATGACCTCCTGGGACGCTCTACGGCCAAAAACTCACTACTCATCTGGACGCGCTATCTTGCGAACGCCACATTCTCCGAATCATTCGAACTGAACGGGACTTCGGTGGGAAGCGCCGTGACTGTCGGTCCAGGAGTAGCCCTGAATGCCGCCTATCTTGCAGCGAAGGCGCAGGGGAAGATAATTGTGGGTGGGACTGCAGCTAGTGTAGCGCCGTCAGGGGGATTCGTCCAAGGAGCAGGTCATTCTGCATTTTCGCCCCTGTTCGGGTTGGCCGCAGATGTGGCGCTTCGTAAGTGATACCGCCCAAATGACTTTCACTCCATAATTTCATCATCGTACAGAATTCAAGGTCGTCATCGCAAACGGTAGCCTCTTGACCGTGGATGCCACGAATTACCCTGATTGTGCGTATCTTCCTCGCCATTTTATTGTCCTCGCACTGACTGAGACATATTAGTGTTTTGGGCAATGCGTGGTGGCGGTGGTGGCAGTTGGGGTGTCATCATCGAGACGACTTTTCAGACATTCGACACATTCAACGTTTCCAAGCACACCGTCGGTATAATTGCGCCAACCAATGACTCGACCGGAGCCCTCATGACGATTCATGCCAATCACATCTTCGACTGGGACAGCGTTAACGCCGGGCAGTATGCCTACGTCTATCCACCGTCTATTCCTACCAATGGCCTAGTCGCAAATCCTGCATATGGGACCTCCAGCAACGGATTGGGTCTCCTGACGTACTTCGCGAATCAGACGGAGGATCAAGCCCTTGCTTTAATGAAACCACTGTTGGACGATGTTAGGGCGCAAGGATTCGAAGTGGTGAACGAAACGGTGGTAGTCGAGTTGGCCAACGATGCGGTGTATGCGGCGGATAACGCTGCTGGTGTCTCAACCATAATGGGATCCCGATTTTTCTCTTCGGATGCGTACAAGACCAACGCGGCCGGTATAGGAGCAGCCTACCAGCAGCTGATCGAACAGGGTGCCACACAGTGCGCAGTTCCTCGTTCTATTTTCTGCGATTTCGCAGCTAATGAATCCCTTACCAGAATCGGTGGTAACCTCGTCGCCGGTGGTATGAACACTGCAACCTAATATTATAAAATCACGGCTGATGAGAACGGTCCCATAGGCAAGGTCTCCGACCCAAGCGTCTCAAACGCAGTTACACCGAAGTGGCGAGCCGCTAAATCTCACGTTAGTCGACCCAAGAGTGAGATATTGTTGTTTAGCGTTACTCATCAATTGCCTTCTAGATCCTCACAACTCTCGGTTGGGCTGATTCAGCGACGCCGGCTGAAATCGAAGCCGTGAAGAACCAGCTCACTAACACGCTTGTTCCCATATTGGACAAGGCTACCACCGAGGACGACGCAGGCTCCTATATGAGCGAAGGTGATGTCCGTGAACCGAACTTCCAAACCACATTCTATGGGGGCAATTACGCGAAGTTAAAAACCATCAAAGCGATCTACGATCCAAATGAGCTGTTTATCGTTGGTGCTGGGGTGGCAAGTGAGAACTGGGACGAGGACGGGCTGTGTCGTCTTTGACGAATTCCGTCTCAAAGCTACCTTCCGCACAACCTATTCGTATTATTTATACATCGGACCTTTTTAATGAGACTCAATAGAGCTCGTACGCGCATTCGTATGTTGGCAGATGCCATTTTTAACCGGAGGATTGGAACATCCACTGTGACGAGCGCTCGAGCATGCTCTGCGGCCAATGGTGGCATTTCCACGTACTCGAAGTTTAGTTGGTCAAGTAGCGACCCTGGGTTGCTGGAACGGGTTGATTTTACGCCCTACAATCATGCAAACACCCAGACCTTCTTCGCGATCGACTGCCTAAGCACCATGATCAAGACAGCGCTTGCCAGCGACAAGGAGCCCGCAAAGTAAATGGCTGGGCGGAAAGCGGTTCGTCCTGCTGCTGATCCTCCGAAGGCATCTAGCATCCATCCAGCTACTGGTGCGCCCTGATGATGAGAGTTTTTAGACACCACGGAGGGCAGGGATGATTATTTGAGACATACCAGGAAGTAGCCGAATGCCCATCCAGTCACCACCATCGCCATCGCGTTCGCGAGTCTGGCACCTCCGTATATATGTCCCACAACGCTGGGCATGGTCGAAAAGAACCCTCCGTTCCCCGCACCGTTAATTACGATAAATGCGACGAGCGGCGCGATGCTCCCGCTGACAGGCCATATAGCTAGCATGCTGATGGTGGTGAGGATAAGGGCGAGGAGGAGAGATGATAGAGGGCCGACTTTATCGCAGAGGGCACCAAAGAAAAGACGGCCGACGGCTGACGAGAGATTGAAGAGCGCGAGAAGCGCAGAAGATAGAAAGGTGGAGGCGCCGAGAGATGTGGCGTAAAGGGGGATGAAAAAGGGAGGGACGAGGATGGGGAAGGTGCCGAGTCCTGCACCGACAAACAGTATGATGAACTTTTTATCGAGGAACAGATGCCTGCGAAGTGATGGGCAACGGTGCTTAGTTCAACATTGCTATTGTAAATTTCAAGGATCAAATTATGCAGGTTGAATACGCACCATTCCATACTGGCGGTGGCCCTTCGAGTCCGTTCTTTTAAGAGCATAGCAGCCGGCATAGTAATTGCGAGAGTAATGAATCCTAGGATCCTGAACGTCCATGGAATGCCGACTTTTTCTATCAAGAAATTCAGGCTAATGGACAGTATGCCTCCGCCAAGCCCTCCGCCTGCGAAAACAAAACCGTTGGCCAAACCTCTGCGTTTCTTGAAATACTGAGCAGGGAGGGAGCTACATGCCTATAAAAGATTGTATGGCCTTTCATTAGCACGTTGTTCGATAAGTTTGTAAACCGTGCCACCTTACCATAAAACATAAGCCGACACCGAACCCCAACACAATCCCAAAACTAACAAACAACGCTCCAAAATTGGTGGTCGCGAACCCGCTCAGTATCTGACCAAGGCCAAGACAGAAACACGCCAATAGCGCAGAGTTACGAGTACCGATCCGTTTCAGGATCCTGGCGTTGATTAAGGCTCCGAAAGCGACAAAGGAGGCGGCCGTTGATCCAATGAAGCTGAGGGAGGAATCTTTGGCGAGATGTTTCGCGGTCAATTGTGCTTGAACAACACCCCACGAGTACGTTAGACCGACAAAGAAGAATCTACATATGTAAGTAGATGTGCCACAGTGAAGGGGCGAAACCCGACGAAATGTGAGTTATAGCCAACTATTAGTCTCACCAGCAAGAAGAAGAAATCAAAAGACTAACGTTATGATGCTGCATGCAGCGACAATAACCCATCCGTATCCACCATCAGGAACGTCTTCAAAGCCATGGAGAGCAGATATCACTGTAGACTGCAGCGATGGCTGAGGTGACTGAGCAGAGGAAATGCCGTCGAGCTCTCTATCTATGTCGTTTTGTTCCGGTCTATTTAGGCTCAGCTGGGTAAGATGTATGCTTGGTTGCATTATGGTTGCCATGATGGACGGAGCTCGACGTAAGGTCAGATCACAGACTCAGTTCGGCGTCAAGTTCGATTTGCGTGGATGTCCAGTGGCCGAACAGGGCTGAACATGACTCAGGCTCGCGATCGGGCCCGACACAACAGAAGCAACTTCGCCGAGGTGTCTTGCAAATCGACCGTGTTTTATAAACTGTGGTAGTAAATAATGGAGCAAAGATAGAGTTGAATTGGCCCGACAATGGGAGACGTGAAGTTTGAGACCGCTGCGTCGAGGGAAAAGGCTATCATGATGTACCGATACATAGCCGCAGAAGCGAGCCACGGATGGTGCAACAATGGGCCACATTTCACACCGGTATTCCGTGTGGCAATTAGGGGCAACCACCGACAGGCAAACAACTTCCCCACAAGGAACATCCTTGTTCCGCTCTTTGTCAAGCCTTCGCGTATCCTCGGTCTGAGTGAGAGTGGTAGTTTCCTCTGCGAGTGACTCAGACTTCAAAACAGTCGCCTATATACACAGTTACCCAGGTCTCACACTAATCACTCAGCTTGCATTCGAACTGCCATGATGTCAACCTCGCAAGAAACCCCCTTTCAAATCTCCATCCCCGACGACGCACTCTCCGCCCTCAAAACCCGCCTCTCGCTCACTCGCTTCCCAGACGAGCTGGACGAAGCGGGCTGGGACTACGGTGCCCCTCTAAAGGACATCCAACGACTCGTAGCGTACTGGAAAGACGGCTACGACTGGAGGAAGCACGAGAGGGAGATGAATGAGGGGTTGAGGATGTTCACGAGGGATGTGGAGGTGGAGGGGCATGGGGTTTTGAATGTGCATTATGTGCATGAGAGGAGTGGGGTGGATGGGGCGTTGCCTTTGTTTTTCTCTCATGGGTGTGAGTGTGATCGTGTTCATGTTCGATTTAGCATCACGTCTCTTATGTGTAGCGCATGCGTAATAGGGCCGGGAAGTTTCGCGGAGGTGCAGAAGCTGTTACCACTGCTCACAGCAGCGTCCCCAGATCATCCCAGCTTCCATGTCGTAGCCTTCAGCCTACCAGGTTATGGGTTTTCAGAGGCCCCTCACAAGCCGGGTTTCGCGGGGAAACAATACGCAGAAGTAAGGCCTTGTTCTCTTTTCGACCCGAGTGCGTTAAAGGATATTGACGGTTTATGGATTGGCAGGTGGCACACAAACTAATGCTCGCACTGGGATATAACGAGTATGTCGTACAGGGAGGAGACTGGGGTAACCTCGTGAGCATCATCAAGAGATGGGGTATTGAACCCTATGGTTCCTGATTCAGTCTGTTTATTCGATGAGATCACACGAACGATGGCGAAGAACTACGGGCCTGAACACGTCAAGGGATGGCACACCAACATGCCGCTGTACGTTCGTCATTACCCCCGATAATACGTTGAATTCTCTAACTTCGACGCGTCCAGTGCCTTGGAGCCCTCCCTGTTCTCACAGCCCCTGACGTGGCTTTCGCACAAGCTGAGCACGTATACTCCACAAGAGAAAGCCCACCTCGCCCGTGGCGAGTTCATCACCCGTACGGGACGTGGCTATTTCGAGATTCAGGCGACGAAGCCTCAGACGATCGGATATTCGATGGCGGATTCGCCGGTGGGGTTGTTGGCGTGGATTTACGAGAAATTAGTCGTTTGGACGGACGAGTATGAGTGGAGCGACGATGAAGGTGAGTTCCTGGAGGTTATTTCTGAATGCTGAAGGAAGAAACTGGAATTGAGTGGTGCGAGTATAGTGTTGACGTGGGTGTCGATATATTGGTTCTCGAGAGCGGGGCCTGCGGCGGCCGCGAGGATATACTACGAGACGAGACAATCGGGGGAACGAAATAATCCGCCCATGGGCATTGTCGTGCCCATAGGGGTGGCCTACTTTCCAAAAGAACTAAGGGTTCCTCCGCGAAGGTAAGTCTGATTCACATCCACCTACATTCCATCACGCTCCGAGATCGGAACTGTCGTCTGAGTGAATTCGTTTATGTTGTAGCTGGATCCGCAGCGTGGGGAATGTGGTGTTCGAGTCGGAGCACGACAGAGGTGGGCATTTCGCAGCGCATGAGAATCCGGAGGGGTTGGCGGATGATTTGAGAAAGATGTTTGGGAGGGGAGGACCGGCGTATGGAGTGGTTCCGGGGAAAACGGGCTATGCGTGATTTATGATACTCACTATTGCCATGTTATGAATCATGTATACGAGCGAATAACGATCAGTAACAATAAGTATGCGAGAGTTCGAATGGTCAGTGGTAGAAACAGAAGTGAAGACGAAATCGATAATGAGGCAACACCGGCAGAAGCCGAGAGCGATTCCGGCACGTTGGCTCAGCCACTCGCGCATCGCAGAATCTCGAGCTCGTCGTCGTCGAGCAAGACCCACAAATCCCCCGGACCCGTTAATCCTCAAGGTGAGCAAACTTTTGCTGGTTCTTGGTGTTGTGCTGTCCTGGAGAGGCCCTGGGAGGGTTTGTGAAGGAACGAGCGGTTGGATGGACTGGGTAGAGGATGGATGAGAGACTTTGGGTTCGGATGGCGTTGGGCGGTCGGCGGAAGGGTTTGGGTTGCGTGGAGGGTTATGGACCGCTCGTTAGGTCGTTGGGATGAGGGCATTGGATCGGCTTGGTTGGGCTTTGCTTGTTTATCTAGGGTGCTGACCGTTCGTCTTGCAGATATCTCAAAATGGTCGCCACTAAGAGCGCGAAGGGCAAGAACGCCCCCAAGAGTGCGTATACGCCCATCGTCTACCGTTCTGACCGGTTCGGTCGAGGCTAACGTGGGGGCTGGTTTATCTATAGCTGCAAAGACCGCCTCGTCGTCGAAGGACGCGAAGGCCAAGTCCGCGAAGAAGGCGGCTCTCCAGGGCGTGCACGGCCACCACTCGCGCAAGGTCCGCTACACCGTCTCGTTCCACCGACCAAAGACCCTCCGCCTGCCCCGGGACCCGAAGTACCAGAGGAAGAGCGTTCACCATGTTCCCCGCATGGATGAATTCAGGACGATCGTCTCGTGCGTTTTTCTTTCCTTAGTGGTATTACGGAGAGGTATTGATGTAAGTTTTGTGGACGGCTAGACCTTTGAACACGGAGTCTGCGATGAAGAAGATTGAGGAGCACAACACGCTCGTGTTCATTGTGGACCTCAAGTCGAACAAGCGTCAGATCAAGGACGCGGTGAAGAAGCTCTGGGATGTTCAGGCCGCCAAGATCAACACTCTCATCCGGTGCGTGCATACCTGGTTTTTCTCTGTGATCCAGAGCTCGGCTGACAGAGCGAGTGCAGACCGGACGGAAAGAAAAAGGCGTACGTGCGTCTTACTGCTGACCACGATGCTCTGGATGTTGCGAACAAGGTGTGTTTGATGAATCTTTCTGCCGATGAAAGTGATACTGATGAAACTATGTTGCAGATTGGCTTCATCTAAGCCGCTCGCGTCTCGTTCCGGGGGTTTTGTCTGTCTCTATCTTTCCTCACGCCATCCACACCATTGCACTTGTTTGACCTGTATGCGTAGTCGTATGCCATGTTCCTATGATTCAAGCAAAATTCATGCAGTGCAGATGGACGCGTGAAGTGGCGGTATAAGTAAGAGAGTGGCCGCCGTGGCCGACTGGTTCTGAACACCAAAAAGACAGGAACGGATGCACAAGGAGGGATGATGCTACGAGTGATCATCAGGGCCTAGGCCGCAGCAGGGGTGTGGAACCTGCCAAAAATACGCGGCTTGAGCGGGCGATGTCAATGGTTACAGGCGAGGGTGACGACGAACGCAGACAGCCGTCCGAGAGAGCGAGCGGAGAGCGAGAGAATAAGACCTTGACGGTGCACTCGAACTCGTTTGAAACGAAAGCAAGGACCAGCTCGGCAACAGCGGCGGTGGCGAGAAGACTGCGCTCGAGAAATCACTCTAGCGGAAAAGGCCCGACGCGAAACGGGTGGTCGTCACGGGCACGACGTTCGCCCTTCTGTACTTGACCTCCACCAACGACTTGCACGCTCTGCTCCGCCAGCAGCCCCACGCTCCTTTCTCCTCCGTCCTGGCACCTCTTCTGCCGCCGCCGACACTCTAGGGCTCGTCCCTATCCCTCTGTCCATTAAACCCTGCAATTCTTAATTGTTTGATGCGTTCCCCGCTCCTCCCCTCCCTCGCCCTCCTCCTCCTCTTCTTCTTCTCCGCCTCCGTCGCTGCCACCCATTCGTTCTCTTCACCAACTACCTCACATGCTCGCCGCTCCTTAGCCTTCAAGAAAAAGGCCGTCAAGCCCCTCGACCCGCCCGTTCTTAGAGGCAGGCAGGGCGATGATGGCCTCGAACTGGGCCTTACTCGTCCGTCCCCTTTCTCTTTCCTTTTTCTTCCCTTTCTCAACCTTTCTTTTCCGCTCTTGCAGCCGATATCAACACCTTCCGTGATGGTCTCAGTGGCTTCCATTTCTTCCCTTCCACCACCACCACCGCCTCGGCCACGGCAACAAATGCGACCTCGTCTACGTCCACAGACTCCGCATCGGCTACCTCGACGGACTCCTCCTCGTCCACATCTGTAGATTCCACGAGCGCCGATTCCACATCGTCATCTGATGCCGCCACCACCACGGACTCCGCCGCCTCATCTACCGACGCTAGCTCATCCTCTGATCCCGCTGCTGCCACCACCACGTCCGCCGACTCGTCCAGCGCTTCTGCCACTTCCGCCGCCGATTCGTCCTCCGCCTCCTCCACGTCCTCTGACTGCGGGCTCCTCGGCCTTGGTTGCGTTGGTTCGTCGACTACGACGTCTGATGCCTCGTCCGCGACTTCCACGGACGCAGCTTCGTCCACCGACGCCGCGTCCGCGACTTCCACAGACGCAGTGTCGTCCACCGACGCCGCATCCTCCGCCTCCGCCACGTCCTCCGACTGTGGGCTACTCGGCCTTGGTTGCAGTGGTTCGTCGACGTCGACGTCCGATGCCTCGTCCGCGACTTCTACAGATGCAGCTTCATCCACCGACGCCGCGTCCTCTACCTCCGAGGACTGCGGTCTCCTAGGACTCGGTTGCAGTTCGTCGACTTCCACCGATTCAGCGGCTTCGTCCACTGCATCCGATTCGGCGTCTGCGTCTGCGACCGATTCTGCCTCTGCAACCACGACGGACGCTTCATCTGCGACGGGTACGGCCTCTGCCTCGGCATCCTCCACTTCGAGCGACTGTGGCCTTTTGGGTCTCGGCTGCTCTGCGTCTTCGACGACGACGGATGCTGCCTCGTCGACCGACAGCGTGTCCGCAACTGCCACCGGTTCCGCTTCAGCCTCCGTTACCGACTCGTCGTCCGCTTCTGCGACAGACAGCGCGACTTCGTCGGACTGCGGTCTCCTTGGTATAGGTTGCACGAGTGCGACAACGACGACGGACGTTTCCGCCACGGGTTCGGCTGCTTCTTCCACAGACTCAGCCGCGTCTACCTCAGCTACCGATTCCGCGACCGTTTCAGGATCATCGGCTAGCGCCACGGCTACTTCGTCTGATTGCGGCCTTCTCGGCGGTATCGCAGGATGTAGCAGCTCTGCTACAGCAACTTCGACCTCGGATGCGTCCAACTCAACTTCCAGCGCTGTATCGTCGGGTTCCTCTGCAGCTGCCTCCTCTACGATCACCAGCGCTCCGTCAGGATCGTCCGCACCGGCCACGTCCACCGCTGTTTCCTCGTCCTCGTGTGGGTTGCTCGATGGTGTCTTGGACCCGTCTTGTGCTTCGAGCACTATTTCTGGGTCCGCCTCAGTTACTAGCACGGCCTCTGGCTCATTCTCGTAAGCAACTTTTCCGACCTACAATATCGAGTTATCCATAACTTTTTTTTTATTCCAGCACAACCTTTTCGCCAAACGCCACCACGACTGCGTCGGCCACCGCGTCGGCCAACGGCACCAGCACCTTCAGTGACCCCTTCACCACAACCGCGTCGGCTAACAGCACCAGCACTTCCAGTGGCACCATCTCCTTCCCCACGTCCACTGCAGGCAACGAGACCACCACCGCCACCGCCACCGCTACCTCATCTCTTATCACCTCAACCGCTAATGCCACATCCAGTAGTGCAAGCAGCACTGTCGTGATATCTTTCCCCACTGGTGTGAACAGTAGCCTCTCGGCGACTGCAACGTCGTTCTCTACCCTGACGTCGTCGGCGACAACTTCCTTCTCCTTCAGCTCTCCGTCTGCGCAGTCACAATTCTCCTACGTCACCGATACCAGCCTTCTGTTCACCTCGTTCTCTACCCCGACTCCGACCACCACCGAGACCAATCCTGACGCACCGACGACCACGTCCACCGGTTCCACGACGGCCACTAACCCATTGGCTTCTGCTACTATCCCGGCAGACCTTCCGGCTCGGATCTTCCCCTCGACAGGAGTCCCCGACACGTCTAAATTGAGCGGGTACACACTCATAAGCGTATTGTTCGACGATGGGTTGTCGTGGAGCTTCGTGACTAGCAGTTCGCAATCCCAAGGCCAACTCCTCTCTTGGTTCCCTGTCGTCCTTGAAGCCAGTCTCGGCCTCAGCTCCGCTCAAGTCGTCACGTACGCCCTCCAGGTGTACATCCCGGACTCGTACACCAGCACAGCGGACGTCGACCAATTGAGGACTACGTGGACCGGATACATTCCCTCGGACCAGGTCGACACCCTCGCTCAGCTCATCTCAGCTAAGAGTTCGGCATTCTACACGAGCACCCCGGATCCCTACCATACCCTCGCCGAGCATGTCGACCCCTCGTTCACGCTCGACCTCGTTCAGAACCCGAGCACGGGCGCTTCGACGGGTTCTTCGAGCAGCTCGGACTCCTCTACCGTCAGTACTTCGAGTGACAATTCGAGGCAGGACGCTATCATCGGGGTCGTCAGCGCTCTCGGTGGTGTTACTGTTCTCATCATCTGCGTGCTCGTCTTCCGTTCGGTCAAGAGGCGCAGAGAGTTGGCTCACAGGAGGCTTTCGGACCAGGCCGCGGCTAACACCATGCCTTACGGGGACAGGGCGGGCAGGGACTTCGATCAGGACAGTGTTGGGGGACAGAGGAGGAGGAGTTTCTACTTTGCGGAAGACAGTTTGAGAGGTAACTCTCAGCCCGCTGATCCGCAAACGCAGGCGATGGCTTCTGGAATGGGTGGCGGAGAGATGGAGTATAGCTATAGGAACAGCCCGGAGCAGATGAGGGAGAGGCGGCCAGTCATGGCAGGCCAAATTTCGGCACCTATCTTACAACAGAGCAGCATGAATTGGTGAAGAGCTGGTAAGTTTGTCGTCTATGTCCACAATGCTTGAGATGCTGACTATCTCATAGGTAGAATGGGTATCAGCCGCAGAGAGAACGACGTCGAGAAGTCCCGGGTTACCCCCATCACATGCCCGCCTCTTCTTCGCTTGATAGTCTCGGACCTATGATACCATTTCCGCCTGCTTTCCTTTACACCGCACCGACCCTTGCTATATTTATACCGCTCACCATTATATTCTTTTCGTGTTGTCTGTCATACCTTTTACCCCGCTTTTTTCTTTCTTTCCTTCTTTTTAACCCGTTTTTCGTCGTCTTACCTGTTGGGTTTTGTTCTTACTTGTTCTTCCTCTCCCCCCTTTTGTCGCTGTCCGGCCTACCTTGAATGCTTTCGTCGCATCGCTTGGTACGTGCAGCTCCCTTGTTCCTCGGATTTCGTCGGGTGTTATATGGCAGTTTTCCAGTTTCTCCCTCTCGTGACTTCGCATGGTGCCTACGAGCCTTACGAGCTTCGCATCCGTTCGTCGCTGGCGGCGGGACCTGCCAGCATTTTGTCGTTGTTCGGAGTCGGTCTGCAAACGCTCTCGTGTATTCCATGCGTAGGAGAGGTCTTTATATGCAAATTGAATGTCCGTCTATGTTCCCCTTTCGATCGGTCGATTTTTCACTAAGACTCACGAAGGACGGTGTTTGCATTTCTGGGTCCCTTTTCCAGCTTGCTTGCCGAACGGAACGACGAACGCTGCACTGCACTTGCAGAACTGGGTCTGTGGAAGGAAGGTATTACGGCCACTTGGGGTGGGCACTTACACAACACGGGGAACTTTTCATATTTTTTTTGTTTTGTTTTCAGTCGCTCTTTCATGGCACATTTTGCGCCTCCGTCATTCAAAGCTTCATCTGTCGTGTTGTGTGTTCTCGTGTGGTGAGGGGCTGGCGTGGCGTCCTGGTTTCGTTTTCTTTCTTTTCTTTTCTTTATATCGTCCTGGAAGTTTTGCATTGGCATCGTTACTTTTACTTTTACGCTTCGATCCTTTTGATCCTCTTTACGCGCGCAATAGACGTCGCACTTTACATGTCATGCCATGGGCAACGGACACCGGACAGGGCATCGGACATGTTTGGACGTGGTTACTGGATGATTGAAAAGCCTCGCGGTGCTTGTGACTCTCTTCTGCCAGGTCGCATATGTTCCTGTTTGTGGGTCGAACGTCTATTGTGCATTATACCCCTTTTTTGGTACTTACGTTTATTGTAATTTTGTTTGTGCAGTGATGATGCAGTGCGATGAAATGCGGGGGAGCCGTGTGAGGTATTCGTCTTAAGCTCGTAAGTCTTACATCGGCTGTGATGCGCCATACAGTTCCTGTGATGGTTTGAGAGACCTCGACAGGTCTACTTCACTGACTCAATACATCAGAATCACCACTTCAAACCCCATTTCTTCCTTTCCGCTCTATCCCCCTCTTCCTCGCCCACCGCTCTCCACACTTCCTCTATCACCTCCTTCTCAGCCTTGCTCGTGAACAGAATAATAGTTCCAAATCGGGGTACCCGCGCAAAATGAACCATATACGCTCGCACCCAGCTTTTCAGTTCGGGTTGAGCGGACAGATGAGTGCTCAGGAGAGCGCGGAGGACTGTGAGGATGGAGGAGAGGAGGGAGGGTTCCAGGGAAGTCTGGAAGAGGGTTGGGAGGGCGGGTGGGGGGATTTGCTGTGTGATATGATATGATGTGTGTGTTCAGATGACTTTACGGTTAGGTTGGAAGAGGTGATACGCACTGAGAGTAGTTTCCAGCGGTCTTCGGGGGTTGCTTCATGATGGCTGTCCCATTCCCTCGAGAAAGTGAAAAGGCTGATCCCGAGTTTCGCGTTTGGACCGTCATACTCGGCTGGCGCTGGCAAGTCTGTAATCGTGTTCGGAGGTCTGGGATCATCTGTGACTGTGGCCCCGCTGGCTATGTGTACATCAGGCTTAGTTTCGGAAGGTTCGTCGCCTGTGAGATTCTCGCCGTGGTCTTTGGAGAGGGTATGAGAGCCAGAAGCGCGGAGTGCGCCGCCACCTGGACGTGAAGCTTCGCGTGCCTGTTTGGCCTCCTTGAAGGTCGTTGGTGTGGGTTTCGACTTAGACTTCAACGCGGCTGATTTTGCATTTTGTTCTGAAGTAGGCAGAGCTTGAGGGGCAGAATTGGATGAGAGGGGACGGGTGGAGACTGGATTAAGAAGAGAAGGCGATTGAGGCGTCGGGGTTGACGTAGTTGTGGTAGAGGCAGACGTGGGCGAGGAAGGTTCGACGATCTCAATCGGTATCCGTCGACGCTTTGGGTGAGGGGCTCTGGTCTGTTGCGATTGGAGGGGAGGGAGGTCTATCTGGACGGGAATAAGTCATTCTGTGATCTGAGGTAGTCGACAGTGATCATACAGAGATGGGTTGGGCGCGAGGTCCGACTTTTCCTTTGTCTTTTTGGAGAGAGCTATTAATTTTCTGGAGTTCCGTGGTGATAGCTTGGTTTTTCGGTTCCAGAGATGCCGCTTCCTCGAGGTCTGATTGACGCGATCAGAGTGGGACAGTAACGAAATGGACTACCAGAGTTATGCCGACCTTTGCGCGCATCTTCGGTGCGGTGCAGGGCCACACGAGCCTGTGATCGTCTGAACAATGCCTTGACGTTTTTGCCGCCGCTGAGTTGGATGGCCCTCGAGCAGTCTCTTTCCGCGTCCTCGTGCCTATTCGAGTCGGTTCAATCTCGCATGACGGGTTCCGATGAGGCGAAACGAAAAGGATACGCACTCACTTGCCTAGCTTTAGGTAAGCGGCCGCACGGTTGAGAGGAAAAGTGGGATCATTTGGATCTGCGAGGATTGCAGAGGTGTAGTGACCGATGCTCGCCGCAAAGTCACCGGCTTTGAAGGCAGCATTGCCCTTGGGAATAAGGCTAAGCACGCCACACTGAACACATTGATGATGAGGCAAAGACGCACTTTCTCTTTCGCCGAGAGAGCGGTTGCCTGGAGGAGAAATGAGCGCTGTGATGTTGCGTCAAGATTGCGGGAAGAATACGGACCTGTGACATGGGAAACAAGGAAACAAGATGAATTTGGCCGACTACGCTACAAGATGGGAGGAGGGAGAGAAGAAGCGGGGAACGCGGCGTTTGCCATGGACGCCATCCAGCTTCGGTGCGGCTTGCTGGACGCATTCCGAACCCTATATTATCTCAACGATGGTCATCCCCCAGCGTACGCGGCACCATGCCTTCTCTCATCTCGCCCTCTCCGCTGACTTCCTCATACGAATCTCGTCCTGGCCCAGCTTCACTTAGCAGGAACATCCACGCAGATTCTCCTGTCCTTGTCCACTCGCTCCTCAGGCCACACTCTTCCACTCTAAGCTTGGCCGTCGATGGCAAGACAATATTCAGCGGTAATCAGGCTCAGGATATCTGCGTGCGTCTGTCTACTTTCGCAAGGGTTGCTGTCACTGAACATCGCTTCGCTGTCCTAGGTCTGGTGCGCTGAAACATTCACTTTGAAGAGTATACTCAGGGGCCATACGGGCAGTGTGCTGGCTCTCGAGTACGCACCCGACAGACAGTGGCTCTTTAGTTCTTCAGGTCCGTTGCTTTGTCGTATCGTTCTCGGAGGCTGCATCTTATTCGCCGTTCACAGGTGACAGCACGATTCGAGTTCGTTTCCGTTCGTCCTCATTCCTCGAATCGCTCCTAACGCTTCAACACAGATATGGTGCACTCGTACTCTGCGTCCACTTTATGTCCTCAATCCATACATGGAATCCGATGCCGGCGACATATTCTCACTTGCGTGGTCTCCGACCCACCAGACGATCTATTTCGGCTGCCAAAACACCTCCCTGCAATGGTATACCTTCCCGCCTGCCACCACAGCGTCTTCCTCGCCACCCTTTCCTTCCGGTGTTTCATCTTCGTCTATCGACTCCACCTCCCTCCCCGGTTCCGGAAGATCCACCCCCACGTCTTCTAAGAAAGCTGCTCATAAATTCTTCGACTCGTATCCCCGCTTTCAAAGACGTCCAGCGGATACGCATGCATCGAACAACGTCGTTCCCGGATTCTCCCACCTGCATCTCCACGATGTCGACACAACAGGTCACATCAGGTTAGACCGGCCAGAGAGCCCGAAGGAGTTCCTCAACGTCGATCCTGGGAATATAATTCCTTCGGCCCACTACGGGTACGTGTACTGTATGGCCTTGCTCCCTTCTGGGAGAGAGGGATCGGACGATCCCCTGTCCAATAGCTCGTCGGTTCCAGTGCGCTTAGTGACCGGAGCTGGAGATGAGAGCGTGAAGGTTGGTCTCGACCTCCTTCAATGACTGTGGTTCATTTACCAACTTCAAAATCTATATAGCTGTGGTCATGTACGGCGTCGGGGGGACTCGAGCTACTTCATACGCTTGAATGCGAACACGGCGCCGTGCTGTCCCTCTGTACGCGCGGGGATTTGATATACGCTGGCTGTCAAGACGGATATGTGAAGGTTTGGGATACGCAAACGAAAACGCTCGTGAGAACGATCATTGTCCAAGAGGTAAGTCATGGCAACATCGAATTTATGCTGAAGAACCCTCGACTCAGGCGGCCCGATGATTGTAGAACGTCGATATCCTTTCACTTGCCATGCTACATTCCGACTTGTATACGTTCTCGGCAGATGGGCAGATCAAGGTCTGTCGTTTTACGCGCCACCGCCACACCGTTGTTCGAACACCATAACTTATTTTTCCCCTATAGCGTTACTCGGATACCTTTGACTGTACGGCCTCTTGGTCTGCTCACTCTGGCATCGTCCTCTCGTCCGTGATATTCCGACACAAAGCTTCCCAAGAATGGAGACTTGTGTCCGGAGGTAATGATGATGCTATCCATGTACGCGCATATCCTTTGTATTCTAGCCCCGGCATTGACAAGTTAAGATTTCGCTGGCTCATCATAGGTATGGAAAATCACGGCTCCCGAGGCCACCGGTGAAAACACTTCCACCCCCGTTTCACCTACGCAAATTGGGGATATACACAACGATTTGGACGGAATAACAGGGGCAGAATCGCCCAACGGTACGTCAACCTGCCTACGTTACAGCCGTCATATTCACTATAATATTGGTAATAGATATCCTGGTTTACGCCCTCTCCAAGTTTGTATCCATCCCGAGCGTGAGCAGTGATCCAGCCCGCCGAGAAGATTGCAGACAAGCAGCGATTTGGTTGACGAAATGCCTGCACCAACTCGGGGCAAGTGCGAAATCGGTGAGTGCACTTGATCCTGTACGGCTCCGGAATGACTAGCTGACCGGTCTGTTGCCCCGTTACAGTTATACACCAATGACGTGCACAACCCTATTGTGTTTGCGAGGTTCGAAGGCGCACAGACAGAACGACGAAAACCAACGATATTGTTCTATGGGTATGCACTACCTTATCCTTCTCCCAGTGCTTCTGAGTTCATTGCCCTTTTGTGGATACCAGTCACTACGATGTCATCTCCGCCCCCTCCGAAAACTGGGAAACCCCTCCCTTCCATCTCACAGCCCGCAACGGCGTTCTATACGGTCGCGGTGTCGCCGACGACAAAGGGCCGGTACTCGCGGTGGCTTGCGCGGCGGCTGAGCTGCTGAAGAAGAGGCAGCTGGGCTGTGATTTGGTTATGATGATCGAAGGTGAGGAGGAGGCGGGGAGCGTTGGGTTCGAGGAAACAGTGAAGAAATACAAGGAGTTTGTTGGTGATGTGGATGCGATTCTGGTTAGGTTTGTTGTTGCCTATTTTCCTTCAGGAATTAAAGGTGCTCAACGGCGACGGTCGTGATTTTATAGTAACTCGACATGGCTGTCCTCTGATGTGCCGTGTATTACATACGGACTGCGAGGCGTCATCCATTGTAATGTGGAGGTGAGTAGCGTATGCTTATTGGAGGCATAACTTGTGAACCTTTACTAAATTTGTATGATAGATAACATCGGGTGGAAAGGATGCGCATTCGGGCATTGAAGGTGGCGTCGTAGCGGAACCTATGCAGGATATGTATGTTTCCTCAAAATTTCCTTTCTAATGCAATGTCCTCCAACTCACTCTCATTTTAGGATCCAGCTTCTGTCCACGCTCACCGACCGAAATCGTAGGGTTCTCATCCCCGGATTCTGTAAGCATTTTACTTCTTTGATGGCGATGTGGCAGAACTGACGGCTGTAATTTGCGTATCAGACGACCGAGTCCGGCCGCAGGACGACGAGGAGAAGATGCTGTTCACTCTTTTGGAATCCGTTACACAAAGCCCAGCATCATCGCTCGCCGCGAGATGGCGCGAACCCTCGTTGACGATCCATAACTTAGAGGGGTCTGGACCACGTAGTAAGCCCTTACTTCTTCCTCGTGAGAGGGCACGTATATAGGCTCATGCACATTAATCTAGACCCGACTGTCATTCCGGCCGAGGTAAAAGCACAGGTCTCATTGCGAATTGTGCCGGATCAGGACCTAGAAGTGGTCGCGCGTGCTTTGTGCAGATACCTTGAGGACTCCTTCGGAGAGATAGAAAGCTCAAATAAACTCAGCGTATGCCCTACCTCCCGTCTTTACGCAAAGGACCTCTGTTCATCCTCGTGCTGTAGGTAACGGTGGACCATTCTGCGGACTGGTGGCTCGGGAATCTCGAGCATCCCTGGTTCAAAGCTCTGGAAGGCGCGATCACACAGGAATGGGGTGTCGAACCGCTGAGAATACGAGAAGGAGGGGTGAGCCGCCATCGTTTCGCATTCATCAGCGAATATTGATATGGCACAATGCGTTCCGTAGTCAATCCCGTCCGTGCCGTTTTTGGAGAAGGAGTTTGCCTGTCCTGCGCTACATCTTCCAATGGGACAGAGTGCGGTGCGTATTTATCCCTCGTTCCCGTCATCTGAGTGGTTTTCTTACCTATTTCTGGTTCTGCGGTATCGCGGTGGTCTAGGCTCAAGCACACCTTCCAAATGAACGGATGTCGCTGTCCAATTTGCACAAAGGAAAGTCTGTCGTTGAGAGGTTTTTGCTCTCCGTCGCTGCTAGTGAGGTGCCTCCTGTATAAACAGCGTTGAGCGTATTGATGGTTCAAATCTGAAGAATATTCTTGTATTGTTTTGTTATTGCTCTTACATTTGCTCTGTATATATACGTGGAACTACATACTAAATAATCCCAGTAATGCGTCACCTGTACTACTGATCCCCGCATGCGATAGTGTTGTCTTGATTCTGCCGAAGGCCTGAAATGTTCGTCAGTAGACAAGCAAAGCGACGATCCGTGCTCAAACAGCGACCCGCTCAACATTGCATGATATACGTATGATCTTGCCAGTGCATACTCTCGAGAACTGACTCACTAGGTATTTCTTGCTATTCTACCCATGTCGGCCATTTAACTCCAAATGTGGCGAGCAGTGTGGCACGAACAAGTCCAACTTAGTCGGCGAATTCCGGCGCAGTCAAGCTAGGCCGCTTTCGCCCGTTTCTTACCCACTTCAACCGGTCAAGCAAGGATCGCCTCCTCGACCTTCGGGTCAGCCTTTAGCTTCACTAGCCACTCTATCGAATCCAATTAGCGTTCTGGTCCGTATTTCTCGACTTTGCTGATACAGCACACTTCGGCCGTCTTACCTCGGCCGACATCAGAACTCTTGGAAATCCCTGACAGGCCCTGAGAAGCCCTGAGCGGCCCTGACGATCCGTTCCGCAAAAGGCCGTGAGGTCTCGAAAGCGCGTCAGGGCCTGTCAGGGCTCTCAGGACGTCTCAGGGCGGTCAGGCTCGATTCTGGTCGACAGTGTGTGGCCCAAAAGTATGTATATTCACAAAAAATGTATATACATGGGGACTCCGACAGACAACAATATAGGCTTTACGACTACGATCCACTACACTATTAAAGCTATGAGACGGCGGAAATAAAACATCGCTCACGCTGTTGTGTCATCACCGTCGTTGGTTTAACTAACGGCCTCAAAGACGTCGGTCGTGGTCTCTGCAGCCCCTGCGTCTGCAGTTGCGCTTGTGCTTGTACATCCGCATCCGACGGCGGCGCCACCGATGCATGCCTCGGTGACCCCGACTCCTTAAAATTAATATTCAGCGCGGGGGGACGAAGACGAACCGGGCGAGGGCGAGGGCGATTCGACGTTGTTCGATCTTGAAGAAGTCGCTGGCATCTGTGCATTCGAGGACGATGTGGACGCGACAGGTGAGGGGGGGGTCGAATATTGGCATTGACGACGAAGAAGAAGAAGAGAGAGGAGTAGAGAGGGTGAGGACATGGGAGAGCGTCCAGAGGGGGGTTTTGGGTGAGGAATGGCAGAGGACGAGGATATAGTTTAGGTGGGTCGTTCGGTGGGGATTGGAGGTGTGGGTGTTAGCGCTGGCAATAGAGAGGGGATGCGAGATGTAGGATGCGAGGGTGGTTGAGGATGCGGGGTTATGTGCGCTGTCTGCGAGGACGGTTATGCGCCTGCCGCCGTTGTCTGGGGAAGGAACATAGTCCAAGCGTACAGCGGCAGAAGCGCCTTGACGGGATGCTGGAAGTAGGGCCGGACGTGGTCGACGGCCTGCAGTCGTAGCTGACCGGTAGAGTTTGAGGCTCCAAAGGAGAACGACTCGTCGAGATCAGACATCTGCTGGCATACCACTCCCGCAGACGCACAGACCACATGTCGACGACGTCGCCCCTGACCTTGCGCACCTCCTCCCTCACCGCGCTGATCAACTCCGCATACCGCTGCCTCCCGAGCGCGAATGGCTTCATCCTCCTCGCTATCCTTGCCTTCTCCCTCATGATCTCCTCCATCTTCCGATACGGGAAAATAAAGCCTCATTAGATCATATAGAGGGAGGAAATCGCACCTGAGTGACCTGAACGGTCGACAACAGAGTCTCGTCCATCATAATTCACAACCTCGGTCCCAATCGCCCTTCTTGTCATCACGGCTCCCGCTTTCTTCACCCTTCAGGCATTCACTACCTGTTTTAAGGACTCTATAAAACGAAAGAATGTTAGTGGACAAAGAATATCTCACTGTAGGAAGAGGATCTGCGTGTTGCAACCCTTGAGAGGCGTCAGTTTCGCAGTGTGTTGAAGTCGCTTCAAAGCATACCGTATTCTCCCTTCCAAAACATGATTACGGTGAGCGTAATGTAGTATAACGAGCTGAAGGTTACAAGCATAGTAAGAAGAAGAACGACAGCTCTCAGTAGCGGTGTGCATTGAGTGTAGCAAGAGGCCAGGAAAGAGAACAACGACGATAACGATGCTCAAGTCGAACGAAGGATAAACACGTATCAACAAAGCCAGTGTGACGAAGCCCGCCAGACAGCGCCAGACTTCTTCGCTCTTTCGTCAATGATGACATCCAGTTCTCCCGAACTTGCCTGTTTCACATCACTTGTGGTAGACGAGCCTACATCTAAGTCTATGCTTTTCACTTCGCGTCATGATCACCGACATCTGCCCTCACGATTGTACTGCAAATTGAGTACCGCATCATCCGACCGTGCATTTGGACGTCAGGAGTTCGGATGTAGAGATGATAGAAAGTATGGAAAGCAAATCCAAGCAGATAGCTGAGTTTCTTCACCGTCGACTCCATCAAACTGAACGATCCCAACGCGTTCTCCACCGCCTCTGTCACCACCACTAGCCCCCCCTGATCCCATAGGCCTACGTTACCCCGGTTGCCCCTCATCGGGCTCTTTGTACCCCTTTCTCTCTCATATAGCCTCGTCCTTGCGCTTTGCGGTAGGATAGTTGATACACCAGCAAGCCAGTTGGTTTAAGGAGCGACCATTGCAGTGAGAGGACGTCAGCGATGTGCAGCAGGGTAGTGATTTACACGGGAAAAGAGTCATGTACGAGTATCTCACTCATCTCCCCTGCACCCATCTCTTTTTCGTCCTCGACATCAACTCAATCTGGCATGGTATCGCTATAGCTGGAGGCTGTGCATACATTCCCTACCTTTACCACGATATCCCGCACCCTCTCGTACACAGAGCACCGACAATTCCTCATTAATCATTAGTACCCCGTACCATCACTATATACTACGTCCACCCTCCTTCTACTCCTCCGGTTCTCTGTTCCTTTCCACCCATTGAAACTGTTACCGTTCACGCACAAATTTGCACATAGCGTCGCTCCCTTCTCGATTCATCCTAACCCCTTGCCCAGTTACCCTGACCCGACCTTCACCTTCACCACCTCCCTCCATGCCATTCCCCCACCACACGCACACACCATCTAAATCTGCCACAAATAGCTCTAGTTCCGTGTTATACTAGTATCATATGTCATATAGAGTAGCAATAGGCACTGTTTGCCGCTGTATCCAGAGACCTCTGTAATTTACGAATATGTTTATGAATTTACATTTTATTTCTGGTGCCACACAACGACCCAGAATCACCCTGACCGTCCTGAGAGCCCTGACAGGCCCTGACGCGCTCTGAGACTTCGCGGGCTCTCTCAAACTTCCGCGTCAGGGTCTGTCAGGGCCGGTCAGGGCCGGTCAGGGATTTCCAAGAGTTCTGATGGATTGCACTTAAGTAGATCATTGGAGTTATGTTCTGAGAAGACGACGGCCAGCACCAGCACAGCAGCCTACGCTTCGACTTAGAAACGCTTCCTCTCATATCGCCTTCGGCCGCACATCTATCGGCCGTGGTTCCATAGGGCACATACCAGTTGCCAATCCTCCACTCCTGACTGGATCATAGCTAACCTAACGCTAGCAAAGGCGTTGAAGTACCTCAGATCATTAGCAGTAAGTGGCCATCATTGCCGCTAACAACAGTCATGTGCTCAGGGATCTACGGGGCATATAAAACACACCATACAGTTTCAAGAAGCTCAACTCCGACGTACTGATCATCCCTCATTCTTGCCCTCGATATTCACATACACCATCATGTCGGCGCTTTCTGCTCAAACCGCCTTCCACGAGGGCAAAGTAGATGATGATCGCGACTCTTCTGGCTGGTCTGCTTCTGCGTATAACGTGGGCGCGTCTTTCGTATACTCTGCCGCCGCGACAGCGCCCGTCCTCTCTCTCCTTGAAGCGCGCCCTGGAGAGAAGATTCTTGACTTTGGCTGTGGGAGTGGCGAGATCACGAAGGAGTTGAAGAAGTTGGTCGGTGACGAGGGTGTTGTTGTGGGTGTTGACATTAGCGAGAGTATGGTGAGTGTCTCTCGAAGCACGTCGTACCTTGGGAGTATCATCTTGCTAACAATATACACTCTTTTGACAGATTTCGAAAGCACTCGAAGTGACTGGATTCGAAAGATCACACCTCCTTGTCGCTGATCTGCAAATGCCTTCTTTCCCAGTTGGGACTCAGCCCGAGTTTCCAGTGGAGTTAGTGGGGGGAAAGTTCGACAAAGTGTTTACCACTGCAACTCTGCATTGGTGTTCGCGAGACCCAAAGCAGGCACTGTTAAATGCACATAGGATGCTCAGGTCAGGTGGGCGGATCGTCGGCGAGATGGGAGGATATGGTAATGTGGAGGGGGTTCGTGCGGCGCTGCACAAGGTCCTCGGGCAACGAGGCATCAACGCTACGGAACGAGACCCATGGTTCTTTCCATCTGTGGAGTCCTATACGCAGGCACGTAACTTTCGATCATCTGAGAGTCATAATCTGAATACTTCATTCAAAACAGATCATCGCATCCGCCGGGTTTAATCCGGTCCATGTCTCACTTACTGCGCGGCCTACACCCGTCGCGAGCCTCAAAAATTGGTTACGTTCATTCTGCATGCACAACTTTCTTCGCGAAATGAGCAGCGACGAAGCAGAGCATGTTATGACGGAGGTAGAAGAGGTTGCTCGTCAAGATGAACGATGCTGGGATTTGAAGGCTGAAGCATGGTGTTTGGATTACGTGAGGTTGAGATTTGTTGCGGACAAGGATTGAAGTAGAACTGTTATGATCAAGCAGAGTCGAAGATGGCTGGGAAGTAGTGATATCCATAGAGTATGCACCCAACCGCTCTTGCGGCCGTTTATGCTTCGTTTGCCTTGTAAAATCCACCTTTCTTTCCCAAATCTAGGGTAAGTGTTGATGTCAAAATAAGCTCATGTGTACTTGATACGGTGCACTCAGTACAGTTCAATTACAAATGCAACATGGGATGTTTTGCGTCGAAGAGGACATAAACACACGAATGTGTACGGTTTCGCCACAATTCGGGCCATATCAAATCTCGGAATGACCAGGTCGGAATTCTAAAAACAAGGTCACCTCCGCGTTGACAATGCGCGGAAGTTGATGTACTTAGTCCACACAACTCTGCGGTAAGCCTTCGAGGTGATCTGAGCAAAGTACTTACACGGCATTCGGCACAACTGCACGCGATTGTAAGAACGACTGTGAGCCATGGGACCGGTCTGTGGTTGACCATGCTCGCTAAGAGCGGATCAGTGATCGAACTTGGCGACGGCTGACGCACGTCACCACTAATAAGCGGGCGCCCCTCTTACCTCGCCTCTTCGTTCGAACCTCTCGTCTTCCTCGCATATTATCATGCCTCTGTCGACCTTCCTGCGCGGAGGGCACCCTTCGACTCCTCCACACTCCGACAACCTCGAGCACTCCACATCGTCCAAGCTCAGCCCCATAGGTATCCCGGACGAGCACCTCGAGGCATTCAACAGCTTCAAGGAGAACCTCACCAAGGCTGGTCTCTACAGCCCTGCCACTACAAGCTCGGCTGCTTCTGCCGACGACGCTACCCTTGCGTATGTTTCTCGTACCATGTTCCACGTACGGTCTCTAAATCCATATAATTAGACGTTTCTTTAGAGCGCGAAGATATGATCCTCGTCAAGCTCAAGCCCAGTGGGCAAACCATCTATCATGGCGGAAGAGCATGGATGTCGACCGATTGTACGCGACGTTTGACCACCAGACTTTTATAGCCGCACAACATTATTATCCTCGGTGGACCGGACGGAGAGACAAGGTACTGCAGTCTCACTCGTCCAAGTAGCGGTTATAGGCTGAGACAGTTAGCATGGGGTTCCGGTGTATGTTTACAAACTGTCGGCCCTGGGAGACAGGGTGAAGGAGATCAACTCTGTACCCGTTGAAAGTCGCTATGAACGAATGTGAGCATACTCTTCACTCTATAGCTTATTTCAAGAAGTTGGCCCTAATATCACTTAACAAGCGTCGTCCTCTGGCAGCTTATGACCCAGTTCATCACCCCCCTTTGCACCGCACTACCTCATCCAGGGAACACGGCGATCTACTCTATTAATTCCATTATCGACCTCTCCGGCGTATCTCTTTCCACCATGTGGTCCCTACGACACCATCTACAACAAGCATCAGAGCTAGCGACCCATCAATATCCCGAAAGCATGAACATAACTGCAGTCGTCAATGCACCGGCATACTTCGCTACCGTCTGGTCATGGATCTCGGTGCGTCAATCGTCCGGTATCTCTTTACAAACACTATTTTGCAGTGAGGCTCACATGCTCTTTTCTGTGCAGGCCTGGTTCGACGAAGGTGAGTCAAAACCATACTCTGCCCTCGTATCTTACGGCCTCAGCGATCACCTTCTCCCTTTCAGGTACACGCAACAAAATACATGTACTCGGCAAAGACCCAGGTCCTGTTCTTCGCACGTTAATCGACACTGAAAACCTTCCGAAGGCGTACGGGGGCACGCTCGACTTCGAGTTCGACGATGACCCAAATTTGGACGACGACGCAAAGAATCTGCTCGGTGAATATCCGCAAGGCCCAATCATCTTTGTCAACGGTAAAGCTGTGAGGCCGACCGTTCCTAGTGACACGACCCCTGCACGGACATCCGCAACGACGAACGGCTCGGCCAAGAACTAGCAATACCGTTAGACAATTAGAGTGTGTACCTATTGATTGCATATCGTCGAGTTGATGTATTTGGAACAAGGGAACAAGTTGGTATCGTGTTACAATTAGTCCATGCATGTAATTCAGATTTAAATTATGCAGAGCAGAAGGATGCGATAGAACATTGATGCGACAGGATGGAGGATTGACAAATGGAAGCGGAGCAGGCGAGCAAGAAAATTCGAGTTATAATGATATGAGGGAACAACAAGAGGGAACAACAGAAAGGAAAAGGTGACGTGAATGCGTGGAATTGGGTTAGTCCATATCGTCTTCCGGCTCGGGCGCAACACCATCCTCATCCCAGATTTCAAGGAACTGGAACGCGAACCGTGAGTACAACGCCCAGACCGAATAGAAGGCTGATACATGAACTCACGGTAGTTCGTTGAGCAGCCATATCTTGCGTCGTGTGTATAGGTACCGTGGCAAAAGGTAAGCGGTCCCATTGAAGAGGCTGCTGGTGACGCCGGGTAGCGGGCTTGTCGCCGATTGTGTTCTTCTTGCCAATGACCCATTTTGAACATTTCCTGGTGGCAGCAAGACTGAGTGAGACCGTAGAGATGGATGAAGGCAAGGACGAGCTCACTCTTCGGTGACACCATATAGGTTTTTCAGGTATCGTTTCAAGAGCATGAGCATGGCTAGGATGACAGAACTACGCATGACGGGTAGATAATCCAGAGATTGCCAGGCCATCAATGACGGCGCGGAGTACAAGTCGTGCGGTTGACCTGGCACAGCACCGTTTGGCGGCTCTTGTTGCGTGTCGGCCATCTCCACGTCTTTTTCGGTTCCTTGGAGCTGAGATGCAGGTGTGGGACGTCCGCGCAGTTGATCGAGGAGGTCGGACGGCGATAACGTCTCCATGAGCTGCATACCAGACGTCAAGAGAATCGATATCAACGTCTTCACGACCATAAGCACCTCCTCCTGAGCCTTGTAATCAAACGTGGCAAAGTTTTCGACCATGTATCGTGCAAAGTGGACCTCCTCCTGCATGCACTTCAGATCCGGTTTCATTTCGAACACGCGGACGAGAGACTTGAGAAATTCGATTTTCGAGTTTCGCTTCTCGCGCACCAGGGAATACCAGCGCTGAAGGAGTGCAGTGGGGGCTGAATGCTGCATGCGATAACCTAGGACATCTTTGAGTCATGCAGGGTCGGGCAGAAATCGAAAATCACTAACCTTGTACAGGCCCAGGAGAGAGTCTGACCTGGTAGTCAAACGATGCTTTCGCGCTGACAGTATACCGCGAGTTGAGTAACGTGGCATGCTTGCTGTGCAACAAGGCATGCAACGCGTTAGCACGACTGCTGAGTACAGTGCTTGGACTGGTCTCAAGGGAGACAATGATCGGAAATGACTAAAAACTTGATGTAAGTATGCGAAAGGACAGCTGAAAATTGGGTCTTTACCTGAAGAGGATGGGCTAAGCCTTGCTTCACCGTGAAGCTGAGGATGTCGATGGCGGAAGCTTGAATTTGCGCATGCTGAGACAAAGCTGCTTCGAGGATCGGCTCAAGGTAACGTTGGACGATAGCGGAGCTCACTCTGCCATCGTAAACATCAGCAGGCTGGAGTGCGCGGAAAGGAAGAAGCTCTTACCCTGAGTCAGCGAAACCGTCTGTGTTTCCCACCAACTCTTCCATGTTCACGTCTGCGATAACCGACTTGGATTTGACACTCTCTGAATTGTCGTTAGAAGCGGATTGAAGAGGAAAAAGGGTCAAAGAGCGTACTCTTCTCTTTATCAGCATGCTTTGAAGCTTCTGATATCAAGAATTCCTGCATGATCTTGAGCAAGCGACCTCGACTATCTTCCTCTGGAGAGGCAAAGATCGCATCCATGATCGCTGCAGACGACTCCAAGGTCATAAGTGTTGGTTGTGCCCTGAACAGAAAACCTGGAATGACGAGGCATGAGTGTGTCGGCTGGACGACGTAAAGGATAGAAGATAGATACCTAGTGCCTGGAGGATTCTTCCTCGAAGGACTGCCTCTGCATACTTATCGTAAAGCTGTAACAGGCAGGTATAGACGTGCTCTATGATGGAACCCTGTTATGGAAGTGAGAACAGTTGTGCGCGAGTTTAGCTTGGGACCTTACCAATGAAACTACGTTCAAGTCTGCCTCCGGTACTGCAACGAATGCCTCCTTGTCAGCGTCTTCGTAAAAGAAGTGAAGCAGTATGCGTACCAGTGCTATCCCGTCGTAGGCGATCGAAGTCACAATGTTCAACAAGAAGCGAAACAATAAATATCAGGATGCAAAGAGTCTTCATATCCGGGCCAGACATCTTGGTGTTTCGTGGTTTGTTGATAGCCTGCATCAGTCGCTCTACACGTCAAACAATAAGATCAGGAAGAGATGTACGCAATACGCAAATAGAAAACGCACGATTACACGACTTTAAGAGCGCTACCAAGCGGCCATAGTCGTGAGTCAGATGTTCCACGACTGCACATATACAGGCCACAGTCTCTTGCAGTGCCTATACACGAATAAAACATGAGGCATAAACATTTATGGTCAGAAAGAACAATGCAAGACTCACCATTGTGCCGCCCGCCGTTGACGGCTTCAGGATCATAGGTTGAAGAGCAAGTTGCAGCTCTTGTCCGAACTTCATCGCAGTCTTCGGCATGTGCGGGACTGAGGCGCGGAAAATCTTGAGTAGGTAATCGGACGTAACTTGCTCATCGATCTATTAAAGAAAATGTTCAGTTGATGGAACAGGATTCGCATAACGTCGTCACATACGGAGGTCGCATTCTTAAGGTATGGAAGCAACGTCGATGCATTGGATCCGGATAATACGGCCGGGTAAGCTGTCGTAAAGAGATAGATGGTCCGGATGCAGTGGATGATAGTCTGCAGATGGCAAAGTTCAGAAGAAGCATCACCGAAGAGGTAAATGGTGCATACGAAGCCAGGCAACTCAGTCGCGTCGACTAAACCATCAATCAAGGCCTCACAAATCTCGGTATACCGCTCATGAAGTACGCTCGCATCGGTACCCTCCTTGTCCGCCATAATCTTATGCAACATGTCCTCCAACGGCGACTGCCTATCCTTGAAGTTGGCGGATACGCCCATGATAATAGAAACCTTCGCAAGGAGGTCGGACCTGCCCGCAGGATTCTCGCCACTAGCGTTCCGAGACTTGAGCGAGGACACGATCGGTGTCTGGAACCACAGATCTTCAACGCTCTTGACGGCGAGGTCTTTCACAGTGTCATCTTCATCAAACATACGAAGTACGAGTTTGGTGCAAATATCGATCCGTCGTTTGTTATCATCGGTGACGCTGTAGAAGGATTTCAGAAGTTTGATGACTCGTTTGCGCACACCAAGACCCGTATCCTAATGGGTAGTAAGTCAGACAAACCAAGCTACACATAACGAAAAAGCATACCGCTATACGGTCAGCTATCTTTTGGTAGTAGTCCGCCGCCACTTCTGGGGAGTCGATCATATACTTTCCGATTAATTCGACAGCGGCATCGCGAACTGCCGGGGAGTTGTCGAGCAGGTGACTTTCGATGCCTCGGCGGACGTTTGGCTGTTCAGAAGAAGGATGAGATACGAAAACAATGAAGATCCAAACACTACTTACGGACGACAAGATCGTAGGATCACTGGTGACGATCTGACCGAGGGCACGCAAAGCCTTCGTGCGCATGAAGACAGCCTGGGCGTCAAGAGCCAGGAGAATGACGTTGAGGATGGGCTGGTACGAATGCCTGAGTTCCTGAATAACTCCTATTTCTTCTGCGAGCTTGTCTATATGAACGACCTCGTCCTGGGAGCTACAAGAGGACACATAATCAGCACTTGTACGTTTCGAACGGCAATAGGTACAGTGATGAACATACCCAACACTGAAGATATCGGTGGTCGTATCTGTCCAGACATCTCTCAAGGCCGATTTGACTTTGACACCGAACGCTAGCATCTGGGGATTATTGGCCTTGATTAGGTCAATGTCATTACCGTCGTTTGACAACGAGGCGTTACACCGCCTGAGAGCAATGGCCAGCTCTTGGCCCCACGTCACAGCGCTGAGCTCTCGAGCGCTCTAGAAATATATCTGAATGTCAAGCTTCATGCAACGAAAATAAAATCAGAGGACGAACGTCGCAAGCCTGATCCTCGGTGGACCGTCGGGACAGATGAGTGATGACCTCGCGGTGAGCAGTAACTAGCCGTTGCAAGTCCTTTGAACTGCAGCTCGCGAGTACCTGGAAAACACGTCAGAAAACACATTAAGTTGCACGTAGTGAAAGTCTTTGCCACCTCCTCCATTGGTCGTAGCGGCATTGAAGTGTTTCCATTCGATGGACTGTCGGCGAGCTTGAACTTGAGGGTACTGGTCCTTAAACGTGCAGCAATTACGCCGAGATGGTCCAGCGCGAGTTGCTTGACTGCATTGTTATCTGTCTGGGCCATCGACTTGACGTCGTCTAGAGAGGAAATCTTATCGCGCTGCGCGTCAACAATATGTATAACCGGATGCAGAACCTAGACTTCACGTACCATAAACTTGCAGATAATGGTTAGTAGCAAGCTCGCCGCGGGCCATTCAGGCCAGAAGAGGACAACAAGCAAATCCGAGATGAGGTTGTCGAAAATGAGACGATATTCCGCTTCGTTTGAGTTCTTCGTCGCCTTTCCCTTCCCCGATCTACATAAGGGGAATGAGTAATGCACATAGAAGTTTGTATCAAATGATGAAGGCGAGACCTTTGCGTAAGGAACACCACAATTGTTTTTGCAGCCTTGGTAGCGGACTCTAATCCAGAGAGATAAAGGCTGATCTCGTCCTGATCAACATCTTCAAGAAACGGCTCTGGGATGTCGGAAGGCATGCTATCGTGCCTCTTGAGTGCCGCCGCTTGCTGACGAGACTTGCCGAGCTTCTTGGCCGAAATGCGAACACCGTGGGCGGAGGTCTGTACCAATTGAAGTAGAAGAGCAGAGACAGTACGAATCGAGCGACCGTCTCGCAAACTGAGGTACGCAGAGCAAACATAACGTGAGATCAGATGATGACACAAAGTCAGTTTAGATAGAATGAACGAACCGAAATTGACCGGCTTTTTGCTTGGTATCTGAGAGCTTGATGAGCGAGCTCAAGATCTCCTCGATGATCCAAGAACGCTGCTCTTCGTGGTTCGCAAAAATCTGAGAATAGCGATAAGTATTGTTGCACCAAGACAATGGGCTGGGAAAGCACCTACACTTCGGGTGAGGGACAAGGCATCCAGCCTGAGCCCTTGCATAGCAGTCTGCCCAAGTGTAGCCACTACTAGATTGTCCTTCTTCGCCTTCGCCCCTCCTTCGTCTTCGACGACGAAGAATGGTCCAATCGCGATGTAGACAGCCTGGATAATGATGCTATCCGACATCGCAACGACATCGGCATTTACTAAACCATTGATACGTGGAAGGATGGACAATAGGGCCTGGAAAATATCCGCAAGCTGTCGTCTATGCTCATAAGCCTCCGAAGACAGGCTCTTTGCGACGTGTCGTAAGGTGGAAGATTCGCCGCTGGATGATGAGAATTCGATGAAGGGGTAGATAACCTTGTTGAGCTGGTTTTTGACAGACGAGAGGCACGCATTGATGAGCTCTTCCGAGTAGAGTTGTTTGTTTAGACGGTCGCTCCCGAGTAGCGCGATACAGCAGTCGGCGGCTAAAATGCTGTCTCGAGCAAGCTCCAACGACCTCGAGAGCTTTGCCGTGTCGAGAGGCCGAGGGAGCTCATCCACGTCCACGCCGTTCACGACACTCTCTTCATCCTCGTCGCGTGGTGTTCGTGACTTCGACCGTCGCTCTGCCTGAGTACCACCCTTCTTCCCTGCCTTCCCCCCCTTCTTCTTCGTAGGTGAAGACGGAGCGCTCTTTGACCCGGCGACCCCATTTCCGGAACCGCCACTGGGAAATGGCTCCAAATCCTCTCCCGCCTTCACACTCCTCTCCAAGATCTTCAGTACGCGAGAAAGAGTCTGAGGTTCCACGTCGCTCAGGCTCACCGGGCCAGTCGAACGAGGCGTGTTACCATTGCTGTTAGGTCTTAGACGTTTCTTAGGCCGTGCGAGTAGACCGATGTGCTTCGTCAGTTTCCGAACGAGGTTCGGCTGGAGCTGAGGGCGAGCTGGGTCAGAGGAGATGGGGGAGAAGAAATCGGAGGGCAGGGTTTCTAAGTCGGGTTCGACAGGCAGAGAGTCTTCAGCCTCGAATATGTCATCTAGTAGTGCAGTCAACTTCTCAAGCGGGGCTGTGAAAGAAGCGCATACATTGAGTTTAAGTATAACTTTAACATCAGACAAAGTCATCCATGCAACTAGGGTGGCGTAGTGTGCGTACCTCTTTCGTCACGGTCACCCGTCTTCTTGGTAGGAGACCTTGAAGCTGAACTCGACGCGAGGCTCGTCTTGTGAGGCTGGTATTCCTCCTCTTCTGAACCGAACCCACCGAGATCTGGCTCTCCCCCGTCATCATCTTCCCGCTTCGTCTTGCCCTTCAACCATGCAGAGGGAACTGGTGGACGACTCTTCTGCGACGAAGGCGTTAATTTGGCTTTTAAGGGCGGCAAGTCGACATAGGGCTGCATCCTGGATTTGGCCTTCGGTGTCATACGAGGCAAGGAGCTAGGGTCGATGGAGGTCGAGAGATTGGTGTGCGAGGTCTTTGAGAGAGATGAAGATGCAGAGCGAATGGGCGACGAGGAGAGAGCGGAAGATAGTGAAGAGGATGATGATGTGCGGTTGAGAGTCTGGACGCGCTTCACTGTAGGAGATTGCAGCTGGTTGATAGGCTTCCGCTTCTGTGGGGTCGAGACGACTTCGACAGATGCGACGGCGAGGGGGTCGGGACTTGACGGTGGTAGATTGGTCCCACTGTTTCTCCGGCTTGGAGTGCTAGGTGGCCTGACTGCGCTATACCGGGCTGCCTGAGCCCTCTCGATCTCGCGACTAGTCTGGTCAACAAACACATTAAAACGGACGTTGGATTCCTGGGGTGAGATGATGGACTGTTGCCGCTGTGGCGGAGGAGGCTGAGGTTTGGGTGGCGAGGACTGGAGCGGAGCCCTGGGGGGAGATGGTTGGGGTGGAGCACCCAGGGCAAAGGCAAGCGAAGATGAGGAGGCCTTCATTGCGGGTGGCGGAGGAGTCGGGTACGAGATGGATGGAACGGTGTGTTGGAAGACAGAGTGAGCAAAGGCGTTGGACCGATACTGGGCGTATGGGGACTGCGAGGGAAGAGAAGAGGGCCAATAATTGGGCGCAGACGGGTGCTGTGGATATGAACTAGCAGAAACAAACGCATATATTGAGGTTCGTTCGGATTGAAAAGGGAAGGGACGTACGTGTGAGAGGGCTGGCCGAGGTATTGGACGGCGTCGTTCCGAGTGTTCTCCCAGTAGCCTCCGTCCTGCACAGGCAGATGCTGGGATTGAAGGTGGTTCAGCTCTGTAGCGTACTCTGTGTACGGCGCCGGGGTCTGGGACGGGTAGGTGTACTCGCTCAGCGCGTAGTATTGCGGCTGGGCGTACGACGGCGGTTGGGCGGAGAGCGACAGGTTGCTCAACTGGCGCGAGACTTTAAAAATGTGAATATATGCGTCAGTCAGTCACCGCCGATCCGATCTCATTATAGGGGCTCTGACCATGTCCAGTTGCGTTCAGACTCGCGAGCGGGTACGCGCTCAGCAGTTGGTGCGAGTCTGCCACAGAATCAACCGCCATCCCATCCGGCGTCCTTGAGCTCGTCGGGTCTGGCGAGAGGTATGCATCCCTGCCGTATCCGTTCATTCCATGGGGGTTCGAGTACCAGCCGTTAGAGTCCATCCCGGCGCCGTTCTGTTCTAGTAGGCCTCTGCGGAGAAGCAGCTAAGGCAGGCTGCAGAACGAAGTGCTTGACCCGCGACGCGAAACACGCGCCGGGCTCCTTAATTGACACGCTGTCACACACGTCACACACGTTCCTGCACCGGGTGAATCCGGTGCGAGTCACGCTACAGTCTTGTTGTGGCAATTGGGCCACAGAGACACCGATTGGGAGGTACGGTTGCGAGCCATTATAGCAAAACACGTAGAAATACACATTGGAGACATGTCCCCAACAAAATACAATGGTGATAAATGCTTCGAGCATAGAGAAAGCAGACATCCAAGAACGTTTCAAAAGGTCAAGAGGACCTGCCTCTCCACGGACAAATAATGTACACCCTTGCCACTTCGCGGACCTCCATGCGTCCACCCTGTCCAGGTTACACTTCCTACAGTCATAATGCACAGAAACGCCCAAAACATCCAGGATCACCGAGCATGCAGGTACAGTCGCTAGAAGCGGTTGTTAAGATGGGGAACACGGAACTGGCCACTCAACCGCTTCTCACGACCAAGCTTGAGGAAGCTTTCACCTCTGCCCTTCTGTGCTGCAGCCCCTGGCCTCTGCGGCAGGCCCCGAATTGGAATCGTGAAGCTGCTGGGCGGTCGCTGAGACTGAGGGCGTTCTGAGGCGGCCGAAGGCGTCATGGGGAGGCTGGGAATCATTGTCGTTGAACCGTGCAGACGGATAGTCGAAATATGTTTGGCCGGGGGAACCACGAGACTGGACGAATCGAGGTCGATGTAGGAGAACCGAGGAGGGTCCTCGCCGGATTTAGAGGGCCAATCTGTGTCGTCGGGATTGTTGGCGAAAGAGGCGGGGGTGAAGTTGTCGCCCGCGAGAGCGGAGATGACGCTCACTGTAAGTTTTGCGTTGATAATGGAAGTGAGCTTTCTGGCCCAGAAGGAAGAGCGACAAGGTATACGTACGATAATGAGCGAGCCCCTTGCCAAAGTTGAGACGACAGAGAATACCCGCAACGAACGTGAGGAGTAGGAGGATGTACGCCGTAACGGTGACGGTTGCGAAGAAGGGCCAGATGCTGAGGTAGAAACGATAGAGTGGAGAGAAGTACATTGCGGTCCAAATTCCTGTCAACGCGGCTCCCGTTGCGATGAAACACCAGAAGAAAATCCGGGCTTCTCGCCGGATGGAGTACCAGCCCTGCAAAAGCCGGATTAAAATCGGAATGCTAGGATATAAAGGGAAAGGAGACACGTACGAGGACGATCCAGACGAGCTCTAGCTATAAGGAAAGACAGGTCAGTGGTTGCTCGAACGGATAGAAGAGTAGATACCGTACTACGACGGAGACGACAAAGAGGGCAAGGTAGAGAGTGTAGCTAGTCATGTCGGCATCATGTAGATGCTCGCTCAGCCTGTTGATCCATAGAGCAGTACCAGCAATCATGAAGAAAGAAGCCAGTTGCATAGTCATATAGAAGGCCAGATAGATCTGGATCAAACGGGGTTAACACATACGACCTCAATAGTATCTGATTCGAACCTTGTAGATGCGGTTAATTTCTGGAGACGCTCCGACGCTGTTGAACGTTTGCCGCTCATACATCTGAAATATGGCACATTAGAGTGGTGATCGTACGATCAAAAGGTGTGGATATACCAAGAACAATTTCCACGAGATGAGCCAGGACATAACCAGAACGGTGCAATTGACGATGAGGATAGGGACCTGGCCATTCACGGTCAATACACTTTTCCTGTCAGCGTGAAGACCGAACGTACAGAGTGGTTCAAACGGACGTCCCACCAGCCGTTGAGGACATCGACACCATCACAGGCATCTCCGACAACAAACTGGACGTATTGGGACCTCATCTTGAGCTGACTGTGCACGTTGAAACCGGCCCATGCAGTATCAAGAACGTGGCTGGCCAAGGCGGCAATACTGCGAGGTCGTGGAGACGATGAGCGAGCCAATCGTTAATGGAAGTCGGAGAGCTTACAGATGTGGGATTGAATCTGTCAAGATCTGAGCACAAAACGATTTGAGTGAAGACATGTGCGCGACGCGTGAAACACACGTACCGCGGTAACCGAGAGGATGAGAAGCCACAGTTGGAAGAACAGGGTAGCAATGTCTTCGCGCTTGCCGTCGTGGAATCTGTTTGAACTTGTGAGAACATTCACTGCACGTCGCAATGGGGAGAGGAAGCGTACGTTTCCAATATCCATGGCAGCGACATTGCACACCGATCGCTGATGGAACTCGAGTTCGTTGTCACTGTAACGTCGTCCAAGAGTTTGCTCGACTTGGGTGATGAAACGTCAGCTGTTCAGTAGGAAATAGAACCAAGTGAGTGAACAGACACACCTTTCTCTCTGCGCGAGTCGCATAGCTCTGCGTCCTTTCCTCCACGTGAGGCGCTGAGATGCTGAGACAATCCTGGAAATCGTCCGTAGGGATGGTCGAGCACAGTTGGAGCATATCATCAGAGATGATCGTAAAACCAGCCGTGACGTTGTGCTGCGCGAGGATAGCCTCAACGCGGTCGACAACCGTTATATCATCCGCAAGGGACATGGATTGGAGGATGAACTGGACTGCGAACTGGGCGAGTGCGAGAAAGAAGTAGCATGCTATGAAGCGAGAAAGAACCAGGCGAAGGCGCTGGTAGACGGGCGAACGTGAACGGTGGCAGCATTGGCGAAAAAAGGCAAAAACTTACAAGTTGCTCTGCCTTAGCCTTGACCTGGAACCATGCTAGCATATTTCCGCAAAACGGAGGGCGAAAGGAGCGGAATTGCCAGTAAAGGCAGCCAATGAACAGAGAAAGGGAAACGGCTCAGCCGGAGAACGAGTTGAGAGCCTGCTCCTGTAGACCAGCTAGTTCAGTGCGGAGGAAAGAAAGAGGACTGAGCGGGGTCGAGAGAAGGAGGTGGGGGGCGCCAGCTCGCTTCAAATGCGTGGATTTCGTAATTATTTAAGCATCGAAACTGCGCAACGGGAACAGATGCCATGGCTACGAGTACACAGTGTGCATCGATACAGTATCGCACAAGTTCGCTTTGAGTTCGCTGCTGTGGTCTCGGTGTGGCGAAGACCGCAAAAGACAAAAGGCGATCATTGACAGCAATTTGCAGAATCGTAGTCGCAGTCGCTTTTTTCTGCGATGGGGCTTGCGGCTTCTTCTGACGCAACCGACTCCCATAACAGGTTGTGAGCGCCACGACCACCGTCCTCTGGCCGCGGGCCACCCTCCACTGTAAAGCAATGTTTCGAGATATCTCCATCTCAAAAATTGTACAAGTGATTCTAGTGTGTTGTTGACACACTCACAGTCCTAAAACCCAATATTTAAGTGGCAGCATCGAGGCTGGCTCGAGGACGAGCACTGTGGCCCCGTGTGGAGTGGCCCGTCGGAATGGCCGGGGACAGCTCCGAGTGGAGCACAGGCTTCTCCGCGAGAAATCTGGGTGCGACTACGATTCTGCAAACCGCTGGAATAATTGATCGGCGAACATCTCCTCGGAGGCGTCAAAGAGAACCCAGATCGGGGGATGCTGGGCGGGTCGGAAGGATGGTCGGGAGACCGGCCGGGAGAGGGCACGGACGGGGCCGGAGGGTCGATGACTTCACGAAAAGGCGGGCGCGCTGCTGACCATCTCCACGACCACCATTGGGAACGACGACGCCAGGCAGCGCACCGTCTAACCACTCTCCACCATGCTCAACAGACGAGCTCTCCTTCGCCTCCGCCCCTCTGCGACGGGCAGGTACAAGCTCGCGCACGTGTCCCAGGGCTCCGTTCTTGTCCAGCGTGCCCTTGCGACTCCCGCAAAGGCACCTTCTCCCAATGACCCGTTTGCTAACGGCACCAATGCGTACTATGCAGAGGAGATGTATCGTCACTGGAGACAGGACCCGTCCTCGGTACATGCTTCTTGGGATGCTTACTTTAAGGGCCTCGACAAGGGCCTCGGGGCAAACGCCTTCCAGCCCCCACCCAGATTCCTACCAGCTCCCGCAGATGGTGCACCAGCTCTCCATGCTTCTGGTGGTGCTCAGCTCGATGATCATCTCAAGGTGAAATTGCTTCCGTCTCTTCATCCCTCCCCATCCTCACATCCCGACCACAGGTGCAACTTCTCGTCCGTGCCTACCAAGTCCGTGGACATCACGTCGCAGAACTCGACCCCCTCGGAATTCTCGATGCCGACCTCCAGGACGTCAACCCTCCGGAACTCGAACTTAGCCATTACGGGTTCTCCGAGCGGGATCTCGACAAGGAGATCACCCTTGGCCCCGGTATCCTCCCCCACTTCATGACCGATGATAGGTCAACGATGCCACTCCGTGACATCATCAAGACCTTAAAGAGAATCTACTGTGAGTTCTCTTCTTGCCTCGGATCCAAGTCTTCTCTGACACCACTCCACATCAGGCGGTGCGGTTGGCATACAGTACATCCATATCCCGGACAAGGATCAGTGCGACTGGATCCGTCAACGCGTTGAAATTCCTAAGCCTTGGAACTACACTGTCGAGGAGAAGCGCATGATCCTCGATCGCCTTATGTGGTCAGAATCATTCGAGAAATTTATCTCGATGAAGTACCCCAACGAGAAGCGTTTCGGTCTTGAAGGTTGCGAGGCCCTCATCCCCGGTATGAAAGCTCTCATCGATAGGTCTGTCGATCATGGCGTCAAACATGTCACCATGGGCATGCCCCACCGTGGCCGTCTCAATGTCCTCGCGAATGTCATCCGGAAACCCATCGAGGCTATCCTCAACGAGTTCTCGCCCTCCACCGAGGACTCGGATCCCGGAGGAGACGTGAAATACCATCTTGGTGCAAACTATATTCGTCCCACACCCTCTGGAAAGAAGGTCGCTCTTTCTCTCGTTGCGAACCCGTCCCATCTTGAAGCCGAGGATCCCGTCGTACTCGGCAAGACTCGTGGCATCCAACACTTTGAGAACGACGAAACCAACCATGTCACTGCGATGGGTGTCCTTCTTCACGGAGACGCTGCGTTTGCTGGCCAGGGCGTCGTCTACGAGACCATGGGCTTCCACAACCTCCCTTCTTATGGTACTGGTGGAACCATTCATCTCATTGTCAACAACCAGATCGGTTTCACCACTGATCCTCGCTTCGCCCGCTCGACGCCCTATCCGTCGGATATCGCCAAGTCTCTGGATGCTCCCATTTTCCACGTCAACGGCGACAATGTCGAGGCCGTTACCTTCGTGTGTCAGCTCGCCGCCGATTATCGTGCCAAGTTCAAGAAAGACGTCGTTATCGACATCGTCTGCTATCGTCGTTACGGACACAACGAGACGGACCAGCCTAGTTTTACGCAACCCCGCATGTACAAAGCCATCGAAAAGCAGCCCACTCCGCTCACCCAATACACCAAGTTCCTCGTCAACCGCGGCACGTTCACGGAGAAGGATATCGAGGAGCACAGGAAGTGGGTCATGGGGATGCTAGAGACTGCCGCCAACGCTGCGAAGGACTACGCCCCAACTAGCAAGGAATGGCTTTCCGCTCCCTGGCAGGGCTTCCCCTCTCCCAAGCAGCTCGCGGAGGAGACTCTTCCCACCCGTCCTACTGGTGTAGACGAAGAAACGCTCAAGCACATCGGTCAAACCATCTCCACGTATCCTCCGAACTTCAAAGTCCATCGCAACCTTTCTCGTATCCTGAACGGTCGTGGCAAGACTGTCCAAGAAGGCCAGAATATCGATTGGTCCACCGCTGAGGCCCTTGCATTCGGCTCCCTTGCTCTCGAGAAGAAGCATGTGCGTGTATCAGGCCAGGACGTCGAACGCGGCACCTTCTCTCAACGTCATGCTATCCTCCACGATCAAGAGAACGAGGCCCAGTATGTTCCTCTCAACAATCTCGGCAACAACCAGGCCCGTTTCGTCGTCTGCAATTCTTCCCTTTCTGAGTTCGGCGCTCTCGGCTTCGAGTTGGGATACTCCCTCGTTTCTCCTGACGCCCTGACTATCTGGGAGGCGCAGTTCGGTGATTTCGCCAACAATGCGCAATGCATCATTGACCAGTTCATCGCCTCGGGGGAACGCAAATGGTTACAGCGCACCGGTCTCGTCATGAGTCTTCCTCACGGTTATGACGGCCAGGGCCCGGAGCACTCTAGTGCTAGGATGGAGCGCTTCTTGCAACTCTGTGACGACCATCCTCATGTATTCCCTACAGCAGAAAAGATCGAGAGGCAACATCAAGATTGCAACATGCAGATCGTGTATCCCACCACGCCTGCCAACTATGTGAGCAATTTTGCTCACCCGCCGAGAACGGTTTAGCTGATCCTCTGGTCTACAGTTCCATGTCCTTCGTCGTCAAATTCACCGTGATTTCCGCAAACCGGTTTGTTCAGCTGTTTTCTCCTCATAGACATGACTCTCACCTGACCCATGACTTCAGCTCGTCGTGTTCTTCTCCAAGTCTCTGTTGCGCCACCCTAAGGCCCGCTCGTCGCTGGATGAGATGACGGGCGAGACGACCTTCCAGAGATACCTCCCAGAGGAATCTCCAGATCTGGTTGCCCCCGATCAGATTAGACGACACATTCTTTGCACTGGTGTGTAGTTTCCTGCGACTGACTCCTTATCGGCCATATTTAACCACACGATTGTCCAGGTCAAGTTTATCAAACTCTCCTCGCGGAGCGGGAGGAGAAGGGTATCAAGGACGTCGCGATCAGCAGGATCGAGCAGATCTCACCTTTCCCATACGATCTCGTAAGTTTTTCTTCATTCACAGTACCTTTGCTCTTCACTCATCGCGGTGCCACAGGTCACACCTCATCTTGACCAGTACCCGAACGCAGACCTTCTATGGTGTCAGGTTAGAACCTCATCATATTATACGCTTGCTGGTGGCTCATGAACCGTTGTAGGAGGAGCCGCTCAACAATGGCGCCTGGACTTACGTAGGGCCCCGTATCTACACGGCCGGCAAGGAGACAAAGCACCACCAGGGCAAGTACCCTCTCTACGCCGGTCGGGAGCCAACGAGTTCCGTCGCCACCGGAAGCAAGGTAAGCCTTGCGTCCTGCAGGCCGATACGTTTTCATCTTACTGACACTTCATGTCTGCCCGTTTGTAGATCCAGCACAAGAAGGAGATCGAAGCCTTCCTTGCGACCGCTTTCGGATCATGATTGTTTGTCTGACGGTTCTATGGCCTTGGCGGTTATCGTGCATCATATCTTGCTTTTCTCGTGGACAGTTAATAAACGTTTCCTCTTTTCGCACTCTCGTTGTGAACTTTGTGATCGTGTGCACCATGTGTCAGCAGGGTTCGAATGAGAGTTTGAATGAGAGCTGGTGTCAAATTCGACTATCGCATTGTGGGGCAACTCGGTATGCTAGGATTTCATGAGAGTACATTGTCTTAGATCGAGCCATAGTAGATGTTGTCCGACCGGTGCGGGGGCTTTGAGCAGACTCGTTCATGATTACCACCGAACAACCCTCCTACGAGTTGTCTACGGGCGATTTTGGGCGTATCTAGCTCCGAACTCTGAGAGGGCGAGTACACTAAGAGGGGAATATATTTAAGACCCCAACTATGTATCCATCGCTACAACTCGCACATGTCGACCGAGAAGTACAACTTTGCCAAGGAAATGTACAGAAACTAGATTGTGTGTTGAGATATACAGAAATGTACGACAGAATACAATATATACCACCAAGCTCGAAGACTATATGCTGCCTGCAATATGCGTGAAAGGTCTCGCTCAACCGAACATCTACGGTCTCATCTGTGAAGTAAGCCGCCACCGCCCTCATCCACGTAGCCTTGTACATTTACATTGCTAATTCTTGTCTCTCGAGGCGGACTCACCAACCGGCTTGTCCGAGAAGGTCAAGAGGTCGGTAAGTGAAGCAATGTGATCGCCCTAGGGTTTCTTATGAGCGAAACGCCGCGAAAAATATTCAGATCAACGTACCTTCTGTTCTAGAATGTCAATTACTTCACGCAGATGGTCGGCTAGAACATTGCGTTTGACAACGTTCGAAGTGGGGTCCATGAGCTTGTATTGGTCCGCCAACTCGGTATAAATCCTGTTATACAAAAGATGTCAATTTTGATGAACGAGAGGTGGTGAACGATATCAAAGGCACATACCCTTTGTAATGAGTGAAATCATCTTCGAGCTCCCTCAGTACCTTCATCAGCACGGTCTGCGGAGGTACGCGGTCCTTTGGTGTGCCCTTTGCTAAGAAGTCGAGGTTGTAGGGATATGTGTCCGCTGCCTTTCCTCTTAAACCAGCCCGTCGTTCACCGGCGGTTTCCACCTCTTCTCCATCCTCGAACCCTTCATCATCCTTCTCAGCGTCGCTATCCTCCGGGGCCTTTACGCGTGTTTTAGCCCCCTTTCTTCTCTTCGTGGTAGACCAAAGCGCCTCGCCAAGACTTTCACCAGTAGAGTGCGCACGACGACGACGGCAAGTTCTGCAGGTCTTGACGTTATGCTCGGGGGCCGAGAAAAACATCCGTTCGAGACGTGTACCGCGGATCTGAGGGAAAGGTGCAGCTGCAGGAGCTGCCACCTCTGGCTCTTGACCACTTCGCGCAGAACGACGAAGTGGCATAGAAGAGAAGTCGCCGGCTGGCTTTTTGCGTGATTTACCGGCGGCATGAGATGGAGTCGGGGCTGTAGGTCTACTATGGCCCTGAATCTGGGACGGGCTGGAGCAATGCCTTCTTAATCGCTGAGACGAATGCGACAGAGCAGGAGATGTTGGTCTACTTCGTTGTTCTTCGTCGATATGACTGCCATTCCATGACACGCTACGTTCTGAGCCAGTGCGAGGCGACGCACGACCAGCAGGTGCTGAATGTTGAGATGACTGGGAGTGTGCACTAGAATGAGAGTGTGAGTCGGACATGCGAGAATACGATCGCTCAGAGCGCCGTTCTTCCATCTCGACTGAGATACGCTCGAGCTCGTTGGGATCGACGTAGTGACGCCGACCGGACTGCCCTATGTCGACGGGTCTGGATGGGGGAGAAGGCGGGGCAGAATATGAAGGATCACGCGATTCCAACATCGACTCGCCATGGTACTCCGGTGCTTGCACTTCCCTCTCATCTTCAGTCTCGATGTCTGAGTCCGGCCGGTCGGTGTACAGACGTGTTCCAGGTTGACGAATCTCTTCAGGCTCCGTGGCTTCTATACGGCCTCGATCCTGGCGGCTTCGACGTTCGCGTAGGCCCTCCTCTACAACCCCCTTCAGAACCTCTATCTCGCCAGCGACCTTCTCGACTTCGGTGCGAAGACGATCGACGTTGCCTACTTTCTCTTGGAGAGTATGAGAGTCAGCTTCCCGCAACGTGCGGAGTTCGTCGAGGAGACGTTGGTGTGAAGCGAGTTCAGTGGTCAGGCGCGTCATGTGGCTCCGTAAAGTTTGGATCAAAGCCTCTAGTGCTGCGTCACAGTTAGCGTCTCTAATATACATGACGGGAAGGAGCAAGCTTGGACTGACCTTTCTTCTCCTCGACAGCTTGCTTATACCTTTTCTGAACTTCCGCCACATCTTCTTCCGCACGGCCTTTGCCCTTGGTTCCACGAACGGCTGTATCCGACCGGTGCATCTGCTGGCGCTTGATGATATCCTCGCGCTGCAAGACGCGTTCGCGTTCGCGTACAACTTCTTGCTTGCACCCGTCCAACTCGCGTTCGAGCTCTAACATGCGGTGACGAGAAGTAGTGTTCTCGGAGTCGAGATGGGCGAGTTTTTGTTGTACGAGAGCTAGTGTGGCTATCAAGCGGGCTATAGAGGATTTTCAGCAAGATAGCCGCTTTGCTATTGAAACGACAAACCTTTGCCGTCGCCATATTCATCATGGTTGTCTTGATAAGGATAGTGATGTAATCTAGCCTTTGAAGGACTCTCAATAGCGCTGGTGAGCCCTGTCACGTCCGGCAGGTAGACCGAGTTATTTGTTCCTCGCTTTGGAAAAAGTGATTGACCTGTTTGCGCCAAGGTCAGCCTAGAATAAAAATTGAAGAGAGAACATATCCGAGATAGTACCCACCGTGCACGCGATTGGGCTTGAGGGTGCTGTGTACATTGGGGCCCGGGACAAAATCAACTTCACTCTGCATAGCATCTTGATAGACGTCCCATCGGCTCTGCTCGGCTTCTATATCACGAGCGAGCCCACGAGCAAGTTTGGTAAACTTGGAATTACCGGTGGAAGGAGTTGGAGGACGGATTGTAACCTCGGGGTGGTGCGTTTGATGTGATTGGGGGCGGTGGGTCTTCTTGGCGCGAGGAGTTGGTTCTCCTTCGGCGATGTGCGAAGAATATGCAGCCTTGACATGCCTTCGGAGGGGAGCGAATGCTGGTGAAGGGGAGCGAGCAGCTGGAGATCGAGGTCGTTTGGGGGAAAAGGCAAGGTGTGAAAGGGCATCGGAAAGCTTGGGTCTCGCTGATGTGCTATGGTCGGGCGTGTCTAGTTCGGAGGTCGATGATGCAGAAGAGTTTGGTGAGCGAGAAGGGTGCATGCGGGTAGGTGTGGCTCGTGAGTCCTGGGGCTCAAATAGGCGATCGAGCTCAGCTGTGTTGTCGACAATAAGAGGGTCGAATGGAATGGAATTCGACTTTGAATGCGTTTGCATGGCGGCGGTCAGAGAACAATGTGACTTCTCGATAATGAAGGTACTCACAGGAAAGTTCCTAGATCGCGTGCGATCCGCATCGAAGAGACTGAATTTACTGTCAATGTTGGCCACGAGGTCGTGAAGGGGCCTGTCCGGGTCGTATTCCGCCCCGCTGAGGCTAATGTCACGTCTCGCACCCCTGCCACCGAGGCCAGCGCTGAGAGTAAGAGCGCTAGCATGATGAGCGGCAGTGGACATGGTTTCACCGCCGTATGGATTGACACCGTCTTCGTCCTCGGCGGTGCGATAGGACCATGCGTGGAGATGGCTGTAGCGATCGTCTGCGTCGAACTCGTCACGAGAAGGATCCATTGAGTGAAAAACAGAGAAAGGCGCCGAGGGTGCAGAATTATGACGAGGGTATTCGAGGGAGTAGTCTTCTGGTGTGGACGAGAGATGGAGAGAAAGGTCAGTGTGCTGGAGATTGTGTTCGAGCTGGATACGATGCTGCTCCTGCTCGTCGCCGCGGATGCTGAAATCAAAGCGAGAGCCGCCGGGCATGGTAGATATGGGGCTGATAGGGAGACACCGAGGGAGAGAAAGAAATGCAAGACGGCGGGCTGGCGAACGAACGAGAGCAGCAACCTGGAGGCGATCAACAACCGAATCGCGCCAAGACGACGCGCCGTCACAGCTCGTCACGCGCCACTCCGTCACGTGTGCACTTGTCATTTTCGCCGGTGTGGCAAATTCGAGGCAAATTGCCACACTTCCTGTACTACCACATCTTCTCTCGAACTCTTCTCATCACCCATGGAGGACACACCACACAAAGCTCATCGACCAGCACAATCAGGGGCCAAGGCCGACAAGAAAGGCAAGGCAAAGGAGAAGCAGCACGGATTCAACGAGAAGGTCTTTCGCTTCTACTGGCTTTCTGGCCGCGTCCTCATCTTCGTTTGTATTGTAGGCTTTTGCCCCGAAGTCGGGTAGACGGGCTGACCGTCAGGGCAGGCGTGCAGCTGAGAAGGATCAAACTCGTCTACATGTCCCTCTGGTTGACAGGACTCCGGACGACCAACCTCCTCCAATCATAGTCGCCGTTGTTGGTCCTCCCGGAGTCGGTAAAAGCACTCTCGTCAGGAGTCTCGTCCGCAGGTATACCAAACAGTCCCTGAACGAGATTCGTGGACCAGTCACTGTCGTCAGTGGTAAGAGGCGAAGGCTGACATTCATCGAATGCAACAATGACCTCAACTCCATGATTGACATTGGCAAGGTCGCTGACCTTGTCCTCCTCATGATTGACGGTTCCTATGGCTTCGAAATGGTGCGTCCGTGCCATTACCCTCTGTTCTTCTTACCTTACAACCTACGGCGTGCCCTAGGAAACATTTGAGTTCCTCAATATTCTACAAGCCCATGGTTTTCCCAAAGTCATTGGCGTCCTCACCCACTTGGACCTGATCAAGAAGGCTGCTATTCTCCGGGATACCAAAAAGGCACTCAAGAAGCGCTTTTGGACAGAGATCTATCAGGGCGCAAAACTTTTCTATCTCTCCGGCATTCTCAACGGACGTTACCCCGACACCGAGATCCTGAACCTATCCCGCTTCATTTCCGTCATGAAATTCCGCCCACTCGTCTTTCGCAACTCTCATCCTTACCTCCTTGCCGACCGCTTCGAAGACCTAACCCCACGAGAAGAAATTCGTTCGTCTAAGGGGAAGTGTGACCGGACGGTGACTGCGTACGGCTATCTCAGGGGAACAAATTTGCGAGATGGGACAATGGTTCACATTCCGGGTGTTGGAGATCTGCAGATAAATGGTGTCACTGTGTTGGCAGATCCGTGTCCGTTCCCAGACGCGGATTCGGAGAAGAGGCGCAAATTGAGCGAGAAGAAGAAACTTCTGATTCATGCTCCCATGAGCGATGTTGGTGGAGTCATATACGACAAAGATGCGGTGTGGGTTAACGTGCCCGGCAGCTTCTCCCGCGGGAATGCGGATGGTCAGTACCCTCTCACTACCCGACCACTTACATTAGCGCTTATGCTTGTTCTGAATAGTTCCGCAGGGTGAGGGAGAACAGATGGTCATGGATCTTCAAGACATGGACGAGACCCTGGAAGACGTCGTCGCCCGCAGCCAGATACGACTGCTTGGATCATCATCAAGAAACTTAGTCGTCGACCCGTCCTCAAGCCGCTCTGTCGACGATCGTGTGGAACCCGAGTTCGCGGATTATGAGGAGGACGAGGATAGCGAGGACGAGGAGTCGGGGAGTGGTTACGAAGATATCACCGACGGCGAAGAAGTTAACGACGGTGCGGAGAACGACTCACAGGTATTCCACGGTGGAAGGACGTCTCAACGGACGGGACATCGTCCTGTCGATCGGTTGAACAAGGTCGGTGCGCGGGACGTCGTCGAATACGCGGACAGTGACTCGGACATGGGCGGAGATGACGAAGACGGTCAGGCTGTAGGCAGAGAAGTGATGGATTCTGAAGACGATGAGGGCGGAGCTGAGGATGGAAATGAGTCTGGTGATGGCGAGGGTCAGGAAACAGGCGAGGCGGACGTCCCGCGGTGGAAGGCCAACATGGTGGGCAAGGCGGTCGCCTCGTTTGAGCTTGCTCTTCGTGCGCGACGGAAGGAGGATTGGACAAAGCTAATCTATTCCAGCGAGCTCGCTCCTTCGCAGATTCTACGAAATCGCGCAGAAACCGAGGAGGAGAAACCGAACGGCATGGATACCGAGGAGAACGAAGACGAATTCTTCAAAGTTAAAACGGAGCGCGGTGATCTTGACCTAGACGTGACCTCTCTCGACATGTCGAAACCCCTACCTCCGACGGATATCTCAACGGAGTGGGATGATGAAATGCTCGACTCGATACGGAGTCTTTTCATCACTGGTGATGGGAATGGCGATGGCGATGACGACGGCGCAGGTGACGGTGAGGGACGGGATCCAACGCAAGACGATTATGAGGATGCAGAGGGGGGAAGCGATTATGAGGATTTAGAGGGCGGTCAAGGGGCAGAGGATAGTCGCCCGGTGAAGGACCTGGGGGAGACTCGTGCTGCAGCTCTCTTCGCCAAGAAAGAGGCTTTGAAGCGCAAGTTCGACGAGCAATACGACGATCCAGAAGCATCAAAGCAGGACTTCTACGATGAGAAAAAGGACGAAATTTCCCGCCAACAGTCGCTCAATCGCGCCGAGTTCGAAGGTGTCGATCTGGAAACTCGAGCTCTCGTGGAAGGCCATCGGCCAGGATCATATGTTCGCATCGAGTTCAAAGACGTCCCTTGCGAAATGGTAGAGCACTTCGATCCCCATCGGCCACTCATTGTTGGTGGTCTTCTCCCTGCAGAGGAACGGTTTGGTTTTGTCCAAGTCCGTATCAAACGACATCGATGGCACGCACGCACTCTCAAGTCCAACGATCCCCTCGTTTTCAGTCTCGGTTGGAGACGATTCCAGACGGTCCCGATATACTCTCTCGACGACCATTCCATCCGCATGCGTATGCTCAAATACACACCAGAACATATGCATTGCTACGCTACGTTTTACGGCCCGGTCGCGCTTCCCAACACCGGCTTCTGCGCTTTCAACTCGCTGAGTGCTGACACTGCAGCCTTCCGCATATCGGCGACAGGCGTAGTGCTGGATATCGACCGGTCGACACAGATCGTCAAGAAACTTAAGTTGACGGGCGTACCTTTCAAAATCTTCAAGAACACGGCTTTCGTAAAGGACATGTTCACCACTGCTCTCGAGGTGGCAAAGTTCGAAGGCGCAAACATCAGGACCGTGTCTGGGATCAGAGGCCAAGTCAAGAAAGCGCTCCCGAAGCCAGATGGTGCATTTAGGGCGACATTTGAAGATAAAGTACTTATGAGCGGTGAGCAACATCTATATATTTTCCGATGATTTTATGGCTAAGTTATCCTCGTAGATCTCATATTTTTGCGTGCGTGGTACTCTATCCAGCCTCGCAAGTTCTATAATCCCGTCACTTCTCTGCTGTTATCGAACGGCGTTCACTGGGCTGGTATGCGTCTTACCGGTCAAGTACGGCGCGAGCAAGGCTTCTCCGCACCCCAGTCCACAAATTCGATCTACAAACCTGTCGAGCGACCCGCCCGCAAATTCAATACTCTCAAAATTCCTCGCAAGCTGCAGGCATCTTTACCATATGCATCCAAGCCGAAACTGATGAAGCCGCAGAGTCATCAGACCTATCTGCAGAAGCGAGCGGTCGTGCTCGAGCCGGAGGAGAAGAAAGCATTGGCAGTCATGCAACAGATTCGGGCTATCAGGAAGGACCAGGTAATCAGACGGCGAGAGAAGCAAGATGCGAGGAAGGATGTAAAGAGAGTGAAGATGGCGAAGGAAGAGGCGAAGAAAACGGAGAAGAAAAAGGACGAGCGCAAAGAGGCTATGCGTATGGCAGGAATAAAGAGCAAAAGAGAGGCCGACAGAGAGGTGGGAGGAGCACGGAAACGGCGTAAAACTTGATCTTCCCCGCGTATTGCATTCTTTTAGCTACGTTTGGCAAGGCTATGGATGTAGCCAGTCCTGAATACAAGCATACAGCGTACTACAACATCCAACGACGCGATCATTCATTCGCAGTGGTCGTAGAGATAAACAAACGATAAATAGACAGTCGTAATGGGTCATGACGCGTTCGTGAAGGACATAAGATCTGCAGTTGCAAGTCAGCAGCAGCAGGGCACATGATAGAAGTAAATGTAGAGCGGGGAAACAAAAGTCGAAGAGAAGAACAAATCAAGATACCATGCCAACGATACAGCGCACGTCCTCAGCGCCTCACGTCCTCGCTCGCTTTATCTGTCACATCTTTCCAAAAAGAATCCCAACTTTGACCAACTCGAGCGCCGGAAGGACCTGTCGCGTTGTACTTGGGGAGCACAGGCGATGAGTTTGCGGCGACAGGAAGTCCGGCCGGTTCGATATTGCTGGTGTTGATGAGAGCATCCTGCTGAGCCACAGCGACGCGATCCAAGGCATGCATGAGCGACGCAGTCATCGGTACGGCCCCAACTGAAGGAATCGGTGGATAGGGCCTCTGACCGGGGACCATGGGAACGAGAGAAAGAACATCCGCATTACTGTTGCGATGTCTCGTGGTGAATGGGAGACTCGTCCCGGAAGAACCTCGACGGATAGTTGACCCAGCCGTGACATCCTCCCCTTCGCCGTCAGAGTATTCGGGGATAGGACCATCATCAAAGGTGCGCCCAGTATTTGTCACGCGCCTCTTTTCCCTCTGACTATCTGCCTCGAGAGTAGCCTCTGAGCTGAGGGAGAACAGATCCTCGGCTTTCGATACGGTGCGGGAGTCGAATCCGCTTGCGAGTGTCCTGGAAGAAGTCGTACGGGTGGAAAGGTGGCGCTGAGGTGGAGGCAGCGATAGGGCATCGTCCACTTTGGTCTGATCGTCATTATCGTCGTCTGAACTGAACGCGTCGTCATGGCTAAGAGGGCGGAATTTCACTGCCTCGCGCTTACGCCCACCTTTGAGACCGGGCGTGTTGGTAATTTCGGAGGCGTATGAGTGTGTCAGTGCCATGAGGCGGGCGAAGGGACGGTCTGACGATTTGCGAAGCATCCCGGGCTTTTTCTCGTATTCGAAAACGGCACTTGGGGCTGCAAACCCAGTCTTCTCCGCCCTGAGATCCTGGACAGTGGTTGAAAAAGGTGGTGGTGAGCCCACAGAAGAAAGCGGGTACTCAGTCAAGCCCGGGGAACGAGACTGGGTAAGTGGGGATGGTGTATGTCTTGCCGGATGAAGTATACGATCCCAAAACGAAGAGGTATTGGGTTGGAAGGTGCCCGCACGATCGGGACAATTGGGGAGCGAGGTAGCGTAATCGGCCAGATATGAATCCCATTTCTGCGCATGCTGAACTCAGAACAAATGCAATATGAGAGCAGATGAACGCACCTCGTCTGGATTTCCTCCGAAGCACCTGTTCAGAGTGAAGTCCGCTGCACATCCTAGCACCAGTATAAACCAAAATGCCGCACTCAAGCCGTGCTCAGCGGCTGTGCCCCAATCTTCGCCATTACTAAGCCATAATCTATCCCAAATGTCCGCCCAGGAGGAGACATGCGCCATTAAAGCAATGGAGAGGACCAGACCTAGAGCCCCGGTCGCACTGGCTGCAAGACGTATGAAATGGTGCTGGGCCTTGGCGAGGGGAAGAAGGGTGAGAATGGTGAGAATGGGGACGAGAAGTGCGACGAGGATGCGACGGGTAAGGAGAGCAGGATGGAAAGCGACGGATACGCCTAGAGCAAGTGAGGTGCTAGAAAGCATGTATTAACACATAGATTAGATATGACATCGAGGAAGACACACCCGCCCGTGATGCCTGTGAACGCGAGGGCAGCGCACTTGAACCGCCCAGCTAAGATGGCGGACGGAATGGAGGAAAGGAACCAGACAGCGACAAATGACTTGTCTGTGAGAGCGGTCGCAGAGGACTCATTGGGTATCAAGAGGGAGAAACAAGTTGAGATGTGCACTTGAAGAGACATGAGACACTGAGAACTTGGAGCGAAAGAGGGCAGGACATACAGCCAAAGCAGTATCCAACCAAGATACCTCCAATGCCGCCTTCGAGGTAAAACCGAAAGTGATTGGACTTTGTGGTAGGATATGACTCCGGGATTTGGGGAACTTCACGATTGGGTACGAAGGAACGCGATCGATCAACAGTAAGGAAAGCACCAGCGAAAGCGAGAACGAGTGAGAACAAAAGAAGGGGGAGGGCGTAAGCAAGTAGGTAGGGAGTTGTAGAGATCAAATCGATGAGCGTTACGGACGTCGTCATGTCGTTTCTCTCCCTGTCGCCTCTGTCGATGGTGGCCAGTTGTTGGCCAGTTGAAGAGACGAACTTCGGACCGAAGGCTGGCGGCTAGGGTTTGGTTTGAACTGAACGCGCTTGACCGAAATATAGGTGCCGCTATCCCTTTACTGCTTTTCACCGGCGACCACTCGCGCTATGCTACGCTTTGGAAACTCTAGGCGGCTTTTGGCTTCATCGCGCCCCTTGTCGCGGGCTTATCAGTCGAAAACGGGATGCGAGGCTAACACTATGCAAGGGATGCCCCCGCCCCTTCAGAATATCCGCATCTTGGACCTCACTCGGGTGCTCGCTGGCCCGACTGCGACGATGCTTCTTGCTGATCTCGGTGCGGACGTCATCAAGGTTGAGGAAGTGCAACGGGGAGACGACACCAGTAGGAGCATTTCTATAAAAGCCATTGAATTCTTATCAACAGCATCACCTTGCTAACCACCGCCTTATTATAGGGTCGTGGAGCCCTCCCGCAGCTCCTCTTTCTCCAGATGCACCAGAGCAAGCCTCACATCTTCCTCCAGAGTCCGCTTATTTCCTGGCAACGAACAGGAACAAACGTTCCATCGGAATAAACTTCAAGAAACAAGAAGGCCTTCGAATCATTCACAAACTAATTGAGAAGTCCGATGTGCTGGTTGAGAATTACATTCCTGGAAAGCTAGCATCAATGGGCTTGGGGTATGATGATTGCAGAAAAATCAATGATAAGCTCATATACACATCTATCACTGGTCCGTACTACATTCCCATTGCCAGTATTATTTACTTCACTCAAGTCCTTGCTTCATGGTTAGGCTATGGTCAGACTGGACCTTATCGAAAAGCTGCAGGCTATGATGTGGTTATTGAAGGAGAGGCAGGTTTGATGCACATGTGAGATATTCCAATGCTAATTGACTGTCATATTTTAATGATCAGTCTGTTTTAGCACCGGTGAACCAGACAGACCACCTTCTAAGGTTGGTGTTGCTGTTACAGACATTGCGACTGGGCTCTATGCACATGGTGCTATAATGGCAGCTCTATTGTCTCGGCAACAGACAGGGTGTGGTGTGTGGATTGACTGTAATCTTTTTGAGTCACAGGCCAGTATCTTGTGGCAGCTCATAAAAATGTCAAATTTCTAATGAGTGGTTATATAGGTTGCGGGTCTTGCAAATATTGCTTCAAATTACCTTATTACTGGTGCTCAAGCTGGTAGACATGGAACAGCCCATCCATCTATTGTGCCATATCAGGTCTTTCCCTGCAAGGATGGATATCTCATGATAGGTGCAGGTAATGAGAGACAGGTCAGTGTATGATTTTCCTTATGACTGAGTTTACTTCCTTATCATTGAGCTATGTATAGTTTGCCATTCTTGCAGACAAGATTCTTGGCCGTCCAGAACTCAGCTCTGATCCACGGTTTAGCTCAAATACTGCCCGTGTTATGAATCGTGATGCATTGATTGTCATTATATCAAAAACACTTATGAAACAAACAAGAGATCATTGGCTTCAATGTTTCTCAGGGCTTGGGTATGTCTTCACATCATATATTTATCATATATCAGCACAGGGTTGATTATGGAACAGTGTCCCATTTGGTCCCATTAATAATATTGAGCAAACTTTTGAGCACCCCCAAGCTAAGGCTAGAAACCTTGTTGTTGAGGTAGAGGTATGTTTATTCTGATCTGATATATAGGCTATGATTGATTATGGATATATTACTTCATATAGCATCCTCGTGCTGGCCGTATCAAGATGGTTGGCCCAGCAGTTTCTTATAATGGAAAGAGAATGAGTGTCAATCGCCCACCCCCTTGGTTAGCACAACACACTGATGAGGTATACATTAGTATCACATAAATTTACATATATATTACTCAAAAACATGTGCAGGTTCTAGAAGAACTTGGCTATAACGAAGATGTCATTCGCCACTTCAGAAAGGAAGGAGTAATTTCAGCTTGAATCACATTATCCTAGTTAGATCTTTCTTTCTTGTAGACCATCATGGTTATGGTTTTTGTCAAGGGAGTAGTTATTGTGATTTCTAAAAAGTATGACACTTCGAAAAATAAAAAGGAAATGAGTGGTCATCTCAACAAGGATGTGGGTTTGAGCCTTATATGAGGCAAATCTGCTGTAACCTCTTGATGTCAAATGTTGCTTGCTCTGTACATCACACTACAGGAGCTAGAGACTCCTTTAAAACTTAAAGCAATATTTCCAAGCTCTTCTTGAGTGCACATAAACACTTTATCATGGTTCAAGGAGAGATGAGATGGTACAAGCAGGTAGGCTAATGGTGATGAGCGACTCGACCATGGCTTGAACCCACAACCTTATGGGAGTATGCCGGTAGCTCTCCGAGGCAGTTCTCGAGGTGACCCTTTCCATCATTTTATTTTTATTTTTGAAGTGTCATCCTTTGTAGAAATTACAGTAAGAAGGAGAAGGGTCATTTAGTGACTTTATGGATGTTATAAGAATTCTTCACATTTACCAATGTCTTTGCTCATATGCTTTACTGGATGCTACACAAGAATGAGCTAAGAAGGAGTGGGGTTATGATTTAGCAGAGGCATGTTGTATTATGACAGAGCAGTGTGTGATCCGCTCGAAGGGTGCTATTACACCTCATGAGTGGCAGCTAGACATCACAGAGTGCCTGGTGTTAAGGATCGACTGTGAGCTGATCACACCAACGGGTTCAGGGAAAACAATTGCATTTATGTTTCCGGTATTCTACTGGGAGCAAGCTCGCAAAGAAGAGAGTGATGATAAATTGAACAAGAAGACAAACCAGAAGAAAAGTCCAAAGGTCTTGATTGTGGTCTCTCTCTTGAACAGTCTTGAAGCGGACCAGGTGAATGTCTAGACTGTCTCCATTACCTCTCGAGATCTAATGAAAAGTAATATAAGGCTTGTCAGTTCACTGAGGTTGGGCTCTTAGCAGCGGCTCGCAACGGTAAGACTTACTCTGACAAGATACTAAAGGTGCTTTCATTGTGATCTTCATTCTGTACCATCAGTACTGACTGACTCTTTCTCAGGACATAGAAGACGGCCACATCAATGTAGTCATCACCTCACTTAACATGTGCTTGAAACACGACAAATTGCGCTCTCTGCTTAACAAAGCCTGTTTCGCCAAACACATTGGAGCCTTTATTGTCGATGAGGCTCACTGTATCACACAGTGGGGTGAGAAGTTCCGTGAGATCTACTCAAAGCCCATGTCACGGCCAGGCTTGCTCGACGTCAATCTTGAGTGTCTTCCATGGCTGATCCTTGTCCAAAGGTGGAGGGGCGGGTTGAGGTCGCAGATGGTGTTCGTGAGACGGTCTGAAGAGACGAGGTTGAAGGGGTAAAAGGTAGATTGAGTCAATGAACTAGTCCAGGTGTTGACGAGCTCAAAGCTAGGGTACGTAGATAGATGCAGACCACTATATATACTACGTGGGGCGAAGAGCTGGGGAGGAGGTTCTGAGCCAATTGGATAGAATGTGAGAGATAGAAGTAACGGGGGACCGGCTAAGTCGGTTGACGAGGTAGCCGGACTCCGGGGTATAACCGGATAGCCAATCGGAAAGAGGAAACAGTTAATCCAGGATAACACGTGTTGAACGTGAGGGGGCTAATCGGAAGCGATATGGGAATGAGGAAGGAGTAAGGCCGGGGGGAGTCGGAAGTGGTAGCCAGGGGGATGTAGGGGAAACTCGGAGTGGGTGAAGCGGGATTTACGCGAGGAGGATGGAAGTGGGAAGGCTAGCAGGCTTGTAGACGGTAGAGGAAAAGAGAAGAGGAGAAAGGAAAAAGAAAGGAAAAGAAAAGGAAAAGGAAAAAAGAATATGTCCGTATGTATGCTCCTTACAGCTCAAGACTCTTTGTGCATTTGCAGCTCATACACTGTTCCTTGCAACGTCCGCCACACTCAGTCTGGATGATCTGACAGCTATCCGCAAGTCCGTCCATTTTTCAAAACCGGACATCTTTCATCTCAACCTTGGTAATGATCATGCAAACATTACCTGGCACGTTATACATATGAATGCAGGCAAATCAGACTTTGAGTCGCTTGAGTTCCTTCTCCCAAAGAACTTGAACACTGAGCGTCTTGGAAAGGTCATTGTTATGGACACTTTTTCTTCTCAGTTACTTCGTATATCTCTTGACCACATTCCTAATTAGGCGACACACTCCTGTCAACAACTCGATTAGGTTCTCTAGGTCGTGCTTGACTATTTAGGACAAAGCTAAGGAGATGCCCAAGGAAGGAAACAGACCAGAACAAGTCTGAGTTTTATTCAAGTGTATCTACGAGTTTTTATATATGTAGCTACAGAATAAAATAGTAATCATGTATGACAATGATTATTAAGTACAATGAGTCAATAATGTCGCCATAGAAAGAGCCAACAAATGAGAAAGAAAGATCTCTAAGCAACAATCAAGTGTAATAAATAGAGATCCAAGGATAAGAAAATGGCTCAGTAATCGAGTACAGTAATAAGCATGTGAGCTTTACAGAGCAGTACAAGATCAGAGAACGCTCAAAGAGGATGATAAGGAACGAGGGGGAGATGATCTCGATAAAGATCAGGGAAGTGGCCCCAGCTGGGTGGCGTAAGTAAGATCGCTGGGCCGGTAGCCAAGTCAAATCAGCGCTAATTTGCCTCGACTGCTGTCTTTGCGGTGAGGGTATTTTTGTTTTCTTTTGCTCATGCATATGTAGGTAAGAAACATATATATTTTCTTTTAATACCAGCTCGATCCCTTCTCGCTAAAATCCCTTTAAACCTTGCTATATATCTCCTTCTCTGGTGGGCACGTATACTTGCCTCGGACACGTATACTTGCCTCGGACACGTACGATAGTTGGCTGGACACGTAGAGAAGACTGCGAACACATTATTTTTTTCTGACACGGACTATCATGGCTCGGCTTGACTCTGGCTTGGCGGAGCAGACAAACTCTTAGGCTGATGTGGCAGACCTAGATGATGTGGCACTTCTCATGAACTTGTAGTAGTATAAATATCAGACCCTTGTTGTCGAGATTCTCTAACCTGTTCACTTGTATCGTACCTACAGTGTTTCAGTTGAATTCACCAGAATTCTTGATATCGTCTTGTGCGACCTCAAGATGATACCCCTCGAATCTCGACTACAGAAGAGCTCTATCATTAGAACCTTGAATCCACATCAGCTCTAGCAAGATGCCTGCCTCAGAAGAGGATATCTCATCTGAACAATCTCAATCCCAGACCAGACACCGCGTCTAGACAAACCGAGCCAGAACCCCAGATCCAGAACCTCCAAAGCCCCTTGCTGATCGTCCAAGTTGACGGCGCCGAATGACTCAATCGTTCCCCGCTTCACAAAACCAACATCGCCCTCAAGCCCAGCTTAAGCTCAGTCATAACAGTCGTCATCTTCTTTAACGACATCCTCCTCTCGATGAAGGTATGGCGATGGTTTCAAGAACGATTACAAAAACACTTACGAGGACGCGTAGCTTATGATAACTCCCGTTGTAGCAAAGACTCCAGCTGGATTTAGTAGTAAAAGGGCATAGGCATTCCTAAGGGGTGGATGAGCAAGATGGTGAAGGCTGCTGAGGGCTTCCAGGTTCCTGTGGTGGAAAGTGAAGCAGAGGGAATTGCAGAGCTGGAAGTGGAGGAGTCCAGGGTGGAATGATGCCGCCTTATAAATATTATTGAGAACCTAAATATCTAGTTGTTACGCTACATACATTCTATCCCATTTGCTTTGACATCTTTATTCAGGCCGGCCACGGGCCACATAATTGCTGTTATGACTGGGCTTAAGCTAGGCTTAAGGGCAGCGTGGGTTTTGTGGTGTGGGGAACGATCGAGTCGTTCGGCGTCGTTGGCTTGGGCAATCAGCGAGGGGCTTTAGAGGTTCTGGCTCAGTTTGTCTAGACATGGCGTCTGGTCTAGAATCGAGTTCATTCAGATAAGGTGTCCTCTTCTGAGGCAGGCGTCCTGCTAGAGCTGATGTGGGTTCGAGGTTTCAATGGTCAAGCTCTTCTGTAGTTGATATTCAAGGGGTATCATCGTGAGGTCGTATAAGACAATATCGAAAATTCTGGGTGGATTCAACTGAAATACTGTAGGTACGGTACAAGTGAACAGGTTAGGGAGTCTCGACTACAGAGATCTGATATTTATGCTAATATAAGTTTGTGAGAACTGCCACCTTCGCAGGATCTGCTATATCAGCTTACGAGTTCGTATGCAATGCCGAGCCAGAGTCAAGCCGAGCCAAGATTATACATGTCCAAAAGAACTATTTATCCATAGTCCATCATACATGTCCAGAAAGATATCATATGTGTCCAAAGTAAGTATATGTGTTCATCAGAGCAGAAGACATGTTTATAGGATGTTTAAAGGGATTTTAAAGAGAATGGGTCGAGCCGAAGTCCGAGAGTATGCCGCCTCACTAGGAACATGGTAAAGGAAAAGAAAAGGAAAAGATATACGAGGTAACAAAGAAAAAGAGTGTCCATAACATTACCCCCCTTCTACCTACGCATCAAGTTCGTCCTCAAACTTACCAGGGCCCGAGGCTCTCTACGTCCCAACCCTTGTTCAATGTTTGCACCTTTCACGTGTCTAACCTCGCCCATCACTTCTTGTTTGTCTTTTTCGCGAGACTTGGGCATGTCCTCTTGCTATGACTATGATGCTTGCAGTACCAGCATTAACGAAGGTCGGCTGGTTCTCGTGATCGATGGATGACGGTGGCGTAGTAGGGTTTCTTAGCGGTCTGTCCAAAAAAAGCCAGGGTAAGGGGTATGGCATTGGTGTCAGTGCATAGGGTGTGCTTGTAACGAAGGTAACAACAGTGCTTGCAGATGGCTGGGCTGGGGTGGAAGCAGGCTTGGGTACAGGGAGTGGGATGTAATCGAGTGGAAGGACGAGTATTCTGGGGGTGAGGTCAGGGAGGCTCGGGCTCCGCTTCCTCTTGCGCGTCTTCGTACATTTCAACGTCAGTGTCATCTCCCTCTTGCTCTGCTCCTGCAGTATCTTCTGCACCACCTCCATTAGCGTCTTCCTCATCTTCATCATTGTCATTGTTGTCGCCATTGTCATCGTCTCCTCCTCTATTGTTGCCATGCTCACTATGTGCTGCCTCCCTGTCTCGAGCGGCACGGGCGTGGGCAATGATTCCCTCAGCTCCCATGTCCTAGAGGGCCAGGGCGATGTCATTCTGTTCCCAATATCCGGCTCCAAGTTGTCTTTGCGCCAGGTTGAGTTCCTGCTTGCGTACTTCGACATGGGTAGACTGGGCATCAACCTGAGCCTGGATCCGATGGTAGGCGAGGGCGTGCACCTGTATGTCAGAATTTGCAACTTGGGCGAGTACGTGGGTGTTGTTTCTGGTGTAGGTGAGGAAATCGTGAAAATAAATGCGGAGACAGGGTAAGATGGAGATAAGATAGTTAGAGGACTCCAAGGTGGACGTGGTTCCGCTATTGGAGATGGGCTGGAGTGGAACAGGGTTCTGCGGGGTAGGGTTATTAAGGGTAAGGGACGAGACCGAGTTATCGTTAATAGGAAACAATTGGGACAAAAGGGGGAAGGTGTTCAAAATGGTTGAGCCAGGGCTTTGGGTCAAGGTTGATAGAAAGGGGTCTGGGGGTGAGCTGTTACGATGGAAGTGGAAGGACGAGCTGGTATGATGAGAGTAGGAGAACAAGGGATATAGAGGGGTGGCATTTGGCCGTGAGCAGGTTCTTCGGGTTCGTGCATAGCACTTGCACCGTTAAGATCGACAGGGATTGTTACGACCGGGCTTAAGCTAGGCTTAAGGGTGGCGTCAGTTTTGTGAAGCGGGGAACGATCAAGTCGTTCGGTGCCGTCAGCTTGGGTGATCAGCGAGGGGCTTTGGAGGTTCTAGATCTGGGGTTCTGGCTCGGTTTGTCTAGACGCGGCGTCCGGTCTAGGATCGAGTTCGTTCAGATGAGGTGTCCTCTTCTGAGGCAGGTGTCCTGCTAGAGCTGATGTGGATTCAAGATTCTGATAATAAAGTTCTTCAGTAGTCGAGATTCGAGGGGTATCGTCTTGAGGTCGCGCAAGACGATATCGAGAATTCTGGTGAATTCAACTGAAACACTGTAGGTACAATACAAGTGAACAGGTTAGCAAATCTCGACTACAAGGGTTCAATATTTATACTAGTACAAGTTCGTGAGAACTGCCACGTCATATAGGTCCGCCACATCAGCCTAAGAGTCTGTCTGCTCCGCCGAGCCAGAGCTAAGCCACGCCGTGGTAGTCCATATTCGAATAAGATATCGTGTCCGCAGTTCTTCCCTACGTGTCCAGCCAATTATCGTACGTGTTCGAAGTATGTATATGTGTCCAATGTAAGTATACGTGTCCGTCAGAGAAAGAGATATGTTTATAGAAAGGTTTAAAGGTATTTTAATGAAAAGGGGTTGAGCCGAAGTCCAGGAGTGCGTCCACCAGAGGATGTACCACCTTTATAAATGTACCTGATAGTAAGAAGGAGTTCCTTTACAAAGGTTCCTTTGGCCCAAGAATTATAAATGTCAGTACTGGGCTGGCTATTGGGGCAGCCGGGGGTGGTTCTGGGTGGCCGGGTGGCCCAGGGTGATGGGATAGGGCGTATGGGGGTGGTCCTAGGGGTAGGGTAGGGGGTAGGGGATGGGGTAGGGGTGCTGGGAAATGGGTAGGGCGGGTAGGTAGGGTGTATATGGTGGAACGGGCTGGGTTATGGATGGATAAAATGGAGAATATGGACAGAGATGATCGTAGGGTGAATAGGGATAGAACGGTGGCCGATAAAAATACGGGAAAATGGTAGAATAATAGTAGGGATGCTAGGGTGGGGGTACTGGGTACCTGGGGGTAGATCGGTAGGGGAAACAGGGTGATCTGGGGGTATTTCGGTAACTTTGTGAGTTTTGTGAATTAGGACGAACGGATCGCATTGCCAGGTGTCATTTCGATGGAATTGACGTAAAAAACGTGAATTGTGGCCCGATTTCGGCAACATGAAGGAGGACGATTTCGGGGGTTCTGACTATTTGACAAACATTGATAAATGTATAAGATGGTCAAAATCAAGTTTTGAAGGAATCGGTCCATTCATTCCAAAGTTATAGCGTAAACGGTCAGCAAGATATCGCCCTAGCACGGTGGGAGGGGGTGGGCAGGCCAGAACTGGGGATATAGCGGTTCGATTGTCTTGGTTTTTGCTGTAATGGGTAGCCCCATATCAATACTAAGTGATGGGAAGCACACCGGACACAAAAACAATGATCGTGGCCTTGGTAGTGGTGCCGCGTCTAGGGGAGGAGGAGGAGAACATCTACCCTGGGGGTGTTGCCATGGTTAGAATGTCTTGTGGTGTTGAAGTGATGATTGGACAATATAGTTTGATGTTTGGGAAGTAGATCTACTGTGCAACATTAGTCAAAATTGTCCTGCACTAATTGTGGGGCGCTGAGGGGGTAAAACAGCATATTGGGCCACAATATAATTACCGAAACACCAATTTACGCGTTTTTGGTACCGTTCTTGTTGTGGTAATTTAGTTTAAATGTACATAGACATTATACAAGCACCAGAACCACCTCTGGTCGATTCTGAAGAAAGCAAACCATGTTTTTGATGGGGGAGCAGGTGCACATGTAGTATTGGGGGCGTATATGGACCAG